AGTGGCGTAGTCTGTTTTTCTACGGAAAAAAATATTGTTGAAATTATGAGCTCTAATTATCAATCCCAAATAAAATTTTAATGTGTGTATGACTATTTTAGTAATTACCATTTTGATTTTTATGTTATTTATCACGGCCTACTAATAAAAAACGATATATTTTAAATATTGACGTAAAGAGTGAAAATACATATAGAATGATATAGATTTTTGAGAAGCTCATAGCAACCCAAATCATATAATTTATAAATATACAGGGTGTTCCATTTAAAAAAAAACATAACTTTAGTTCATATCTTCGAAAATATTATTTTCGTAGAATAACAGACTACGCTACTGTATTCTACGTAAAAAGTGCTACAATAAACAGTTTTTACCTTCTTGATACCTTTCGCAATAACAGAGATACAGGGCGTGTCCCAAATTGCAAAATTTTTAAAAAGACCATGTAGCTCAGAAACAAAGAGAGCTATAAAAATTTTGTTTACAGCATCTTTCGTTTGACAAAAAAGTGGAACAGGTTTGTGCAAACCGCATCCTTCTATCTTCACTAATAACGGAGATACGATTATGATTATATGTATATGAATTCAACCAAAATGGGACACACTGTACAGTAGATTAAATTTACAGTACGAGGTACATTGTGTGTATTTCGATTTTTGCTTAGAATTGAAGGAAGAACCGAAATATGCGATAATATATAGGAGGTTCCATTTAAAAAATGAAACTTTGATGTGCCACGGCTTTATGATCGACCCTGTATACTTAAATTTAGTACCCGATAATAGATATTTATAAACCCTATAACTGTTATACTTAACTTTTTGCGGTACCTCCTATAATTTACCTAATAATCGACCGTTTCCATACATAAAAGCGACCCTGTATATCAGAAAAGTGTATGTTATTTCAAAATAGTATTAACCAGGAATTAAGAAAATATGAAAGATAGGAACAGATAGGAACAATATGATACACACAGTAAATAGATATATTTTTCTATGAATTTTTGATTTTGTAAGTTTTAAAATATTAATAAGATCTCTCTACGATTTTTTAGAAGCAATTTTGATTTTTTGGCAATTTTTCATAGTCCGTATTTTTTTCTGAATCGTTCTGTTAATGTTCTATCACGTTTCATTCACACCGGACTCCCAATACGTCATTTGACATTAACCTGGATACTTGTCAACTCTAATAAATCATTGCGGAATTTTCTCCATACATTTTGCGTGTTATAATGATTACTTGGCTTTGCGTTTTCAGCATAAAAAATCAAAATAATAATATTTTACAGTTAAATAACTGCGATTTTATAGAGTAATTTTCAAAAAATCTAACATTTTTGCATAGTTTTTTAGAGATGTTTAATAAATATTACTAAACGATTCTATTTTCACAATTTGCATTGCTTGTTTACACTAAATACAATGCATATAGATAAAGGAAACAAGTTTAGATTTGAATGCACGGCTTGCCGCCAAAAGTAATAATTGTTTTGGAGCGCATACCGTTGTAGGGCGCTGGTATGGCGGTTGCTAAGAACAACCGCAAACAAGAACAGAAATAATTTTCTCTTGTCAAAGTCAGAATCTTCAAAAATTATAAAATTTTTTAAAATTTAAACCGCCCTCATTGAGAAAATACCAAAAACTGTTTAAAGCGTCCATTTTCAAAGTACACACACCGGAAAAATCTAGGGATATAATTTTATTAAAGTTAAAAATAAATGTTTTGAATAAACAACCACATATTTGTAGGCCGATTCCATGGCTGAGAAACTTAAATGGAAATGACGGTTCATTAAAAATAGTTTTTCCTCCAAGATGCAGAGGCGCAAAATATTAAAACTGTCAATATTAACAATGCAAATGTCAATATCTGACAAGAATAAAATTTGATTTTTAACTGTCACTCAGAGACGCTTTTGTTGTGATTTTACGGTTTGATTTCGTTTTGATTTGTCGAATTATTGTAAAATTAAATTCCTTCAGATTTTTTGCCAGTATTCTGTTTTAGACAATGTTTTTTAAAAATGGTGGGACAATTTGTGTTTTGTAATAACTTTTAATTATTTTTTATCATGGAGTTTAATTGTTGTACTCCTGGTTTCCGAAGGATACAATGGTAAGTAAATTAAACATATCTACTTACAGTTATAGATTTTTTAAATTAGTACTGCTAATAAATGCTACTTGCAGAGCAGTTATTTAAATTTTTTTACGGTGCATGTAAGGAATTAAGGACGCGCGTTTTATATTAGCATGATCAGCAGATGATTACATCTGATTTAATTTGTTTTTATTATTTCAGGTCCCAAACGGAAACAAACTGGGAATCTTGCCTACACCAAAATTATATACCTAGCCGTTTCCAATTCACTTCAAAGGGAGGAAAATTATGTAAAACTGCCTGCTATTTGCTGAAAACCGCCAAAGATTAAATTATAACTGTAACAACTTAATATATACTATTTCTAGTCTTTTTAATATATTTTTTAATTAATATCCGACATATAAGAACACTTTGTATGCTTTTAATTCACTTGATTTATCGTTTATAATATGTTCGACCTAATTAAAAGCACACAAAGTGTTCTTACATGTATGTCTAAATTTATTTAAAATTAACTAAAACAACCCCCCTTCCCCGCACCCCTCTACTCCATTAGTATTTCTTCCTCCATCTACCAGAGGCGCCCTTGTATAATAAAATTGAAATGTATTATAAGTTGCCTATCTATTTAATAGTATAAGTCTTTTATCTATGGCCGATTCTTTCTACTTCGATTGAAACGAAGTAGTCACACTAGTTATTTCTAAATTTGGGATATTTGCAAAAGTGTCTGTGCATTTTTTGTCAAATGTATAAAAAGCACCTAGCATCAATTGTTCGAATTTAACCTGTACTGGCTATGTTTTTATGATAACTGGCCAGAATTCATTCAAATAACTCTGTTTAGTATTAAACGACATTATGGAGCGTAGACATATCTTAACAGAGACGAAATGCTAAGGGCTATGGGTATGCTCGAAGCTGGAATGCGCCATATCGACGTAGCTAGAGCATTAAATACAACGCAAAGTGTAATATCGCGATTAAGTGCACGCTACCGTGAGAGTGGTGATGTTGCTGAAAGGCACACAGGGCGACATCGCATTACTACCCCTCAGCAAGATCATTTTTTACAATTAAATGCTCGATGCCGACCGACTCTTACAGCACCAGAGCTTAGTTTAATTCTCCAGGAAACACATAATGTAACCGTTAGTCCTGACACTGTTCGCAATAGATTAAGAGAGGTGAACTTAAGAAGCAGACGCCCCTGGAGAGCTCAACCCTTAACGAGAGGAAATCGAGAGGTACGATATTTGTGGGCTCAAGATCATGTTCAGTGGTCGAATGAACAATGGGCCAATGTCCTCTTCACGGATGAGTGACGCTTTGGAATTCATCCGGATTCGAGAAGGCTTAGGGTATGGAGAGAATCGGAAAATCTTATTCGGTTGGATCATGTAATTGCCTCCATTTTTGAAAATTTTTGTATTTCGTTTCATAAGTTATTCGGGATTTAAATGGAAGTAGTTTGGATATGGCGTTTGTCGCCTCAGCCTGAGTATCTGTTGATAATTTACTTATTTCGTTTTGCGTCATTTCTGGCTCCAATTCAATCCAATCCAATTCAATCAGCAATCGACACGAAAGAAAATTAAGAAATATTGACTCAAAACTGACAACTAAAAGCTTTTTTCGTTTTCCTGTTATTACCGATTCTGAACCGTCCTAGAACTGTGATGCGTATGCGCAGAAGGAAATATGAAGACATTATTTCATTTGCGCATGCGCTGCAGAGTTCTAGGACGGTTCAGAATCGGTAATAACCTTTGAATAAGAAGACTAAGGAAGGAGCATAATGCTATCCATGTATTCATGCATGGTGGGCGGAAAAGCCACCATAAAAGCTCTCTAGGGTGGGGATCCTTGACAGTTCTGTTTGACGATTCATTTGACACATTTGAATTTGATTTGAAATTTTGTGGATTTATCAGTCTTTACGGAGCTTATTTTATGTTACTTATTATTTATTCTACTACTGATAGTTGTATAAAGGTAGTAAATGTAGATGGAAATTGTGGCAGAACTTAAATTAACAGTGACATTATCGCGATTTATCGAAAAAAACTCTAAAATAGTTGGTTGTGTAGCGTGCGGTAGATCTCGGAAAAAATTGAGTGAAATAATGGAACAACTTTTCGCTAGTAAGTGACTATATAATATACATACATGTAGTAAACCGATCATTTATGAAATTCACTTAAATTAACTAAATTATATATTTTCTTGCATTTTTAGCTTTTATTTATTGCTTGTCAAAGATTAGATGTCAAAGAATTTAGATACGTTAATTTGACTTACATGCTTCAGTAGCGTATCGGATGTTTGTGTTAATAAATACTTATTATAACTTATCTATTTTTATTAGAATTATATATTTTATAACAATTTTAATAACTACCAACATTTATTCACAACGTAAAATAAAACAACAAATTATTGAGTCTACCCCACGTCTACCCTACATCATAGTTTTACATTTTTTAAATAAAATTAGAACGACACTGATAAACCGGAATTTAAGTCGGCCATATTTGAGGCCCATCGCGGTGTACCTAAGATTTTTGATATGCTCCTTCCTTAGTCTTCTTATTCAAAGGTAATAACAGAAAAACGAAAAAAGCTACTGAGAGAGCTTTATTTATTTGTCAAATTATATAGAAACCAACGCCAACCCAGCACAATATTTTTTCTACTCGTTATAAATTCCTTGAAATAATAATTTCTGAATATTTTTTAAAATGTAACTCGCTATGGAAAAAAATATTGTTTTATACACGACGATAAAATTGCATTATTTAAAAAATTAATTCACTCGACTATCTTTTCGGTCGACGATAAAATACCATTTTATCGTCTTGTCTAAAAAAATAACTAAATCGTTATACAAAACATTATTTATTTTTTATTCGCCAAGAAAATCATTTATCAATACAAACTAGACACAATATTCCATCTAATCTACTTCTTCCAGCAATCGTTCTCGTAATCCCACTTCGAAGAAATACCGAGGATTGGATTCACTCTCAGATCCAGTATCCTCCTAAACTGCGCTTCCCTGTGTTCCTTGTCGTAAGTTATTGGATGGGGCACGTTATAGATCGTCATCTTGCACCAAAAAAACATCCAAATACCGATCGTGAAGCACCAAAGGATAAGGGAAAGCACGGCCTTCCATTCACCTTGGTCCATCACATCGATTTCGGAAAAAGTCTGGCAAAACGAGGCTCTGTAAAGGGCTTTTTTCTCCTCGCAGGTCAAATTGTTCCAGTCGCCCTTTTCTTTCTCCCTTAGGGCCAGGATTTCACAGGTGGGCTCTTTCCAGCGTATGGCGGGGAAGGGAAAAAGAAACCTGTCCGAGTAGACCGGTTGTCCGTTCCATCCATAGCCCACAATCTCGCGTTTACCTATCATGTTCCTTTCGTGGTCGGAAATGAGTGCTTTCTGGATTATATTTCTCCAAACTGGCGGTTTTAGGAGGGTTTTGAAGGCTTTCGGGAATAAATGTCCAGCCATTTTCGACTAATCAATGTGACAAGTATAATTATTTAGGGAAATGTCAAATTTGACGGGTTATGGTATTGTTGAGGTAACAATAAGCGACTTATACGACCCGTATTTTAGCTAAACGATTAGATTTTTACAAATTATAAGTTTTGGGTTCGTTGAAGGACTATTAGAGCTTTAAAAATAATTCTACAAGATACAGAGTGTCCGAAATAAGTAAAAAAATATTATAGTTGTATTTTTTTAAATGGAACACCCTGTATATTATTCTATTTTTAGATTCTACGATTGAAATAAAGATAAATTTGATTAAGGTTTATCACACCTAAACATTACCGTTTTTGAAATATTTTCAATTTTGTGCAATTGCAGTAAAAAATTTAAGGCTTTATTTCTCCAAGGGTATCAAAGGTTTTAATACTAAATATTTACTGAAGTTTATTTATTGATTGTGCAATTATTAGTTTTTTGATTTTCTGAAAAGTAACGACAATGAAAAATAAAAATGATTTTCAAAAAAAATCAGTTTTTTCCAAAAAAATTCAGCTATCCTTGAAATTTTTAAAACTTTTTTGATGGCATCTTGGTGAACATCTCAAAGCGCAACTTTTCCCTGAATTTGTAGCACCGTGTATATTTATTATTTATACCCTGCCTTTTTGATTTCCTTGTCAACCTCTTAAAGACTAAGGAAGGAGCTTTGAATAAGAAGACTAAGGAAGGAGCATATCAAAAATCTTAGGTACACCGCGATGGGCCTCAAATATGGCCGACTTAAATTCCGGTTTATCAGTGTCGTTCTAATTTTATTTAAAAAATGTAAAACTATGATGTAGGGTAGACGTGGGGCAGACTCAATAATTTGTTGTTTAATTTTACGTTGTGGATAAATGGTAGTTATTAAAATTGTTATAAAAACATATAATTCTAATAAAAATAGATAAGTTATAATAAGTATTTATTAACACAAACATCCGATACGCTTACTGAATATAGGTAAGTCAAATTAACGTATCTAAATTCTTTGACATCTAATCTTTGACAAGTAATAAATAAAAGCTAAAATGCAAGAAAAATATATAATTTAGTTAATTTAAGTGAATTTCATAAACGATCGGTTTACTACACGTAATGTATATTATATAGTCGCTTACTAAGTTGTTCCATTATTTCATTCAATTTTGCCGAGATCTACCGCACGCTACACAACCACTATTTTAGAATCTTTTCGATAAATCGCGATAGTGTCACTGTTAATTTAAGTTCTGCCAATTATTTCCATCTAGATTTACTACCTTTATACAACTATCAGTAGTACAATAAATAATAAATAACATAAAATAAGCTCCGTAAAGACTGACAAATCCACAAAATTTCAAATCAAATTCAAATGTGTCAAATGAATCGTCAAACAGAACTGTCAAGGATCCCCACCCTAGAGTGCTTTTATGCCGGTTTTTCCGCCCACCATGCATGAATACATGGATAGCATTATGCTCCTTCCTTAGTCTTCTTATTCAAAGGGAAGGAGCATAATGCTATCCATGTATTCATGCATGGTGGGCGGAAAAAGGACTCTAGGGTGGGGATCCTTGACAGTTCTGTTTGATGATTCATTTGACACATTTGAATTTGATTTGAAATTTTGTGGATTTGTCAGTCTTTGCGGAGCTTATTTTATGTTATTTATTATTTATTCTACTACTGATAGTTGTGTAAAGGTAGTAAATCTAGCTGGAAATCGTGGCAAAACTTAAATTAACAGTGAGACTATCGCGATTTATCGAAAAAGACTCTAAAATAGTTGGTTGTGTAGCGTGCGGTAGATCTCGGCAAAAATCGAGTGAAATAATGGAACAACTTTTCGCTAGTAAGTGACTATATAATATACATACGTGTAGTAAACCGATCATTTATGAAATTCACTTAAATTAACTAATTATGTATTTTTTCTTGCATTTTTACTTTTATTTACTACTTGTCAAAGATTAGATGTCAAAGAATTTAGATACGTCAATTTGACTTACCTGCTGCAGTAGCGTATCGGATGTTTGTGTTAATAATTAATTATTAAAACTTATCTATTTTTATTATAATAATATGTTTTTATAACAATTTTAATAACTACCAACATTTATTCACAACGTAAAATAAAAAAAATATTGAGTCTACCCTACATCATAGTTTTACATTTTTTAAATAAAATTAGAACGGCACTGATAAACCGGAATTTAAGTCGGCCATATTTGAGTCCCATCGCGGTGGACCTAAGATTTTTGATACGCTCCTTCCTTAGTCTTCTTATTCAAAGCCCTCTTGTCATGGTACCCAGGCTAACGTAAATTCGAGGATAACTATAAGGGATACGAAGATTCAATTATATTTTTTTCGGTATTTTTTTCAGTAACTATTCTTAAAAATTCAGAACTCATCTAAAATTCTGAATTCTGCAAAAGTGATTAATTTTGTATATATTCATTTCAGGTGATGATTCTACTTAAATTATGGGAAGTCACTTGAAACAGACTCTAACTGCAAATATCCATAGAATAAGAGAATTTGAACTAGAAAAGGTGAGTAATAAGTATACCGGGTGCGTCTCAAAAGTGGCTCACCCCCTATAATTTTTTTATTTTTTCAGATAAAAAAACGAGATTTGGTATGTTAGTATATAACATAAATTAGGATTGATTGGTGTATTCAATTGTTTTTGGTCACTTCCTGGTTCACCGGAAATGACTACAACTTTTGATTTTTAAATGGCACCCTCGGTATTTTTTATTTTATTCGATAGAAAATGACATTCTGAATAGAATGTCATATCATATGTCAACTTTTGACATTCTTGCTTAATAAAAAATTGTATTTTAAAATTCAATCTAGAGTGCCGTGTATATGTTAAAAACACCAATTCTTCATCAAGGAGCCTTGGAAAAATAGATTTGATCGTCTAACGTTTTTAGTGTATTGTCCTAGTCAGCTAGAAAATGCTGAAATCGTATTTTTAATCATATCTCATTTTTTTAAAAGGAACAAGGGTGGCGCATTAGCATATTTGGAAAACCCATTTTTTACGAATAATTTGATACCACACACTTGGTATTTCAAGACAAATTTTCGTTGCGAACCACAAGTTATAATTTCAAATAAACGATATGCGAAAATGTCTAAAGTTGACATATATAATATGTCATTCTCTTCAGAGTGACATTTTCTATCCAATAAAGTAAAAAAATACCGGGGGTGCCATTTAAAAAAAGTCTTTCCTCTTGTAAAGACAATCCGGGGACATACTGTATAGAGGCGTTTTTTTTCAGGTAAATCTGATAGATGAATTCGACATCTTGCAAATAGTAGGTGAAGGATGGTTCGGAAAAATTCTTCTGGTTGAACACAAGGCCACAGATACGGAAACGGTTTTGAAGGCCTTGCCGAAACCCTACACCGCTCTGAAGGACTTCTACAGGGAGTTCCATTACGGCCTCCATTTGGGCGTCCACAAGAACATCATCACTGCGTACGATGTGGCGTTTGAGACTGCAGGATTCTACGTATTTTCTCAGGAATATGCTCCACTAGGTTTGTTTAAATATTATATTTAATAATGTATATACCTTTGTGGTGGGTTCATTTCATGAAAAGAATTCTGTGATGAGTATGCTGAAGACACTTAATACTGTTTATTTTATTCCCTTGGGTTTACATCGAATGGGCTTTCTGAAATATGATGTTTCCACAAATTGATATACTGAAACCCAAGATGGCCTACGTTTAAGTCTTGACAATACAGGGTGGCGCTTCTCATTCGCCGCGGAAGCTACAAGGAACGGTAGTTTATATCGAAATGAAATTTTGGCAGCATATGTAGGTTAACTGAAAGCATTTTATAAAAATATATAGAATTATACAGGGTGTCCCCCAAAAAAGTTACACATCAAAGTTGTGTTTTTTCTAATGGAACACCCTATATATTAATTGATTTTCGGATTCTAGGAAAAAAATAAAGGTGAGTTTTATTAAAGAAGTATATACCAAAAATCTAAGGATTTTGACATATTTCACATTTTGTAAAAATTAAGAGTAAATTTTAAATTTCGATAACAGCTACCTAAATTTTAGTTGACCTTGTATAGCCTGATATCTAATTACAGTAACCATTGTATGTTAAACCAAACTGAAATTTGACCCGAAAAGTTATATAGGGTGAGACAAAATTAATAAGGAACATTAGTCACTTTCAAAAGCAAGTTTCTCCTTTATTTTAAATGGAACACCCAGTATATTATTACGGTGTTCAATGGGGAATTTATATATCTTCAAAATATTATTAAGGTTGCCTACCCCTCAGGCAAAGATTTTCCTAGATATTTTAATTTTTATGATTTTGCGTCAGTAGATCTTTATTATTTGAAAAAATCTGGGGTGGCTGTGATATACCTTTTGTTAATTTTACAAAAATTAACGATTGTAGAGTAAACACTCAACGGTAATAAAAAGATACACGTTTAAAACATATTTTAATTATTACAGAATTAAAACTAGGTATAAACCTATAATTATGTGACAAAAATTAACTAGATGAAATCGAATGCTCAAAATGCTTCCTTTCCTGTTAACTGCATAAAATATGATTGTCTTTTCAAAAGGATCTTTTCATTTTAAAACGCATATGTGGAGTTCTACCTCGAAAAGCAGCTACAATAATTTCTCTCATGTTGTCGACAAAAGTTTGTCGAGTTTTGTAAACACTGTCTTTAACATATCCCCATAAAAAAACAGACTAGATAAAATCAGGGGCATTTAAATATTCTAATAATTGATAAATGCACATTGCATTCGCCCACTAATATAATCATATCAGTTCTCTCTGATGTAGGATAAGTTTGCATTTTCGGCAAATTTCTGAGATTTTTTTTGTTTTAATACACACAAAAAGATAACTACTTGTTAATGTTGGACTAATTAGACAGCTATGTTGAAGTAACATCAGACATATCACAGCCACCTAGATTTTATCAAATAACAAAGATCTACTCAGATCAAATAATGTAAATGAAAATATCTAAGAAAATCTTTGTTTGTGGGGTAGGCAACCTTAATAGTATTTTGAAGAGACATGAATTCTACATTGAATATCGGAATAATATACTGGGTGTTTCATTTAAAATAAAAGAGTAACATGCTTTTAAAGGTGGCCAATGTTCAATATTAATTTTGTTTCACCCGGTATAATTTTTTGGATCAAGTTTTAATTTGATTTAAAGTACAATAGTTAATTTAACTACATATACCGGGTAAATTCCAATTTAGGTAGCTTTTATTGTAATTTAAAAATTGTTCTTTATTTCTAGAAAATGATAAATATGTCAAAAACCTTACATTTTAGTGAACTCTTATAAAACTCACCTTTATTTTTCTCCCAGAATCCGAAAATCAATTAATATATAGGGTGTTCCATTATAAAAAACACGACTTTGATACGTAACTTTTTTTGAGGACACCCTGTAGAACTCTATATATTTTTTAAAAAAATTCTGAATTAACCTACATATGCCAACAAAATTTCTTTTCAATAGAAACTGTGGTTTTCTTTGGAGCCTTCGCAGCGTATGAGAGGCGCCACCCTGTATTTTATTTCATAGTCTTTATCGGCTCTTCCTTTTCAGGTGATCTAACATCAAACGTCTCAGAAATCGGTATAGGGGAGTTGCACACCAAAAGGGTAGCTAAGCAGCTGGCCGCGGCCCTGGACCACATGCACAGCAGGGACCTGGTACACCGGGATGTGAAATTAGACAATATTCTAGTGTTTAAGTCGGACTTTTCCAGGATAAAGTTGTGCGATTTCGGCGAGACGCGCAGGGTGGGCTCGGTGGTGCTCAGGAGGAACGAGTGGCTGCCCTATGCCGCTCCGGAGATCCTGGAAATTGCCACAGACGGCAACTATAGGTAAGTTTCTTTGTTTAAAGGGGGTCACGGACGGTCGTTCATTTTTGGCAGTTTTGCCTGACAGGAAAAAATGGTCATTGTGTGACCAAAAATCTGTTCTTTTTGCTATATATGACTTTTCTTCGAGTTTCCTCTAACACACTTATACTGTGTGGTGCATCGGAACGCGATACATAGGAAATCCCATGTTAATTTTGAAAAAGTCAAATGATTTTATGCAAATATTGTATTAGACTTTTTGAAGCGGCGTTAAAGTTGTACTTTTGTGTAGAATTTCGTTTCATTTGGAATAGTCATTTAAAAGTTATTTGCAAAAATCTACCTTTAAATTAGTAAAATTTGTAATACGTCCCAGAGAAAGCTACAATTAAAATACCAGCAAAAATGTGATTGTGTCATTGTCAAATTCAATGTCAAATTTTGTTTACAAAAATTACAAAAGGTACCAAACAGAGTAATTTTGTATAAAATAATTATGAATTTCGCAATTTCTTAAAAAGTTACGATGGTTAAACGGCATTTTGCTGGAAATAGTATTCCAGCTGTGTTTAGATATGTCCGCAGCTCAGTCTCCGGAAAGCCTATACCGAATAGTCTGAATAGTCAACATAGTCTAAGATCCGGCTGCAGCATTATTACGCTCATCGCGTAGTTTTTTTTCTATTAATAGGGTGCCAATCAAAAATTTACCGCCAAAATGTTTACCTAAAATAATTATTAATTGATTTTCGGAGATGAAATTACGTTTATAATATACAGGGTGGCCCAATAAGAATAACTCTCGGCTGTATCTCGGAAAATATTAGCCGGCTGCGGAAAAAAATATTTATAACTAAAGAGGCTATGGAAAATTGCAGGAAATTATTTTCAAGTTTGTAGAATGATCGCTAGGGGGCGCAACTGCAACAAAAAATAAGAAAATGGAGTTTTTACAAGATAAGGTGTACTATAAGTAACAGCTTCATAATCTTCAGTAAATTTTGAATATTTTTTGTTGGAGCCATTTTCCCTTATCTACCAAAATAAGGTAGTGGGGGAAGGTTAGATCTGTTTTTATTTGAATATTAATAACTCTGGACTGGATGATCGCAATCCAACAAGCGAGGGCTGGTTTAAAAGAGCGTTTCTTACTCTATATTGTACCATATAAACAATAATAATAAACTTTTGAACGTAGACGCTAGTGGGCGTTGTCTTACAATTTAACAAACATTGCGCGTTTTTTCAAAAAAATTAAATGCAATAGTATATGTAATTTTAGCTGATAGTAAAGAGTAGTGAAAGCTTAAAAAGTCAGCGAAAACCGCATCTTGATATCTTCTTTCAAACGGAAGATATTAGCAAAATTATAATAAATACCAAAAAATATGCCTTTAATTACCTTACTTTTACAACACGGTATCAGTAGCCCTCTTGATTATGCCCATTCTAACCTAAAAATAAGATAGAAACAGTTAGTTTATTTTAAAATCGACGATATACCAGAATATCATAATATCAGATGTATTAATCTGCTATAAATAAATAATAAATGCTATCATCATTTATACAGGGTGGTCCGAACTGTATTCCGAAAATTTCGGCAGCGTATTCTGCAGATAAAGAAGATAAAAAAGTTCCTAGAAATGTATGTCCTAAAATGCTTAGTTTCGGAGATACAATACAATGTGTAGAAGTTTCACTTTTAGTTCAGTTTTTTACAAACAATTTCTAAACTATAGTCGATATCTGTATAAAAATTGGAATCTGGGAGTTTTTTGATATGGGAAATTTTGAATTTGATGTCAAAATGACTCCTACTTGTAGAGGGCGCCACCTACGTACTTTTTGACTGGTTTGAAGAGTAATAACTTTTATTCCGTACCTGTATAAAATTACTGAGTAAAAAATATTCATTTCCGACGTTTTTTACATAAAAAAGGTCTCTTGGTAAAAATCGCTTCGAGTAATTGTTCTCGAGATATTTTGAATATAAATTATTAATACCTGTCATCATTGATATAAATTAAACATGTTGACTAAATAATTATTAAACTGAAATCATAAATTTGAAATGTTTTGTGCCAAAAGTTCAACAGAAACTGTTTTCTCATCATTTTTTCGAAGAAAAATTTATGATTAATTCAGAAAAATAAAAAGTTCCATAATTTCGTTTCAGTCAAATAACTATCTACTCAACATGATTAGAAATGTCCTGAAATCAAAATTATATAGTCTGTGAAACGAATAACTTTGAATTTGACAGTTCCCACGGGCTTTTCTAGTGTTAATTTTATTAGGTTAGCACTTGGTTAGCAACTTGCGGCCATGCTGACGCAATGCCGTCTCTAATAGAACAGCCTCGGAGCGAGATTTATGACGTCACACTAGTTAGATACTACAGATTAATAACTATGTTGTAGAATACATGGGAAATAATTATTCCTCGATTTGTTGGTTTGTATTTTAAAAATGATATAGTTTACATGAAATATACATAATATACAGTTAATAAATACAATATATATATACCTATTTATATTAATAAATATTTTGGCAGATAAACTATGAACCATACAAATGCAGCAAATGTTTTACAATATGACTGAAATCGTACTCCATAGTCAATGTAGATAGTTTTTGTGTTAAGAATAATAATTTAAAAAAATATGTGGTCATCTTTTGACAAGTTTATATTAGTTTATTAATTGCAGTAAACATTATAATATATAAATAAATTTTGTGAATGCAAATAATAATACATCACTATTAGTAGATATTGAATGTTTTTTGTTAAATTAGATCGATTTTCGAACCACAAAATTTAAAATATATTTTACATTTTACCCATTATCTTATGTACCACCTATTCATTATTTGTATATTGTAAAACATTTGCTGCATTTGTATGGTTCGTGTTTATTAGCCAAAGTATTTATTACAATAAATAGGTATATATTATATTGTATTTATTAACTGTATATTATGTATATTTCATGTAAACTATATTATTTTTAAAATACAAACCAAAAATACGAGGAATAATTATGTTTCCATGTATTCTCCAATATATTTATTAATCCGTATTATCTAACTAGCGTGACGTCATAAATCTCGCTCAGTGGCTGTTCTAATAGAGACGGCATTGGTCTATAATATTTAGAAATGTCAAAAGCTGATGACATTTTACTTTTGTCAATTATGACATTGCATGTTGATTTTTGCAAGAAGAGGAAGAATTGTCACTTGTTTTATTATTTTCCTTTTCTATTTCACGAAAGTAAAAAGAGTTACCTATCTGATTCGTTCAGGCTAGTTCAGGCACTCAATTTAAAGAACATCAGTAACTTTTTTGACAGAGGGATTTTATATTTGCCATGTTGGTAAAAAATAACGGTCAAAATTCAAAGTTATTCATTTTATAGACTATACTAGGTATTTACCATATAGTTCGTCTGTACTTACAGCTTTGCTATAAATGTCGTAATTTTATACTATATAGGGTGTTCAAAATTCTAAGCCAAACTTTCTAAAATTTAAAATAATTTTTCTTGGTTTTTTTTCAACACCCTGTATATTATTGCTTTGTTAGATGGAGAATTAAAAAATGAACATTTTTGAATGCATTCGTAAAAACAAATAAAGCATTTTTTTATTGAATTTCAAATATCCAGGCAAAATTTTAAATTATTACTAAAAATATTCTATTTTGATAGATTTTCTTGCAGGAAAAATAAATAATATTGGGCGATAAAAAAATAAACACCGGGCTATTTTGAAACATACTGAAATCAACGTGTATTTGACGCGTATGTCTACAACTTCATATAATTAATGAGTGTAAAATTATGATTTACACTTAAAAAAAAATAAGTTTAGCAAAAATTTATAATATGAGCTATAAGATCAAAGGAACGGTATTGATATAACATAGTTATTTTAATAATTCATATTTTTAGATTTTTAAAAAATTTTAAAATCATATTAAAATCTTACGTTTTCGTAGCTTGATATCACAGAATATACGCAAGCTATACCGGGTGTTTCTCAAAAGTATCTCACCTCTATAAGTTTTTTGTTTTTTCAGATAAAAAACGATATTTTGGTTTGTTAGTAACATTTTAAATTGTTGTTCCAGTTGTAACACTTCCCACGATGTCTGGCAGTTCGGTATTGTGATCTTCGTGTGTCTCACCGGTTGCTTGCCGTGGCAGAAGGCAGCTTTTGACGACCCCCGGTATGTCAAGTACATATCGTGGCAGAACAGCACCTTGCCAATCAAGAGACAGCCGAAACTCTTCAAGTTGGTCTCCTCCAAGGCACAGAGATTCTTCAAGAGGTACTTGGAGCCCAGAGTTGAGAGAAGACCAACGAATTTGTCAGATGTATCAAGGTTTGTATTAGGATTCTTAGAGGTATTGTCTATTTGTCTGTGGCGGCTCGTGGGTATAAAATTAGGTGAAGAGTCAATTTCTTAAATTGCGCCGCAAGCGAAATTTTTTTTGGCGCATTCACCATTTTGTCAACATTTTTTATAATATTCTTTGAAAAATCTTTTGGTTTTGTTTTAGTTAAAACAACAGGCAGGTAAAAACATTCTATCACACTGTTTGGCTATTTGTCTGATATTTTTTCTGAGGTTCATGTATATTTAATTTATTAGAGTGGTTTAAAAAAATCGACAATTTTTTTTCACTTAGGTCACTTTCGTCACAAGACGAGATATTTTTTCCAAATAGTAGATACCGAGACATGAATTTTTATTTTTAATAATACGGAAAAAATAGAAAACTGAAAGATGAAGAACCTTCCTATTAAAATTAAGAGCTCACACTTGGAGAGAATTTTTTGAGGTGTCTACCAACCTTTTTTTTAGAATATAAAGTGAAAAAAAATAGTCTAAATAATTTTTTAACCCACCCTAATATTTATATTCCTTTTATTAACTTTTTTTATTATTCAAACTGTATAATGTTACGATTTAATTTGCAGGTATTTAGAGGACAGATGGATGTCAAAAGGAATGGAAAAAACCAACGAAACCCTAAAGGAAGAAGAAGGACTATGCCCGTCCATGTACAGTTTCCACAGTTCCCCCGACGAGAAAAACAAACTACTTTTTTCCCTCACCCAGTATGGTCTGGAAACCACCGTGGATCGGAACGCGAAAAAAGACAGGATACGCCAATGGATCCAGAGCAGCGTCATAGAAGAGGAAGGTGAAGAGGACAACGAAGCAATCAGCGATGAAGAAAACATCAAAATTCGTGATAACCAAAACGGACCTATGGGTGAACGAATGCAACATAGAGGACCAATTGCTGAAAACCGAGTTACTGAGAAAGGTAGACAGAATTCACTGACCAGGAGAGAAGAACGGAGAGAACGAAGAATGTCGTTGCTGAAACAGCAACAAGTTAAAGAATACAAACCACCTGTCGATCCAAGAATCCCACTCACAGTTCAGAAAAATCCTCCTCCTGTATCAAAACCTGATGAAAATAGAGTAACATTTAATCCATCTTCTTTGAACGGGAATGCCAACAAAACAATACAATCTTCAGTCAAAAAGACGAGTAATGGACACGTTTCAAGCAACGTTATAAACTCAGAAAGAAAAACTGTCGAACGGAGAGCCATAGTGAGTGCTCTGCCCTTTAAAAATGTTAAAATTCTAACGGGTAGTCCTACAAATTCTTCGGAAAGTACGCGGAGTAGTGATAGTTCCACGATAAGGAACAAAATCAACGTTCAGTACCCGCAGAGTAAGGTTATAGCTGAAAGTAACGGTAGGGAAGTACGGAGAAGATTGCAGAATTAGAGTTTCGTAAGATTTTATCAATATATTATGTAGTTTAATTTAAATATACAGGGTCTGGCAATAGTGCGTCGGGCATCTGTAGAGTAAAAAACTTGTGAATTTGCCTTAAAAAAGTGCGAGTGGATCGGGATGATTTTTTTTAATGGTACGCCCTGTATATTATTGCACTTTTTCTTTTCTTTCAGATCACTTTACATAATCCTAAAATATGAGTAAATATATTTCGATAGTTTCAGAGATATTAATAAATAAATAAAAAATATAAATATATTTTTCGGTCTTTCCTAAAAAAATTATTAAAAATACAAGAACTGTCCTGAATTCAAAACTATATTAGGTTGTTTTGTTTTTACTTTAGATGGCCTGTACTTATTATACTGTAAATATGGTAATCGTAAATCATACAGGATGTTCAAAATTCTACGCCAAATATTCTAAAACATAATTTTTTTTTTCGTTTTTTTTTTAATGGAACACCCTGTATATTATTTTTTTAAGAGAAGAATTAAAAATGAAAATTTTTTGTGTCTAGAGTATTTTAAAATTTTAAATATCGCATTTTCCACAGTAATTTTTTACCAAAGCCACCCAACGATTTTTCTTTCGTATTTTACCGTTGAAAGAGCCATATGAAATAATACTGCGTGTATCTGCGAAACCATTAAAAATGTTGAAATACTTTAAATACAAAAAATGTTTATTTTTTAACTCTCCATCTAATAAAAAGATAATATCATTTGAAAAAAACAAAGAAAAATGATTTTATATTTTAGAAAGTTTGGCGTAGAATTTTGTACACCCTGTATGATTTAAGATTACGATATTTATAGCAAAGTAAATATAGACCATCTAAAGTAAATACCTAATAGAGTTTTGATTTCAGGACAATTCTTGTATTTGTAATAATTTTTTTGAGGAAGATTGAAAAATATATTTTTTTATTAATTTATTAATATCTCTAAAATTATGGAAATATATTTCCTCGTATCTTAGGATTATTTGAAGTGATCTGAAAGGAAGCCAAAAAAGCAATAGTAATAAAATTCTCAAGTTTTTTTATTCTGACGCCCTATTGCCGGACCCTGTATATTAATTGTTACTACAGGTCACAGGACAGCGTGTAATACAATTTACACGTTTTATTTGTGGCAAATGACCCCATACTATAATTCCATACATTAAGAAGAAGGCATTAGATATTTTTCTTAAAAATCTCCCATCCAAATCAATAAATATTACACGAAACAATTTATGAATTCATACAAAGTCTTTCAGCGGTAGTTGGTAGAATATCGATATATAAATTCTCTGGGTTCTTTTAGAGTATATACTAAATTAAGATATTCTTTTTCCTATTCATAAATTTCTACATTTTTATTTTACTTTAGTTATGTACCATTTCTATAAGTTCTCTTTGTCGTAAAACATAATTTCCTGATAGTTATTTAAGAATTCCTTTACCTTATTAATGGTTTATCAAATCTCCAACAGAAATGTTATTATGAATAAATAAATGTCAAGCATACACACTGTACTGATTTTATTTCGCTTGAAATTAATTTTATGCCGCCAGTAATTTAAAAAAATATATTACATTCAGCGCCATTTAATCATAGCGGATAATACCAGAACTAACATATACCCAGCGCCATCTTGTAACAAATTGGAGATTTAATGATACAGAGTTCTGTTTTAAGTACTAGTGCTGCCATCTATCGAGATATTGATACACAATGAAATATTTCTTTAAAGAAATCTGTAAAAACTACGGTCTCGCCATCTTATGAGTGGTAGTAAAACGAAGTCATAGAGAAAGTAGATTCCTGTTTCAGATGATTGTGCTGGCATCTAACGGAATGTTAGGGGACATTGGAATTTTATATTAAAGGATTCTGTAATTTATAGCTCCAAAAAGTGTTAAGTCAGAGCCATCTATATGTGAAAAAATATACTTCATGGTTTTCTAACCCTATAATTTTTAAAACAATAATATTTTCAGAGTTATTTTCATTTTAGTTTTGGAAAAGTTTATAAAAGATATTCGTGTGTGTTATTTTAGCAGAGAAGAATAATTTCTTTTTACTGAACTTTCAGCTGTACGACTTTACTGTGAGCAAGTAAGATTGTAGAATGAACCAGAAAAAATATCAATCTCACCTCACATAAAATCTTTGATTAGGACCATATTAGGACTATTAGGACACTCTGATAAAAAGTACTGCTTTTCCTGTAATGAACCCACTCCAAAAGTGTAAACTTATTTTAGAAGATCATAGAAATCTTGTATTTTACCCCACAAATTGAAAACATGAAATTATCGAGTAAACTATAGAGAATCGAACTTTCTTGGTGTTCCTTTATAAAATAAATGTTATTATTTAATTCTAGACAAGCCAATTAAAAGGTATGTATCAACAAAATTATTTTAAACCTTTCATAGCTTCATTAAAAGGAAATACACCAAAGTGCTGTGTAGAAAAATACGAAAAATACCTGCCATAACTGTTAAACTTGGTAAGATTTTAATATAAATATTTTTTACTTAGCTTAAATTTCATAAATATGTAATATTTATTCACGCATTTTCAATAACAACAGCATATAATCTAGCATATTCATTTTAATGTAGTTTTGTATTTTTAACTTTGATTTAAATATTCATAAATAAAATGTAAATTTGTTTATTGTGGCGTGCAACCAGTAATACAAAAATATTAAAGGCTTGGCTTCTGAAGGAAACTCATGTTTCTCTGTTTTATACATAACAAATCGTAGATACACTTTATTTATAAAAATATTTCTATCGCTTTATATTTTTTTATTTCAAAAAATTAAATATTTCTTTAAATCCGCAGGATCAAGTAAGATGGATTGTGATTGGTCAGTTTAGAAGCGTCATTTGATTTTTTACGCCCTTGTTGCCAAGTTCTGAAACTAATCTAAATCTAAATCAAGTTCTGTAAGTAACGAATTGAACCGATATAAAATCATGATAAATCTAATAAACATACAAATAAACAAGGTTTCAGTAGAATAAATATTTTATTTCTTTAGACACAGCATTATTTATACAGCAAAAAATGACATTTTATTTTTCGTGCTCAATCTGGCAACATTGACCGTGCGACCATTTTCCGTTGTTAGCAGCTCGGCGTTATGTCGGCTCTTACAATTTTTCTGTTTTTTAATAGAAAAAGTGATTTTTCTGCACAGTACTTGAGTGTATTCTGTTCCTTAAGGCTTGTTTAACCTCCTGAAAATGTAAGTACAGAATATTTTCTCTCCTTTCTATAGTTCTTTTGACTTTCAAATATTTCAATTACATCATCGTTGAAAGCTGGTATATTTTTCCGATTTTCGTAATTTTCGTTTTCAAAATCGAGTATATGGGAAAATAAATACATCCCTTGATGTCCCTGTTGTACATTAAAAACATAGTAACTTAGAATATTGCTGTATATTTGGAGATAATCTCTGGTATTTTTTTAACCACTTTTTTTTGGTAGATTTCAAAGATGTTTTGTATTCCTAAATTTTTTTAGCTGTTTATTGGAACAGGCAAACAAGTATTTTCTACGTCTTTTAGAATAAGTCAGTGTTAAGTATACCTAAAGGGGCCTTCTATTCTTAACAATTACATAATATTTTCAGATAAAAAAAATACTTTTACACATGTTTAATACTATAAACTGTGGTCATATTTTAGTTGTCAATTTTGCATCTTTGTTATATAATGCTTATATGTAATGATGTAAATTATATGCAATTATAATTTTCTTTTCTAGGAGCGTTATTAATAATATACACACCAGCACATAAAGACCACCAAAAAGAAGACACCGGAATCAATCCGTATATAATCCTGATGTTTGGCCATTATTCTGGTTTACCAGATTAGTCTTCCATTATCTGATTAAAAGTAAGTTTAATTTATTATTCAAGAACAAATTTAATAACTTTATTAAATGTTTATTAACAGACTAACCATGTTTTTTAAGATATAGTTAATATTAATATGAAACAAAAAAAAATAAACACAATATATTATTATACCATAATAAATAAAATGTAATATTATTTATTTCTTTCTTTACAGATTTTGTACAACAAATCGATGGATGTATACAGTTCCAGGGCAGTACATTTATCCTTTTCACGAATATTACCAACAATCGCATCAGGACTAATAAGTATAAAGAAAATTTTATTTCTTTTGGGTAAATATATTTATACAGGTTTTTAATGTTCATCAGTGGATTTCATGATTTCTAAATTTAATTAAGTACGAAAAAAATCCAACCAGTCTCTGATTTACATTTTTATGGTTCCTTATTATCATTGACAAATTCAGACCATTTATTCTTAATTTGAGCCAATTTTTGGCTTTTGGCTACTTCTTATTTTCTTCTGGCAGAATACCATCTACTTAAAAATTCAATTCATGTTGTTTTTGGTTTACTTTCATTTCCCTATAATACCTTGACTGCCATATTTTCTTGATTGCGGAAATAATATCACCACTTATCCATTCTATAAAATATTCAATTGACTGTATAAGTTTTACTTTCATTTCTCTATTAAAGCTTGCCTCGCATATCTTGATTGTGGGAAAATATAATTTGCCAATTCTAGACAATATTCCGTTGACTGTATTTCTATAGGTTTTATTTGTTTGGTAAAATATACCATCTACTTAGAATTTTACTTCATTTTGTTTATGGTTAACGATCATTTTTCTATAATAGCTTGACTCCCATATTTTCTTCATTATGGAAATAATATCATAATTCATTGATTCTATAAAATATTTCATTGATTGTATTTCTATAAGTCTTCTTTTACTTGGTTTATTTTTCTTATGTTATTTAATAATCAATTCCTGGCGCATTCGCCATTTATTCAAAAAAACTGGCATCCACAAGACGTCACATCACTTTCCTAGCATTTTTTCATTTTTTACTCTATAATTTTTTCCAATTCATTTTCCCGAGTAACTTCGACTCCAGAGCATCATAACTAGCCTCCCCTAAGAGGAGGAGACCTGGGTCACCCCCTAACCCTGATGTTCGGGCATCGATGACCTGTGTAGCATGCAGAGGTACCCAAGGGAGTCACCACCCTCTGGTTTACGAGCTAGGTGTTCTAACGCTAGAGGCTTCGGCCGGATACGACCTGGCACCCAAGCTACGAGACTTCTTCGTGCACGTATCCCGTGACGTCTCGACAGTAGAGGGGGCGGGATATCGGACACATTGAAGATGAGGAGGGGGGTCCGCCTGTAGGGGGTCCCGGTGGATGTCCGCTCGATGGGTGACGAGGGTGACCCGAGACGAGGCTGCTTAGCTGGGATGGGAACTGACTGGCGAGGCTTAATCGTCGGGCAAGGGTTAAATCTGATGAAGGGAGGCGAACTTATATGCTCTGGAGGATTTTTTCTTTATGTGATTGAGTCGTATGTTGACTAGATATTCGTTAGAGGTGGCTAAGTATAATTTTTTGTCAATTTTCCTGTTCTTATTGACCACATACTTCTTTATTTTTAATATCATCTAATATATTTTGCTTTATCTTGCTTTTGGCCTACCTCGCTATATTTCTGTCTGCCATATTTTCTTTATTTTTGGAATATCGTTCATCGATTCTATATATTATACTCTTCCAATGACTGTCTTATATATTTGTATATTTTCAATGTTCACTAATTTATCCCCCATTTTCATGCCATTTTTCAATAATATCTTTCATCCTTCTCAGAATTTTCTAATACATAATATTTCAACATTTCTATTGCCTGTATTGTATTTTTTATTTCTTTTGATGCCATTTTTTTCAATGTACCATAGCTCTATTTTACTATGTCTCCTATATTTATTTCATTGCAGGAATGCCGTCATACATATCAATTCTATAAACTATTTTATTGATTGTATTTCTTCTAAGTCTTCTTATATTTCTATAATTTTATATTTTTTTGTGTCATTCTTCTTTGACTTTTCTAAGTTCATCACACATTTTCATGCAATTTTTTTTATTCCACACCTCTATTTCTTTATTTGTCTCTCATATTATCTTCATTCTGTGAAATATTCTATTAATTTACATCATTTTTCATCACACCATACAGGGTAGTGGTTCTTAAATATCTTCTTTTATTTGTATTATTGTTTATATTACTGCTATTCTCTTCTGACTTCTTAAATTTAATTTCTATTGATGCCTACGTAGAGGTATTCATTTATATTTTTGGACTCACTGTCTAATTAATTTTATTTTTATTTCATTTCTAATCCGTTTTAAAATTGAGTGGGATATTGTACTGCTTTGGAACAAGGATATTTCGGAACAGCTGCACTTCAATTCAACCACCCGCTTCAAGATGTCATTAGGTTGATCAACATTCAACAGTTGATTGAGAATGAAATTCATCATTGAAAAGAAAGCTAAATAATTTTAGGTAAATTATACTAAAAGATGTTTTTTTTTTTTAAATGAAATATGTTTAATGAATATCTGTATTTTGGAAAATTTGATTAATTTCAAATAAAGTAGTTTGGCGCACAATTTACTTAGGGTAGGCAACTAAACATACATTAAAAATTACATTATTGATATTATTAGGCAACTGCAAATACATTTTATGTGTATTTAGAGTTGCCTATATATCGAGTTATGTTTTTTTAATATAATTTTTAATTATTATAATTAAAATATTTCCCAATTACAGATACAGCTAACTTAATTATATTTAGTTTTCTGTGTTACGAAGATTTCTATATATCTTTTATTTTATGTACCTCATCAATTCACTGATTATTTAAAACTATAGAACTAATAGTTATTAATCAAGCTTGTTAATGAACAATTCATTAATGATTTTTTATATTTTTCTTGCAGAACCAAGTCTTTCCAGGGTCCAAGGGTAGCCAGAAGATTTATTTACCTCAGCAGAGACATCAGTATGTCCATCAGCACCTTGGATTTTAATATACTTTTTATATTACTATAGTTATTAAAAAATAATATGTTAATAAACTATAATTAATATTAAATGAGTTTTATTCAGCCAAAATATATTAGAAATACTGTCTAATCATGGACAAATAGAAAGCCATTTAATTATCACAAAAATAATGTATTCTATTACTAAAAAAACAAAAGTTGTTCAGGAATAGACAGTATTTTTAACGAAAATAATACCTACCTTTTACTCTTCGCTCTTATGCACTCCTGATACAAATCCGAGAAAATTCAGTTTTTAACAAAAATCGAACGAAAATTTTTAATCCTAGTCCAAAATCACTGATTTCTATCAGGAGCACATAAGTGTAAAGAGGTAAGGAGCAAATTGAGTACCAATATTTACCTCCTCGCTCTTATGTACTCCTGATACAAATCCGAGAAAGTTCAATTTTTGTCAAAGACTGCACGAAAATTTTTAAACCTGGTCAAAAATTGCCGATTTCTATCAGGAATGCATAAACGTGAAGAGGTAACGAGCAAATTTAGTACCACACGTAAATAATAACATTATCAACGATATTTCTGCTATCTCTAGCACTTCGAACTCGTTTCCAAAATTCAACCCCTAATATTTCGGAAACTATAAGGGACAGAGGGGAACAGAACACGGCATTCGATAGGCATTTCAACCCTCTATAAGGGCGCAAAACAAGGGCGCGATCGGAGACCAAAAAATTTTTTGGCGAAAAATGAGGTAAGGGGTTAACCTTCCTTCACTTTTGCCGAAATTTTTTTTTTGTCTCCGATCGCGCCCTAATTATGCACCCTTATAGAGGGTTGAAAGGCGAATTGAATGCCGAGTTCCGTTCCTCGATATCTCTTATAGTTTAGAAGTTATGGCCGTTTTTCGAAAAAATCTAACTCGTTCGAACTCGTTGGTCGGGTACTCCATTATTTGCCAGGTTGAAATTATTTTGGGCAGCTTTTGTTAAAAGTGAGATGTCTTGAATTTATATCAGAAACATATGAGTGCGAGGAGATATATACTTTTATGATTTTTCAAGCTCTTATGTGTTCCTGATACAAATCCCTAATTGTTCAACATTTAACAAAAATTGAACGAAAGTTTTTAAATCTTATCCAAAATTACCTAATTTCTCTCAGGAGCACATAAGAATAAAGAGGTAAGGAGTAAATTTATTACATTTTCAGGGATTACTTGACTGTGACAGTTGTGCCTGTCAGTTTAATTCATAGGTAAGCTGTATTTTATGTCATTTTTAGATGCCGCTGTCAAAATCATCCCTGGCTCGTCGAACAGACTATAGTTTTATGACACAAATAAAACACAATGTTTTAAACTAAATATATTGATTTATTAAAATATACACAAGGAATACATCTTCAATATTAAAATATATATACGATAATGCATAACGTTTCTTGAGCATATTTGTAGTAGGGTTGTACGTTGTACGCTGGCTAGTCTGAGGCTTCAAATCCGCCGAGTTCTGTAAATAAATAAAAAAAAATAGTATTAATATTGGTATTATTAAGTAAATTGTTAATATTATCTCTTTAAGTTAATAAAGCACATCAAATTTACTTAGCAAAAATCAGGCAGAAAATTATACGAAGCTAACTAAAGCACCGTCTACACATAACGTTTGCCTGTCAGTTAAAACGGAAGAACGTCTAGAAATCTGAGGGCAGTTCTTCCATTTTAATTCAGTCACAAACTAGCTTTTAAATGCGATTGAGTTCAAGTAAAACAACCCTTTTTTCGTTTTACACAAAATGTATTACTTTTACGTAAAAAACAGTTCAAACGCAACGACTTTTCTGTGCAAACCGCCAAAATCTATGCCCAAGAGCTGAAATTTTTAACTCAGTCTCCCGAGTTTGTGCAGTTCTAAAATTCGTTCAATCCTGCTGTCCACACACGACTACATTTTATCTGCAACGTTTTGACGACGGAAGCAAGTCGCTGCGTCTATACCGCGCTTAAGGTCAAACGTGTTATGTGTAGACGGTGCTTAAACACATTTTTGAACTCTGTACAGGGTGATCACGTATATTTTAGATATAAATATTAATTTCATTCTGAAAGTTTTAGTTTTTTTTGTAATTATCACATTCTAACGTTCGATATAGCTTATATTGGCTAAAATATGCATAAACACCGTATATATACATTTAACTTACAATGCTGGTATCAGCAGCAGATGACTAAAATTGTTAATTTTATTTTTTTAGTAAAATAAACGTCATGAGTTAAAAATAAAGCGTTCACTCTATTCAAATATTAAAGCTTCTAACTTAAGTGTAAAAATGCAGCACCAAAGCAACTAATTAATGCTAACTATAGCTACTAAAGTTCAAATATGTTGTAAATTGTATGATATTAATTATCTATATCCCTCTAAATTTAAATGTCTATTCTATACTACCATAACACTTATATTAGGTCAATAATGACTTACTTTTGATGTTGGGTAAATTTTCAGTAGGTGGAAAATATCATTATGGGAACCCTTAATTCTTAAAAATTAATATTAGGTACCTACTATGAGATAATAAATTGTTAAAAACTATATATATTATATAATACTGACATACTATCTCAATTATTAAATAATAACAATATCTATACAGGGTGGTCCGAACTGTATTCCGGAAACTTCGGCAGCATATTCTGCAGATAAAAATAAGTAAAAAAGTTTGAATAAATGTACGTACTAAAATGCTTAGTTTCAGAAATACAGGGTGTAGAAGTTTCATTTTTATGTTGATTTTTTCCAAATAATTTCTGAAGTAACGTCAATATTTGGATGAAAATTGGTGTCTGGGAGTTTTTTGATATGAGAAATTTGATTTTGATGTCAATATGAGTCCTACTTGTAGAGGGCACCACCTACACATTTTTTAACTGGTTTGAAGAGTAATAACTTTTAGTCCGTATCTACTACAAATTAAAAACCAAATTTCTCATGTCAAAAAACTCCCTGACAGCAACTTTCATCCAAATATTGACATTACTTCAGAAATTATTTGGAAAAAATCGAAATAAAAAAAATTAAACTTCTACACCCTGTATTTCCGAAACTAAGCATTTTAGGACATACATTTATATGATTTTTTTTACTTTACTGACTTACTATCTCAATTATTAAATAATAACAATATCTATTACATATATTACATCATCTCCCTTTTAAAATGATATACAAATAGGAATAGAAGAAATACAATATGATCGAAAAGAAAAAAACGGCGTCAGCGATGGCTACGAAATGAAGATCGCTGTCATTTTATATGTAAAATTATAGGCGTTACAACGATGTTAATTTCCAAGCCAACTGGACGCCGTTTTTTCGATCATACGGTAGTATATAGGAAATATAGTCTGTCAAACGGGAGCATCACTGACAGTGACAGTTGTGTCTGTCGTCTATCGAAATCTTCCCCGAATCGTTGGACAGACTATAGTAATACATCAAACGGATAAAAAATGTAGTATAGTAAATAAAAATGTATTAAAGATTATTTTTAACAAAAATTTCGTAAAATTTAATAACATTTGCTGTTTATTTACATTCCATATTAAATTAAATAGTTTAATATTTCGTTTTATAAATTATATTATTTATAAAATTAGCAAAATAAAACTCTAATTCGCCACATTACACCAAAACACTTTTGCTCTGGACAAAAGCTTTAATCATCTGCTGATGATGCTAACATGGTTAGCGAAACGCGCGGCCAGTGTAAAAGTAAAGTGTATTGGTGTATTGTAGTGAATTAGTGTTTTATTTTGCTGTTGTAACACCAAAGGTTCCAACCCTCAACTGTAATTTATAAAAGTAGCATTAAAAATTAAATCTGATAACTATTTCTGGCTAAATAAATATTTCCAAATACAAAATCAGTAAATTACAAACATAAAATGTATCAAAAATAAATAAAAGTCTAGTTTATGTGACACACCTTTATTTAATTTTTGATAACAATGACATAATTGAATAGAGAGTACACTTTTTGTCAACAAAATCTATTTCTAATATCACCCATATGTGCAATTCAATCTAAAATTCAACAACATAAAACTTCATAATTTTTTTTTAATTTTTAAATTTCTTTGTTTTGGCATTTCTACTATCACCGGCTACATTTTATATAGCTTTTCTCTTACAATGTCTTTTTTTGTGAAATATTCAATAATCAAATTAGAATATTTATAACATATATGCTTTAAGGTTGTCAATATATCGTTCAGCTATCGTTCACCGTTACGTCATCATTACTTGTCAATAAAATTATAACCCCAAATCAAATGACAATGACAATTACTAAAAAGAATATGCCGTAATGACGTCACCAATCTATTTCATTTAGTTAGCAAATGACTGAGAGTGACTGAGTTTGACAATATATTATGACGTGATGTTGAACGATGACTGAACATTCTATATATATTTTTAGATATATAAGATAAAATATAATGTATACAAAAAATACCTGAATATAAAAAAACTCTGGATTATGTGGCATAATATATCAGCAAAACTTAGCATAAAAAGGTTATATACAGGGCGTTTTTTAACAAGGGCAAGTATCAAATTTTCTAAAAAAATACTATCATAAATACGGATAACTTTTGTGCATATTATGAGTATAATGATAAAAAATAATTCTTGGCCTTGAAAATTAATCTCTCATTAACACATATTTTTAAATCCAATTTAAAGTTATAAATAACAATTCTAACTTCTTAGAAAAATTGCGATTATATTTGATAAACATACAAACGGCGCGGCGTGAGCTTTGTAGGTATATTTATATTTAATTCAATATAAAATTGAGCTATTCATATTTATATTTTATGCAATTTTCTGAACGACAAGGGATTTCCGTTAAATTATTTTAAATAAAGGAAAATTTTACATTTTAAATTGCCCCATTGATATTAAATTATCATATTTTCATTTTTATAGATCTGTCCTTGCATGTCGATCAGTTAAGTACGTGACTTATTTCCAGGAATTATATCTATTAACAATTTACAAATAAATAGTTGCTATTCAAAGGTTTGTGCATGTTTAAAACATTTTAAAACTATTAATAACCCTATTCGATAATCAATTTATATGAAAAACCTTACTAAGGTAAGCAAAATTTGTTTTTTTTATGCAATAGTAAAATCTAACTACGTATAAACACTAAATATACAGGGTGTCCTGAATTGTATAGTAGTTCAAAACAACTTTCTGGTTATCATACACAGTAGCTGCCAAAATGGATGGAATAATATGAGGTTATGTCAAAGAAATGATACTGTATTAGGAATTCTTCTTGTTGAATTTACTTTATTTTATGCGATTCTAACAATAAAGTTAACGGCAATTCAAGACACCCTGTACAGGGTGTCCCAAATTAGAGAATCGTCATTGTGTGTCCACGTCTTTATCAAAAATATTGATATTACATGTAAGAAACTATTTTTTACGCATATAAAACTATTTGTTACGCGTAAAAAACTATTTGTTACACGCAAAAAACTATTTTTTAAGTGTAAAAAAATTAAAATGCAAATATTCGTTTTTTTTTCAAAAATCTTCAGAAGTACTCAGAATTTTTAAACTTTTAAGATGGCATTTTTATCACCATCACACTGCGCAACTTTTCCTCAATGTAACCGACCTAATATCTTCTAGTTTCCGAAATTCCAATGATGAGGCAAATATCTGGGACACCCTGTACAATACAAGAAAGATGACTAGAAATTCAGACAGTTTACATTATTACAATATCATCAAAAGTTTCATATTTAAGCCAATAATTTTTATTGTCCATTTAACTCACCACCAAAAACTTATGTTTAAAACATTTGAAATAATTCAAATCGTACTTTTTATTGGACGTACCTTTCAAATCACATCCTTTTTTAAATGCTTCGTTTAGCATTTTTTGAGCTACATATCTTTAAAATCGTCGTTAAAAAATTACTGTCAAATAACTTTTTAAAATATAAATTTAAAAAAAAATTTTTGGAACTAAGTCAGACAAAATAAAAAATCCTCAGACCAATAAAAAAATAATAATATACATCATACTCTTCTTTTTTTGTTAGTCTGAGGATTGAAATTATAATAATCCTATAGATAATAGTTTACAAAATTTTACTTAGAATACCTAGTTTTTTTTATCTAAAGGATTTTATTTAATATTTCTGTTAATAGATAGGAAATATTTATATCAAATTCCATTAAAAAAAATATTAGCATTAAAGATCGTGAAGAAAACTACAGCTTATTTACAAGTTTTTCTTTTGAGTTTTCATATTGAGAAAATAGCCTTATGTGTATTGTTATGCTTAATAATATTTTTATAGAGTTTACTATCAAAATATAGAGATTGTCAGTAAAAGATTGTTGTGATTGAAATTTACTCATAAAAACTAAAAAAAATACAGATATAGAATATGTTCTGTAATTTTATCAAATTCAAGCATCGTCTTTACTACCTTATGAAACCGTAAAACATATCATATCGTACGATTAAAAAAAACAGCGTCATAGTAACCTTTGAAATGGCAATCGATAATGATTTCTGTCAGGTCGATGTCTAGATAATATTTAATTTAGAAAAAAGTAATAAAATTCAAAGTTTTTTACTTTTTTCATTGAAATATTAAGTTTTTTGACAGTTTTTGATAAATAAATGACATAAACTGTCATGGATTATTGTTTAAAAGACCTCACTGACGCTGTTTATTTTTTCGATTGTATGGTAAATATTTTTTTATTAAAGTTCATTCTTCTACGCTTGGTTTGAGCCAAAATCTACGTTAAATTATTCAACTTTAAATCTTATTACGAAAAATCCTACAGGACTGCGCTACTTGGGCTTAAAATATAAATAGTAATCTCATACGCTTTTTCAAAAATTTTAACGATGACATCTATATTGAGTTAAAAAAATCCGTAATCATCCGACATGTCATTATTGACATATCAAGCCTCCTCTGGCTCTAACAAATGCTGTGCCTCGATGTAGTTCTGAAACGTTTGCGGGAACCTCTTGTTCAGAGCTGCGGCGGTAGTGATGTTCTGCTGTCTTTTTATCGCCATCAGGGTGAACACTACCGCCAAGCTGACAAGAAGTAGAGCGACTAAAACGCCACCTACTGCAAAAGAAACCAAGCTTAACACTCACCAATGAGAAGTCAACATAATAGATGTTAATAATTCTACAGGGTTGTTCACCACATACGACACGGAGTATGATAGCTAAACGATTAGATTTTTACAAATTTTAAGTTTTGGGTTCATTGAAGGACTATTAGAGCTACAATTTAGAAATAATTTTACAAGATACAGAGTGTCCCAAATAAGTAAAAAATGCTATAGTTGTATTTTTTTAAATGGAACACCCTGTATATTATTACATTTTTAGATTCTACGATTAAAATAAAGGTAAATTTTATTAAAGTTTATCACACTTAAACCTTACCGTTTTTGAAATATTTTCAATTTTGTGAAATTGCAGTAAAAATTTTAAGGCTTCATTTCTCCAAGGGTATTAAAGTTTTTAATACTAAATATTTACTGAAGTTTATTTATTGACCAGTTATTGTGTTGCAATAATAAAAATTATACTACCTTATACAGAGTGTCTAAAATTTTATTTTAAATAATTACTAACTTTAAACGGCAATAACTTGTTTAATTTAAATAGAACGCCCTGTATATTTTAGGAGAATCAGATGCATAATTTAATTGTCTATCAAATTGTATTATACCACTTTTTACCTATCCCTTCAAGTTTTCGTAGAAAATGCATTTTCTTATAATTTAGACCTCATTTATCAATATACCCATGGAATATTGACATTTTAGATTGTTTTTAAAGCAACAAATGTACAAAATGTACAGGCATTACTAGCCTTATTATTGTTTTTAACAAAATGATAATATTACTAGCCCATTTGTATGCAAAAAGAAAACTATTTAAATCTTCATAAAAGAGTATACCATTAATTAAATATACCACCATTATTTCCGCCCAAATACTAATTAATTACATACTTAATTATGTTCGTGAATTAATTATTCAAAATAAATGTGGATTTGAATCAGAAATCAATATAATAATAAGTTATAAAAATGAATGTCTCTGTTGTTACAACTAAGCATTTGTCAAAAAATGAAATATCATTTTTAAGGTGTTACTTTTTATCACACTGTCTAATACACATAAAAATTCAGTTTTTTAGTTTTTGGAGCAATTATTATTAATCAACGCAAACAGTCAATTAATGTAGTTTGAATACTGGAATCATTTTAATTGGTCCTTTTTAACAAATATTTAAACAGTTTTTTTTATTTTTTAATGAAATAAACAAAGTATATCGAGAATATTAGTATCTGTACTCTTTAAAAATTTGGTACATCTTTAAAAATAATCTAAAATGTCAGTCTTCCATGGATATATTGATAAATGAATTTAAAATTACAAGAAAATGCATTTTCTACGGAAACTTGAAGCTATAGGTAAAAAATGGTATAATACAATTTGATAGACAATTAAATTGTGCATCTGATTCTCATAAAATATACAGGGTGTTCCATTTAAATTAAACAAGTTATTGCCGTTTAAAGCTAGTAATTATTTAAAATAAAATTTTAGACACTCTGTATAAGGTAGTATAATTTTTTATTATTGCAACACAATAACTGGTCAATAAATAAACTTCAGTAAATATTTAGTATTAAAAACTTTGATACCCTTGGAGAAATGAACCCTTAAAATTTTGACTACAATTTCACAAAATTGAAAATATTTCAAAAACGGTAAGGTTTAAGTGTAATAAACCTTTATCAAATTTACCTTTATTTTAATCGTAGAAACTAAAAATGTAATAATATACAAGGTGTTCCATTTAAAAAAAAATACAAGTTTGATATTTTTTATTTATTTGGGACACTCTGTATCTTGTAAAAATATTTTTAAATTGTAGCTCTAATAGTCCTTCAACGAACCCAAAACTTACAATTTGTAAAAATCTAATCGTTTAGCTACAATACTCCGTGTCGTATGTGGTGAACAACCCTGTATATACAGAACGATGATAGGTTGAATGTTTATGGAAATCTGCTGAAAGCATTTTTTTGAAAATTTGGATTTTTACATGAAGGCGATTGCACCATCTGTCGAAAATATTGTCAGCGTTACAGTGTTGCCGGATCTTATACAGGGTGGCGCACCTCATTCGCCTCGGTTGATTCTCATATTTCAAAACTACTTTCATATCTTAAAATTTGTCTATTATACTAACCTATACATACCTATATCTAATAGTGTTTAAGGTAAAAGTAAAAATAGTTTTGAAAAATGTAATAACATACCAGGCCGTTCTATTTAAAATAACAAAGATGCTACCACTTTTAGTACGAAGCGGCAGCACTGTTCATTAAAATGTTGTGACAGTTTTATCATCGGTTCCCATAAACGTGTAACCTATTATCCCCGTGAATCGCCCTGTATAACATCATAATTTCCAATTTTTATCCTAATTTTGTCAAATTATTAAAAAAAATTAAGTAAAACAAGTTCTACGTCAGTTATTTTAGGAGAGACAGCCTGTATAGCACATCTACTTACTTGACATCATCAGTATCGTTCCCACACTGTACTTTCCCGGACCAGCAGCGGCTAAAACATGACTAGCAGGCGTACTACTACCGTTATTTTTGGTGGGACTTATCTCTAAAATGGCACAAAACAAATTGAACAAGTCCACAGTATTGAACGGATCCACTTTGGTTTCTTTCTTGATTTTCGGCCCGATAGCCATAAAATACGGATGCATATCCTTCACAGTGTAATCGTAACCGTGAACTCCGAATTCTGACTGATTCGTCACTGAAAAAAATCACCCTGTATATCGAGAATTTGAAAAAAAAACAGTAGACAATTTAAGCACGGCCAAAGACGTATAGATAAATCAATAAAAGTTGGTATGTACGTCATTAAAGATGTACAAACTATTACCAAATTAAATTATTGTTCCATTTAAAAAAAATTAACTTTGATATGCCGTAAACTTTATGACCGATCCTGTATACTTAAATTTATTACCCGCTAATAGATATTTATAAACCCTATAACTTTTGTATTTAACTTTTTGTGGTACCTCATATATTTTACCTAATAATCGACCGTTCCCATACATATCAGGGACCCTGTATAAATTTTGTGCCGTGCTTTAACTGTCTAACTTAACGTGTAACTTACGAGTAAAGTTATATTTTTTGGCATACTGGGGTGCGCTAATAATCAAGTCATCCAATGCATAACCTTCGTCAGCCATGACTAAAATCGGGGGAGACCTAGGGTTGTTTTTGTAGTGCCATCTGTCCAAATACTCCGATTTTTTGTACACTTTAAAGTGACCATTCTCTTTAGATCCTTTTTTTAAAGCACTGTATATAATATCTTCGTGACCTCAAATATAATTCATATTTTGTTATGAACATTGAACATTATTTATTTTAATTTTAATCATAATCTGGTGTTTACTAATATATTTAAGTTTACTGACTTTTATCTTTGAATAAAAATATTAGGGGAGGAGTATAATGACTAAAGAATACAAGGACCAATAACACCAAAAACCAAACTGATTCCAGTTGAAACCAAACAGTGCCGTGCCAGAGGGTTAATATGATCCGCGCTGTTCGTCTGCGTGTTTTTTCAAGTTGGCCGTCGAACTCATATCACAGATTATACAGATTATAAACTTTGTTTTTTCTTTATTGTTTTTCGTGGTTCCAATTTTCGGAATCGGACACTAGTTAGGTTACTAGTTTGCGCACATAGCACGCCCACTTATAGCCTGTAAAATTGTGCACAGCGCCTGACCGGCACAGTTATTAGAGAGATATCGGAAAACCCAATAGCGTCATGCAGTATTTACGCGTACCTTATCATGGTTACGATATGCGCGAGTCAATTTTTAACGCAACACCCGCTAATAACGTTACCGCCTGACGTAATTTGCGGATCAATTACACACCAAGCGCTATTTCTGAATAACGTTTAAAAATTGCTTAAATGCGCATGTGTGGGTATTTGACAACCGGGGCCGGCCGGCAAGATCTTTTATTTTAGGTTATGTTTGAATTGTTTTGAATTATTACTTTAGTTTTATTAGGTAATTTGATATTTAAGTAGCTGGGATTAGTTTTAATTAAATAAATATGGCCCAAAATATGGATTCCACCTCTTCCAATATTAAAGAACCTACAAAGAGGCTTAAGTTTACAGCAGATGACGACTTAGCCCTTCTAAGAGAATTTGTTGCTTGTTGCCCTAAACCCACTGGCAAACGTTAAACAATAAAGTACTGGAAATAAGCACTTTAGCCCTTTACTTTTAAAATACCTAGTTAACAAAACAATTTCAAAGTTTTAAATTCAAAGTTAGGTTAAGTTTAAATAGCGGACGCGACGCGAACAGAATTCTTTCCGATCCGATAACTATAAATGAAGAGAGTTAATACCACTTCACGTAAAGGAAATAACACCTGGCCTTATTAACGTCTATGCACGCTATTCGGTTTAGCGATATCTCTCTATTACGCTGTTTATTGTTATTTTACGCGAGTTTATTTTTGCGCACAGGAAATTTTACTCGTTTGTACATCGTCATAAAAAAACAATTTTCGTACCACGAATTAGGGACAAGATTTTTATCTGTATACTTATAGGATACCTAATCTCTGCTCATATAAACTCATGGTACTTGCTCAAAGTCGCGGATGATCCGCTCCATCTGAAAGCGCTGTTATTGAATTTTTAGGCACATTAACTTGGTTTATGAATAATATTTATTTATTTATATTTTTGATAAATGTTTCGCCTACGCCTATGGTGGATGCTGCTTTTCTAGGTGGTGTTATGTCAATTATGTAAAGAAAAAAGTATTAAAACATTCACAAAAGGTACAAAACCAGTATGGACTATTGTTTTTAATTAATAAATATATTAATTCAATAAATAAAGTGCAGAAAATTATTGTTTGTTTATGTATTTAGAAACATAATTCCTGGCCTCCTTCTTTCTTCTAGCTGCGGGTTTTACACTTTAAAGCTGAACAAATCACTATGGTAATAAAGTTTATACAAAGTTTACTACACACAACAAATAATTAAAAATTGCTAAACTTGTCTCTAGTGTAACTTCCTCTGTTTGGCACCAAAAAAATGGCGTCCTATAATTTTAATTGAAGAGTTTACGCGTCCTTGTAGGTATTCTTTAGTTATTAAAAATGTTAGATTTTGATTTATGAAAATTAATAATTCATAAACCATTAGATGGATTAATACAAAAAAAATCATACCTTCATGAGGAATAATTTGTATAGCTGGGCTAGCACCGGCCCATTCGTATGTCCCATTGGTGATATACTGTGTAATATTAATAAAAAAAGGAGGACTCACTGCCGTCATTCCATGATCACTTAATTGAACTACATTTACTTTATCTGACAAATTATGATGTTCTAATTGTGCCTAAAATTATTATAAAAAAGTAAATAAAACACCTACTGTCTTAAATATAAGCTTACATGTAAATATCCTGTGATATTATCAAGTTTCTCTAGTAAATCTTTGATAATTACAGAGTTTGGACCGAAAGCATGTCCATGCGTGTCCGGTTCCTCAAAATAAAGCATCACCAAATTAGCTGGTTTGTCTGGATCCAATATCCATTTTATTACCTAGAAAAATATAGACAAATATGTTTAAATCACCTTGTATTAATAAAAGTAGATTGCTTACTTGGTCAACTCGTTTTTTCCAATCATATCCCGCTTGAAAACCAACCGAATAAGTTATATTCTTTCCTTGATAAGAATAGTCACCCCCAGGCCACATAAACGTACCAGAATACCTGCCATTCCCTTGATCTTCGTTCCATCTCTATAACAGTTAAATTTTACCAAACCAAATCAAAAACTAAATAAAACCAAACTTATACCCATATCGGTTTAACCCTATCATTATAATTGTACATCCCCGGGCCCATTTTCATAACTTTCTTTATTTCTGGATCGTAATACGAGTTTCCTATCACCCCATGGACCTCAGGGAACACCCCGGTGGCAATAGAATGGTGATTTGGGAAAGTTTTCGTTGGAAACACGTTATATAAGTACTCTGCATGCGTACCTTTCGTTTTTATCAGCTGCATGTACGGTAAGTTTTCAGTTTCAAAGAAATTATATCGGAAAGCATCAAAGGACACCACTATAAGCACTGGATGTTTCGAAATACATGTTACTGACGAAATTAGAACTAAGAAATAAAGGAATTTTAAACTTATCGGCTGGCTGAACATCGTAGTTTGATACTTCTTGATGGAGATTGGTAAATAATCTAGATATTACAGCTGATAGCTAATGCATTTAAGCATTGCTTGAGTATTTTTGTTCCATTTGAAAATGAAATTGAATGAACTCGAAAATTGCAACAGCTGATTTTGAAGGATGTCTACAATGTTGCCAGCTTTGCTTATTTTTCATGAAACGTAAAGAATTTGTAAATAGTATGGAAAAATAAAACATAATAATAAAATTTTTATTTACAAATAATGCGTTTTATGGTATACCCGTTTTATATATAATAAACACTAAATAATTCAGATATATCGCTAAGGCATATTTCTAACGTCATTTAATTTTGTACTCTTCTTCAACTTTCGCTATATACTTGTCCATATCTTCTAAAGGTTTATAGTACAAATGAACGATTTGAGAACCAGCAAACATGCTTAACAAAGCACTAGCAGTGAATTTAAGGTACTGGCCCCAAGAAACACCGGCCGGCATTGTACTAAAAACTATAAAACTTCTTCCTTCGATTGAAAATAAACTATCAGTTATTTGAATCTTTTCCCAGTCTTTCTTGTACGATATTTAAAGCTTGTCGCTTTTTATAAGTGTTATCTATAATAAAAAGACCTGTATAAGTAAAATAAAGTCTTTTAAAGGCAATACTTACAAAAATTCACGTCTCCTACTGACCAGTTGATCATGGAAAATTCAAGAGCAGCTCCCAATACGAAAAAGGCCGGTAAAAACCTATACATACCAAAAGTTCGCTTTCCCGGCCATTTATCTAGGAAACTTTTTAATCGTCTACTATAAAAAATCATTGGAAATTTAGCTTTCTTTTATTAAAATAAGGCATTAAGTAGCCATTTGAGGTTATCTATGTTTGCGTAACAATTGTTTCTGTCTTTTTCTAGCACGTTGTTAAAGAGTTGTCGAAAATGGCATGTGCGGAAGTAAGTTTTGATAGTTAGAGGTCGCGTGCATTTGTCCATATAAATATACGAGGGTAATTTCGTTAGTTCTGATTTCAAAGTTTTTTTAATTAACGTGATAATAATAATTAAATTTAATGAATAAAAATTATTAGCGATAAGAAAAAAATAAACATACTTTACTTTCAAATATTTATTTAAATATCTTACTAAAAATAAGTACTATATTGTTTGACTTGCATTAATACAGGGCGGTGTTCGATATTTCACAGGATTTTCAAGTATTTTCATGACAAAAATTTCATAAAAATATTTGATCTAAAATGCTCCGTTTTTGAGATACAGGGTAATCAATTTTTAAGAAAAAAATCGTTTTTACCTATCTTTGGAGCCACTCCAGGATATTTTTATGAAATTTGATAAATCTGTCGATTTTTTTAGCATTAAAATATCCCTCAAAATTTCATTTGAATTGCTAAAAGCACTTGCAAGAAAATTATAATAAATAAAAAAATGACTTTAACCCATTGTAGTTCAGAAACAAAGCAGAAAAAAAAAATTACGTGAGGAATCTTCCCACGAGGGATGGCACATGTACCTCCAACCAAACCAAACCAAACACCCTGTATAAACTTTTTATCTTAAAAATACTTGAAAATCACCCTGTAAAAAAGCGGAAATAAAAAAACTTATTAACAAACACTCAGTATTTCACGAAATTAATCTAGTAACACAAATAAAATCAAAGTCGCAAAAGCGACAAAATAGGATACTAGTGAACAATTAATTGATATCTAAAAATTGTAAACTAAAAAAAAACAATAAATAAAATCGCAGTTCGCAAATAATACAAGAAAATAAGTTATTCATCTCCTGGCTCTGTACCAAAATACCTGTCTCCGAAATTCCCAATACCAGGCAAAACATAAAATCTGTCGTTTATCTCTGGATCTATAGCTGTGGTAACAATCTGGATTTTAGGAAACGCGTAGGCTATAGAGTGCACTCCAGATTCAGCCATCAACAACGAAACCTAAAACGCCCATCTCTAATACTTAGGAATCAGGAAACAAATCTAATATTTTACAACGTTGCCAACACGTGCTAATATTCAGAAATTTAATTCTATAATCTCTCCAGTATACAGGGTCGCTTTTATGTATGGAAACGGTCGATTATTAGGTAAAATATAGGAGGTACCGCAAAAAGTTAAATACAAAAGTTATATGATTTTTAAATATCTATTAGCGAGTAATAAATTTAAGTATACAGGGTCGTCATTCAAATTCAAATTCAAATTTCTTTATTAGACCCCATTAAGTTTTACAGAATAATATTAGTATTAATAAATGTGTGTCTAAAGGGATCGCACTGCGATTAAAAAACCGATACAATGGCACAAAGTGCCAGAGTGGTGCGACCCCAAATACAAAATAGAAATAAATTAAATTATAGAAATAAACAAAATTAAAAAAAAGTAAAATTATATAAAAAAAAGTGAAAATATAATTTTATCAGGGATGAGCGGAGATAAGCAGAGAGGCATAATGAAACAGTGTAAAAACCGGAACAGCAACCAATGACGGGCATATCAGAAGAACAAGATCTCACAAATCAGTCGAAGAAATTATAATATTTACGAATTTAGTAAATGATTTTTAATTTGTTTTTTATAATCTGTAAAGGATTGAAATTTAAAGTTATTAGAAATATTATTCCACAAATGTGGCGCCATGAAACTGAAAGATTTTTGGAAGTTAGCTGTTCGGTGTTGAGGAATTTTAAAATAATGCACTTGTCTAGTCGAATGATCATGGTCAACGTAGTGAAACAATGAGAACAAATAGGGAGGCTGCTCTGTAGTTAAAATTCGATAAATGATGTCATTAAATGAAATTGTCGTCTGTTAGTCATGGATAAAATAGATAAATTTTTAAGATGTGGCGTTATATGATCTCTAAAAGGAATGTTAAAAGAAAACCGTAGACACGAGCTTTGAAGTATTTGGATTTTTCTAGAGAATCTAGCGTTTATGGATGTACCATAAACAACATCGCCATAATCAAATAAAGATAAAATAAGTGTGTCACATAATTGATACTTAGTCTTTGATGGTATATATTTCTTAAGAGACGAACAATTCTTCAACCCTATATAAGCAGCCTTTAATTTAGTAGTTATATGTGCCTGAAAAGAAAGCTTCGCATGAAAATAGACTCCAAGATTTTTAGTCTCTGTAACAATGGGTATCGCTACATTATCTATATGGATATTCATGTTATCAGCCGTATTTGTAATTTTGTTTATATCACTACCAAATACTATAACACAAGATTTACCGGCATTTAATTTCAAATTATGATCCAGAGCATATTTATTAATTTTATTAAGATCGTCGTTAAAATTTAACTGAAATTGTGCCAAATTATTAGTATCTATTCTGCAATAAATTTGAGAATCATCTGCATATTGCTGCAATTCAGAAAACTGTAATTCCTTATTCATATCAGCTACATATAACGAAAATAAAAGTGGTCCCAGAATAGATCCCTGAGGAACCCCAGAAATCATAGGAATATAACTAGATTTTTGTTTTAAACTTCCCCTTTCATGACAACACAATGTGATCTATCTTTTAAAAGGTTTTTTTATCAATTCTAAAGAGCCGTCTGAAAATCCAAAATACTGTAATTTTACTAGGAGCAATGAATAGCAAGAAATTAGTCTAGAGTATCAAATGCTTTGCTAAAGTCTAAAGTCTAGTAAGCTAAGACACGTCATATTTTTATTTTCTTGATTTGTTCTAATATCATTAACCAGCTTCAGTAAACAAGCGGTAGTGCTGTAGTTCTTACGAAAACCAGATTGGGCATTCAGGTATTAGTTTATTTGAATCTACAAATGAAACGATTTGATTATGTAGATGTTTTTCTATAATTTTAGAAATTGCTGGCAAAATACTCACGGGTCTCAGATCGTTGTTATTTAAAGGTTTGGAAATTTTACAGAGAGGTGTTATAATAGCTTTTTTCCATATTTCGGGATAGACATTGTCTAAAATAGAAGTATTAATTATATTTATTACCGCTTTACCACAGTAAGGCATGCACAGCTTTAGTGCTTTAATTGATAAATCATCTTCACCGACAGCATTAGACCGAATAGAATTCGACGAATAATATTTGATGTAACGATACCTCATCTATTAGTTTGAAATTTAGAACATTATCCCCTATTTTTTCATGCTTATTTTGTCTATAAAAATCTATTTTTTTATTTGATGTACTATTAATGCAATTCTGACAGTTCGAAAAAAAAATATTAAGCTTATCTACATCCGCTAAGTTTTCAGGAACTTCTGGACTTGATTTAAATGTTAACTTAAGTCGTTTAGCATCTTTCCAGAAGTCTTTACCAGTCTTTTCCGATAAACCCTTAAAATAACTAATTTTTTCTCTAACTATAGCATGTTTTGTAAAATTCCTGAGTTGACGATAATAATTATAATATGTAATATTATTACATATTTCAATTCTTCTTTCAATTCTAAGCAAAAATCGAAATAACCACAATGTACCTCAAAGCAACCGTTTCCGAATTATTGACTTTTGAAAATGTCACTTAAACAATTCGATATAATTAATTTTGATGTGTTTGGTTTGATTTAATGATGCCATTCTGCCGAAACTGCGATACTGTTGTAACGGGTTTTAAATTCCTATTAGCTACTAATAAATTTAAGTATACAAGGTCGGTCATAAAGTTATGTCACATCAAACTTTTTTTTTTTTTAAATGGAACCCCCTGTATATTATTGCATATTTCAATTCTTCCTTCAATTTTAAACAATAATCGTAATACACAATGTACGTAAATTGAAGAATTGAAACGTTAAACAAAAATGTTGTAATTTCCAGACTTGCTATACTCTCACTTTATACATCTATAAATGCTAACTTGAGAACTAATGTCAAATATTATTAAGTATCACAGTTTCAGCAAAATGGCATCTTTAAATGGAACTAAACATATCGAAATTAATTAAATCAAATTGTTTAAGTGATATTTTCAAAAGTCAATAACTCGGAAACGGTTGGTATGAGAGACATTGTGTGTATTACGATTTTTGCTTAGAATTGAAGGAAGAACCGAAATATGCAATAATATACAGCGGGTTCCATTTAAAAAAATGAAACTTTGATGTGCCACGATTTTATGATCGACCCTGTATACTTAAATTTATTACTCGCTAATAGATATTTATAAACCCTCTAACTTTTATATTTAACTTTTTGCGGTACCTCGTATATTTTATCTAATAGTCGACCGTTTCCATACATAAAAGCGACCCTGTATAATATTCTACTTATTTTACAGGGTATTAAAAAATGCACGACCAAATTTCAGGGGCGGCTGATCCTTCATAAAAAATATGAAATGTTTATAAATACTTTAAAAATACTGGATACTAAGATTTTATCTTTAAAACTACCCATTTCCCAATCCATCTCCTGAAATTTGTGTTTTTTTTCGATCACCGTGTATTTTTAAATCACCCTGTATATAAGTTTTTTTTTAATTAATTTTAAGGCACTCACCAGTAAAATATTACTCTCGGCAACGTCGTGGTCCAATAATACTCTGATAGCCATCATGGCGGCTGCGCCAGTGGCTACAGTGGCGTCCATAAGGATCACCTTGTAATCTTTAATATCTTTGGGCAATCTTAGGTAATACAACTAGGAAAAAAAATCAATTCAAGTATAAAAATACAGTTGAAAAATAGGTTATGCAACACCTCAGGTTCTCCAGTTTGTAGATTAGTTTGAATCAGAATTTTCCCGATCCTTATGTCTTTACAAACGTCACAAACGGCCTGTTCCATGGTTTCTCCAGCCCTTAAAATGGAAACTCCACAAATGTTGTTCGTAGACATTGTTTTTCCTGTTTAAAAATTGAAATTAACCAAAAAAAATGACTAGGAAACGAAAAATCAGAGATATAGAGGTATGGAGCTAACTATCACAAATTAAATTACTGTAATTGCAAAACATTTTCCGGTGCACGTCATCAATCATATCGACATTGACATTAAAGTCTATAAACCTGACTAAATTAAATTTTGGCAAAAATGTTTAAATTTTTTATATATTTTAAGATACCGAGCAGCTCTTCATTTTACTTTATAGAGCAAACGATTGTAACAGATATTTTATTTAGATTAAAGCTGCAAGAATTAGTTTAAAGCGAATTTTATTATCGCTATGTTGGTCACATTGCGCCGTATTCAGCAACGTTGTCGTTTATTATTTGACAATTATCCTAATGTCAGTCATTATTTTGTATAATATCGTATTGTTGTTAAATTTTTTGTGAGTAATTCTCGTTTTCTTGCCTGTTTTCATAGTATTTTTTTAAAAATTGTACTTTTAAGCACAAACAGTTCTTTTAAGAACTAAATTTTCCAGTTTTTGTATTGCATTTCTTGAAATTGTGTGTTGAAAATATGCCGAAGCATTTAAACAGTCGAAGCAAAGAGCTTGTAGCTTGCCTGATAAACTATTTTGAACGAGAACGTGACTGCAGTCAGAGAACTAAGTTTGATTGATAAGCACAGTATACCACTTTCAAAGTTATTTCTACGTTAGTTTTTATTAAATTCTGTGATTATTAGTTTGTGCATTAATAGCACCCTTTTACTTGTTATTACCACTTATGGCGTTTTAAGATGTACCCATAATAACGCTTAAAATAATGTTCATATTGAACTAGTTTTTGCCAATATGTAGTAAGTAAAACAATCTATAAAACAAATAAATCAATTAATTACTAAAATATTAGTTATTAAATTAAAAATAAAACGTAAAAATCTCTAAAATATCATGTAATGAATATATTGTTTGTCAATTTTAAATTAAGATTCATCTCATAAATCCATCGCAATCTGGCAGCGCTGTCACTATCGCTTGTCACTCAAAGTTGATCACGTGCATTGGCTAGCTAAACTAGGTATACAAAATAGAAAATGCCATTTTCTACTGAAATAATTGAAAGTGATAAAGTATTATTATTATTTAATGATCTCCCATGTAGACCTAAAGCTCAAAACATGGTGACCACAATATAAGATTTTCGGATACGCACTCGTCGAGCAGTTGGCATTCTCCTTACCTCTATATCCCTGACAAAACTAAATAAGGTATATACCTTGATAAGGTACGCCCTGAGGGGTTTCGACGATTTTATCGTTGAAAATCATAAGGCTCAGGGTGTATTCTATCACCAATCGTATCAGTCTTTTGCTGTAAAATATAAATTCATCCCTGGGAGTGTCCTTGTTGCGGATAAACGTGTGAAGTCCCTTTATCTGAGGCGTTGTGGGTAATAATTTGACAGTTGGTGGTCTAGGACCGCTATTCATAGCGTAGGCATGAGCAAGTTCTTCTCGCAATTTGAAACCACGCTAAAAGTGGTATATTTTGACGTTTCTTACGACAGAAAAGTAAAAAAGTGATTTAATTGTCTATATTAGGTTTGTTCCAACAGAAATTTATCCACATACTCAATATCACTATCCTTCGTCACTCACAGAGCTGCAACAAGTCAGTTTTAATTTTAAAAAGACTGAAATCTTAAGTCATTTCTAAAATCAAAATGATTAAAGTCTTAATAAGTCTTTTAGTTCTAGTCAAGTCCTTTCTGTAAAGACTTAAATCAATATAACGTTATTTAAGTCGTTTGTATGACTTAAGTCTATATTTTTCACTTAAATCATGATGATCTGCAAGCAGGGTTCGGAAGTAGTTAATTAAGACGTAATTTACCTGATTAACTGCGTGTAGTTTTTCTTCAAAAACTACGTCTTTTCCCGTTCAATAACTACATGAAAACTACGTTAATAAACTATGAATTGATATTATGAATAATTTTGCTTTGTGCCAAGTGCTAGAGGGGATTCCCCCAGTACCTGACCAGGAGCTTCCCCACCAACGACAAGGTCTTGCATCTCCAAGGGGGTTTCCCCACATTTTCGACGACACTACAGTCAGGGACAAGACGATGAGTGAGATGCTTCTTAGACCAAGCCAAGTGCTAGAGGGGATTCCCCCCAGCACTTGACCAGGAGCTTCCCCACCAACGACAAGGTCTTGCATCTCCTAGTGGAAGATTTTCTTACTAAGTATCATATTATTAATTTTTTGTAGATACAGATGAGACTAAAACCACATAAAATAAAACGGTTAATTTTCAGAACAACTACAAACACAAAAATGTGTTTTTTTTTATAAAATTTAACCGATTTTGTAGTACTTTATATGCATCTATTACAGATAGATGTCATTAAATGTCTATTAAAAAGTGGTGATGTGTTTTGATCACTATGTTATATATCGATGGAATAAGCTAAGGGTTGGAGGATTTTAAGGTACTCTTTAATATATTCGGGATAAATTTTTTTTGTTCGACTTTCGGGCTACATAACGGAGTCGGGGATTCACTTGAAAGACAACAGACCCACTAGCCTGCGTAACACGACAAATAATCAAAACCAGTTCCGAAAAACTAACATTTTATTTACTAGTGGTATTGAGCATAGTTTTTTTTATTCTGCTGCTTGGCTGCCGCCTAACAGTTCTGACTTCAGCCTTTTATAAAAAGACTTCTTTTTAATGACATAAGTCTTTTGTAAAAAGACTTAATCTTATCGTTCGCTAAACGTTCTGAGTAAAAGAACGGTTCTCTGATGTGTTGGAACGAACCTGATATATCCACGTAAGTATATATGATCTAGGATTATTGATTATTTACCAGCTGAAGTTGAGTGTGAACATGCTGAACAATCAACTGAATGGCAACCTCATTTTCACCGCCTCTAGGAACTATAATATCGGCATGGCTCATCAATGGCGCAATATAATGATTAAAAGAAGGCTTAAAATAAAAATAAAAATCTGTTAATTTTACATCTACAGGGTGAGTCTTAAATAAGTGCAAATATTTTGCTGGAAGATCTCGATAAAAGAAACATATTTTCTCTTTACCGTGTTTCAAATAAGAGATTTTACTTTTAAAATTAAAAAAAAAAGATTTATTGATTAAATTTTGCGAGAACTACTGGATTTTTTCTGTTTTTTTTGTTGCCATATTATCAAGAAATTATGTTTTTTAGCTAAAAACTAAAAAACTTTCCAAAAAATGCGAAAAAAACTCATAGACGTGTTTCTGGGATCGAAATATACCACCCCTAAAAATACTTGCACTTATTTAAGACTCATCCTGTATATTAAACAAATAAAATAAATATTCTAAATAACTTAAAAACTATTAAAACTAAAAAAAATGGTGTCACAGTAGCCTTAGAAATAACAACTATTGATAAATTTCTTCAAATCACGAACCCTATAATTCTCATATTTATTTAAAACAAATTCTGTTAAAAAGACTTTTTAATATTCTCTTAAAACTTTTTTATACCAAAAAAAAAAGCTCTTACCTGAACCATGCTAGTATACTGTTTCAAAACACCCTCCAAATCTCTACCCCTCTGGCTTATATCCCTTCTAAGTCTCCTGGCTAGTCTTACATCAGCGTCTACATCGACAAAAATCTTCATGTCGAGCATTTCGACCACTTTCGGATTGTGAAAAGTCAGAATACCTTCAAATATAATAACATTCGCTCCATACATCGTTTTCTAAAACATATTTCTTTTTGTATTTTTTTTTGGGCGTCGCGTCGTGTAATAAAATTACGCGTACGCCTCTGAGGTTAAAAGTAGTTCAAATGACCGACCGATATCATGCGATGTTGCCAATAGTATAATTAAATCTTTGAGTAAATGATTAAGGAAGGAGCACCGAACAAAAATTTTAAAGGAGTATAATAGGGTGGGGATCCTTGACAGTTCTGTTTGACGATTCACTTGACACATTTGAATTTGATTTGAAATTTTGCGGATTTGTCAGTCTTTACTGAGCTTATTTTATGTTATTTATTATTTATTCTACTACTGATAGTTGTTTGGAGGTAGTAAATCTAGAAGGAAATTGTGCCAGAACTTAAATTAACAGTGTCACTATTGCGATTGTTCGAAAAAGACTGTAAAATAGTTAGTAAGTGACTATATAATATACATACTTGTAGTAAACCGATCATTTATGAAATTCACTTAAAATTAACTAATTATATATATTTTTTTTCTTCCATTTTTGATTTTATTTTCCTACCTGTCAAAAATTAGATGTCAAAGATTAGATGTCAAAGAATTTAGATACGTCAATTTGACTTACCTGCTTCAGGAGCGTATCGAATGTTTGTGTTAATAAATAATTATTATAACTTAGCTATTTTTATTGGAAATATGTAGATTAAATAACTGTATAATACACGTGTAGTATACCAATAAATTATAAAATTCACTTTGAATTAACCAATTATGTACCTTTTCTTACTTCTCTCACTGTCAAAAATAATTAGGATACTTAAATTTGAATTATAGATGTTTCAGTAGCGTACCTCCAAATTTTTGTTATTAAATAATTATTATAACTCATCTATTTTTATCAGAAATATATTTTTTTTAATAATTGCTCCACCCAAGTTTGTTAATGTGCTCCTTCCTTAATCTTTTTAATCAAAGATTTCAATAAAAAATATTAATATATATACCGGGTGCGTCTCAAAAGTGGCTCACCTCTATAACTTTATATTTGGTATGTTAGTATATGACATAAATTAGAATTGATTGACGTATTCAATTCTTTTCGGTCACCTCCTGTTACACCAGAAATGACTACAACTTTTGATTTTTTAATAGCACCCTCGGTATTTTTTTTACTTTATTCGAAAGAAAATGACACTCTGAATAGAATGACATATCATATGTCAACATTTGACATTTTCGCATATGGTGTATTTGAAATTATAACTTGCGGTTCGTAACGAAAATTTGACTCGAAATACCAAGTGTGTGCTATCAAATTATTCGTAAAAAAATGCTTTTTCCAAATATGCTAATGAGTCACCCTCGTTCCATTTGAAAAAATTGAGATATGATTAAAAATACGATTTGAGCATTTTCTAACTGGCCAGGACAAGACATTAATAATATTAGACGATCAAATCTATTTTTTCAAGGCTCCTTGATTAAGAATTAGTGTTTTTAACATAGCCATGGCACTCTAGATTGAATTTTAAAATACGATTTTTGATTTTTATTAAGCGAGAATGTCAAAAGTTGACATGCGATACGTCATTCTATTCAGAATGTCATTTTCTATCGAATAAAGTAAAAAAAATTCGAGGGTGTCATTATTTAAAAAACAAAAGGTATAGTCATTTCCGGTGAAACAGGAAGTGACCAAAAACAATTGAATACGTCAATCAATACTAATTTATGTCATATACTAACGTACCAGATCTCGTATTTTTATCTGAAGAAATAAAAGTTATACGGGTGAGCCACTTTTGAGACGCACCCGGTATATAGATGGGCTAGGAAAACATATATTCGATATTTATCGATATCGATTTTGCGGAGATAATACATTTTTAACATTTTTTTACATTTTTTTTACTGTAATACGACATTATAACGACAAAAAAAAAGGAATAATCATACAAATACCCATCCCTCTGACAAAAACTTACCGTTCTATTTTCCCTAGAATGCGTCAAAAAATTATAAATGGGCACCTCAACTTTACGTCCTTCTTTTAAACGTTCCAGCGTAATTATCAGCAGTTCCCAATCGAAAGCGTCAGGATGGTCGAAGTTATACTCGTTTTTCTCGGCTATTTCGTGCTGTTTCTCGTTCAGAATCTTATAGAACGAATCCATGCTCAAAAGAGTGACCCAAGGCACTCCTAAGGACTCTATTATTTTTTCTGTTACGGTTGTTTTTCCTGATGCGCTTCCACCGCATATTCCTTTAAAATTATAAGAAACTTCTTACTAACAGCTTCTAAATAGGGGGATTTGAAGGAGATGTTTGAAAAAGTGTAGTTTCAAATGTTGAAAGTAAAAAATTAAAAAAAATTATATTTTTACGCAAATACAATAATTTTTTTAAAAACAGTTGTTTTTTACATGTAATAAATAGTTTATTACACATAAAAATAGTTTTTTCCTTGCAACAAATAATTTTTTACGTGTAAAAAAATATTTTTTAAGCGTCAAAATAGTTTTTTACGCGTAAAAAAGAGCTCTTTACGTGTAACAAATAGTTTTATACGAGTAAAAAATTGTTTTATACGTGTGTAAATAGTTTTTCATGCGTGAAAGAGCTTTTTACGTGTGAAAAATAGTTTTTTTACGTGTAACAAATAGTTTAATACGCTTAAAATAAAAAACTACTAAATAATTTTACTCCAATTTTTAAAATTAGTTTTTTCCTTGCAACAAATATTTTTTTACGTGTAAAAAAATATTTTTTAAGCGTCAAAATAGTTTTTTACGCGTAAAAAAGAGCTCTTTACGTGTAACAAATAGTTTTATACGCGTAAAAAATTGTTTTATACGTGTGTAAATAGTTTTTCATGCGTGAAAGAGCTTTTTACGCGTGAAAAATAGTTTTTTTACGTGTAACAAATAGTTTAATACGCGTAAAATAAAAAACTACTAAATAATTTTACTCCAATTTTTAAAAATAGTTTTTTCCTTGCAACAAATATTTTTTTACGTGTAAAAAAATATTTTTTAAGCGTCAAAATAGTTTTTTACGCGTAAAAAAGAGCTCTTTACGTGTAACAAATAGTTTTATACGCGTAAAAAATTGTTTTATACCTGTGTAAATAGTTTTTCATGCGTGAAAGAGCTTTTTACGCGTGAAAAATAGTTTTTTTAAGTGTAACAAATAGTTTAATACGCGTAAAATAAAAAACTACTAAATAATTTTACTCCAATTTTTACATTAATTTGAAGAATTTGAAGGATATGTTTGAAAAAGTGTAGTTTCAAATGTTGAAAAAGTGAAAAATTAAAAAAAAATTATATTTTTAGGCAAATACAATAATTTTTTTTTAAAACAGTTGTTTTTTACATGTAATAAATAGTTTATTACACATAAAAATAGTTTTTTCCTTGCAACAAATAATTTTTTACGTGTAAAAAAATATTTTTAAGCGTCAAAATAGTTTTTACGCGTAAAAAGAGCTCTTTACGTGTAACAAATAGTTTTATACGCGTAAAAATTGTTTTATACCTGTGTAAATAGTTTTCATGCGTGAAAGAGCTTTTTACGCGTGAAAAATAGTTTTTTACGTGTAACAAATAGTTTAATACGCGTAAAATAAAAACTACTAAATAATTTTACTCCAATTTTTACATTAATTTGAAGAATTTGAAGGATATGCAACAAATAAGTGTAGTTTCAAATGTTGAAAAAGTGAAAAATTAAAAAAAAATTATATTTTTAGGCAAATACAATAATTTTTTTTTAAAACAGTTGTTTTTTACATGTAATAAATAGTTTATTACACATAAAAATAGTTTTTTCCTTGCAACAAATAATTTTTTACGTGAAAAAATATTTTTTAAGCGTCAAAATAGTTTTTACGCGTAAATAAGAGCTCTTTACGCGTAACAAATAGTTTTATACGCGTAAAAATTGTTTTGTAACGTGTGTAAATAGTTTTTCATGCGTGAAAGAGCTTTTTACGCGTGAAAAATAGTTTTTTTACGTGTAACAAATAGTTTAATACGCGTAAAATAAAAAACTACTAAATAATTTTACTCCAATTTTTAAAAATAGTTTTTTCCTTGCAACAAATATTTCTTTACGTGTAAAAAAATATTTTTTAAGCGTCAAAATAGTTTTTTACGCGTAAAAAAGAACTCTTTACGTGTAACAAATAGTTTTATACGAGTAAAAAATAGTTTTATACGTGTGTAAATAGTTTTTCATGCGTGAAAGAGCTTTTTACGCGTGAAAAATAGTTTTTTTACATGTAACAAATAGTTTAATACGCGTAAAATAAAAAACTACTAAATAATTTTACTCCAATGTTTACATTAAATTGAAGAATTTGAAGGATATGTTTGAAAAAGTGTAGTTTGAAATGTGATAAATTTAAAAAAATATTTTTTACGCGAAATTTTTTTTACGTTTAATAATTAATTTTTTATATGTAACAAATAGGTTTTTACATGTAACAAATAGTTTTTCAGACGTAACAAATAGTTTTTTTACACGTAAAAACAGTTTTTTACGCGTAAAAAATATTTTAGGGTCCCATTTTCGTTTTAGAAGGGTCACTTTTTTATGAAACTAAAAACGACTTTTAGTTCCTAAAATACAGAACAAATTTGTTTACGAAACAACTGAATCTTGGAGAAACCCTGTACATAATTTAAGTAGTTTAGTAAACATTTAGAGAATCAACAGATATTACCCTTAATATTATCTAACATTTTTATTTACCTATAACAAAAGGTTCAACTTTCTGTCCTTCACTGTTGTACCAAGGTGGTCTACCAGCAGTATATATAGTTCTTTGGGCCGTTCTACAACAAGCAAAATCACCATAGAGAATACCTGTATCATTTAGAACTCTCATATATTATTTCCATACCTTATCATAACATCAGTCTTTGATTGGGTGGTGGTACTATGGTTCAAAGATGTAGTTCTTTGTCTCCTAGCTCTTGGAGACTTTTGAGAACCTACAAAATACACACAGAAATTAGAAAACTGATAAAAACGTTTAAAAAATAATTTTACCGGTTGAAGGTGGTCTAGGACAGTACGGTACTGTTATGGGTGAAGCTGGGGTATTGTAAAAATCACCACTTCTTTCTTCATGCTCTTCAACATCGTTAAATACTACATCGGAGTAATCTTGCTGCTCAATTATATCACTAAAACAAATAATAACACGTGTCTATTAAGATCAATGATAAACGCATTTTTCTCCATCTAAAACCAATTAATATTAATTATTACTAGATAAATATTCATTAAACTAACTGGGAACCCCACAGTGTGTTTATTTTATAGCACTCGCTATATTGTCAGGTTATTTTTTTTTAATTAAATAAAAAAATACCTAAGTATTTACCTGTCTGAACTAGCCGATGAAGGAGGATCCAGCACTGTTATTTTTGCAGCCATTCTCCAATAAATCTGTGTTAAAATACTTAATTATCACGTTGTTAGCAGCATGCAATCACACGAAATCTCGCTAAAAAAATCTATTTGCAAAAATAAAAATATCTCGCGGAAGAAAGTTTGATCATCTAGTTCACGTTCGTTCGTTAAAATTGCCCTTAAAATCGTGCATTTGTCCATATGTCAAGTATTTTCAACTTGGCAACATTGTTCGGGAATGTTTTTATCGCTGAAAAAATCCATCGTTTTTAATTATCACCTGTGATGTAAATTAAAGTGATAACGAATAATAAATTATAAAAGGTAATTGATAATACTGTGTTGAAACACCTGTGTAGTTCACAGGATAGTGGTTTATTGCTAAGGAATATTTTGACGTGACTCATAAACATTGAGGAAATAAGACAGTCTGACAGCAATTTGATAAGTTTAAAAGATATTTTCTTTAAATAACTTTTACCAGTTTGTTTAAATAACTCGTATTATGTAAAATCAGGCACTTTTTCACAAGAAATCAGTAAAATAATCAACATAACCTATGACTAGTCCGGTGAAGTTCTATCCAACGGTAGAAGAATGCCAAAGGAATAACAAAGTAACGTGCCCCATCGAAGCCTGTGGTGGGATATTCAAATCACAGTCAAATCTGCACCTCCACATCCAACAGACGCATAAGAAAACAGGCTTGAAACCTTCGGATGTAGAAAAACAGTATTTTTGCCCTGAAAAATCTTGCCGTTGGAGTAACTCAAAGTATTTTAAAAATATGAAAAGCTTAAGGCAGCACTACTTTAAGGTACATATTAAGAAAACTTATAGCTGTTCTAATTGTGAGAAATCCTTTACTACTGACGTATTATTAGAGAGGCACGGTGAGTTTTGTAATGTTGAGTTTAACTGTCTCGATTGTAAATCATCCTACGATTGTTATAACACATTGAGAACACACTGTAGAAGAAAGAGGCATAGAATCTTAGAGAAAAATAAATACAAGAAGTGTAATAAGACAGAGGTACAGCCTTTTATTGTTTTGAGGTTAAACCAGAGAATTTTACTCCCGAAAGAACTACCTAAAGACCAGAATAGTCAGACTATTTTAGAAAAACCGGTACTAGAAAGCAAAATGACTCAAGTCTCGGGATTAGAGAGGATAATATCTCAGGCAAGTCAACAAACTCAGACAAATTCAAGGAATTGTCTTTCCACAGTTGAAACCCAAACTCCAACAAATTTTTCCAAACCTAAAGAGGTATTTGAAGAAAATTTCAAGCATGTTAACACTCAAACTGATATAGTTGAATCAAAGGAGTGTTCTTGCAATACCTCGTTTACTTTAGACGAGCTTGAATCAACTTTTAACAGTTACACAGAGAAAAATACTTCCAGCACACAAACTTATTCAAAAAATCAAGATATTTTTAGTATTTCTACAGCAACTCACGATTCCATCTATACAGACACCTCAGACTTGCTAACAGACAGTTTGGGAGCATTTGACAGTAACTTCTTCAACTGTAATATGGAAACTCAAACTGATGTGATGTTTGATAGTGATATATTCAACACAGACTACTATACCAACATGTGTACGCAGACTTGTAATGATTTTTTTAGTGGATTCAATGATAATGAAACACAGACAGTGTTTGATGAGACACTTAGGTCAGTTCAGAGTCAAACATTGATGTCTACTCTGGATAATTCGAATGTAGTAAGGGATACAGCTCACTCAGAGACTCAGACTGATACAGAATTTAGACATATGTTAGAAATAATCAATTCCTGACTGTAAGAGATATTTTTTGTTTATTTATGACTGTGTTAATAAAGTAATAATAAAAAGAAGTTAAATTTGTTTAATTACCAAACTTAAGATGGCGTAACACTACTAATATGACGTCACATAGAAGGAATAGTTACATCAGAGATATAGAGAGTTATGGTGGCCACCCAGTTTGCGTCAGGTCTTGGGTCAGTAAAGGCAGGTAAAGGGTCAGGTCATAGAGAAATAGGGTCAGGTCTATAAACAGGGGTTGGGGTTTACATACTTGTGTATCTTTTAAATGAAACGAAATTTCTTTTTACAAATGTTTATTTACCAAATTATATTTATAACTATATGTTTCTTTTATACAAAATCAATAATTTAAAATCTGATATCAAGCCAAGAAAAAAAAAGAGATAAATATTAGATTTAAATTCAGGTTACACCGGATGTTCTCAATAATATGAGCACTTTAAATAGTTTATTTTTTGTAAGAAACACCCAGTTTAGTCGAGCCTAAAAAAATCCTTAAATAAATCTACAAAAAAAAGGAAAATACGTATATTTAACTAGGATAGAATAACCAACTATCTGAGCTCTGTTCTATAAACATTTTTTGTTCTCCGACTAAAAAAATAAGTAAGAAAAAAAAAGAGAAAAAACTTAACAAAAAAACAATATTTCAAAGCTTGGCAACAATTTAAAATTACAGAATAGATAGATTTTGTGTCCATTTGCTTGCTGGTAGTAGTGCTGTGTTGTAATAACATAAATGTCAAAGATAGTTTTTGCTAAACTTGGGAAAAAACAGGACATATTTACATGTGAGGAGTATTTATAACTTTCTTTAGAGTGTACTGAGTTCTATTTCTTTGAATGATGTTTGCCAAAGCATAAAAATAATTTTTAAAATGATATACAGTGTCACACAAAAAGTTCTCCTAATTTTTAAAATTCTCCTAACTTAGAAAAATTAATTTATATTTTCAAGTGTATATTACTATAAATTGTTTTATTTTTATACTATACCCATAAAATATTTCAATATTTTATCGGTATATGTGGGAAGGCAATGTGAATAATTTAAAATTATTTTGAAATATACAGGGTGTGTCAGAACTAAGATCCGTACCAAAGTTATATTTTTTCTTATGGAACACCCGGTATTTTATTTCATGTTTTGGATACTTCGACCTAAGAAAAAGCATTTGTTATAAGGGTTTAATATGTTTAACAGCTTTGCTTTTTGAGGTACTTAAATATGCATGCTGTAATAAAAGTATGTCAACACCCTGTACTTTACTTTTCAGAATTAATTCTTGTGCCGAAAAATTTTATTGCTTCCTTAAATTTATACAGGGGTGCCAAAAATTGCTGATCTATTTTAAATATTTATTTTACATAAGAACTAATTTAATTAATTGCGATTTGAGAGAAAATAGCTATTAACGGTCAATAGAAACTTGCCATGACGATACCAGCCCTCTTGGTTGCCATTTTATTGGAAAATTGCTCTTTATTTAAAATCGGAGCTAGATAGGTATAGGAAACCCTAATATAGTTTGAAAGAGCATTTAAAACTGCTTAGACTTATTTTTAAAAATACAGATCATTGCATTTGAAACAACGAAGTTTTTATGCAAAATAAATATTTAAAATAGACCAGCATTTTTTGATGCCCCTGTATACATTAAACGAAGCAATCAAATTGTGCAGTAAAGCTTATTTCTCCGACTTAAAAATCAGCACAAGAATTAATTCTGAAAAGTAATGTACAGGGTGTTGACAATCTTTTTTATTATAACACACATATTTAAATATTTTTAAATATCTCAAAAAACAAAGCTTATAAACATATTTAACCTTTATAATAAACGCCTTGTTTTGGTCCAACGATCCAAAAATGAAATAAAATACCGGGTGTTCCATAAGAAAAAATATGTCTTTGGTGTGAATCTTAGTTCTGACACACGCTGTACATTTCAAAATAATTTTAAATTGTGCACGTTGCCTTCCCACGCATACCCATAAAGTATTTTGTTTCTAATCTTTCTACCCTATATGTATATAAAAAAAATTTGACACCCTGTATCTCGAAAACGAAGCATTTTAGAACAAATGTTTATAAGACCTTTTTACCTTAAAAATACTCGACAAATTTCCCTGTATAAAATAGAAAGCACTTATGTCAGGAATTTCATGAAATAAACACTGTAAAAATATTATAGCATGCAATTTGAGTATTTTTTTGTTGTTTAATACTCAATAGCATACTATCAATGACGTAGATAGCCAACTATAATATGTTCCAGCTGTTAATAACACAGCCCAACTCGAAAAACAGATAACATTTATCAAAGAAACAGAACCCAAACACAACTAATCAAATCACTAATTGTTTTTTTACAATCACTAAAAACCATGGCTGCTTCGCTCCAATACAAATAGCTAAATTACTTTTATTTGTTTTTTATCAAATATCAACAGTATAGTAGAATTAATATTCTGTACAATATTTAGCAGATGAAAAAATTGCCAAAAACAAAAAATATGAACGAATTAAACTATCAAACTGTATCATCGAAATACCATCTCCGTAAAGCTGTCAAATTTTACTAACTAAATAACTGTTCGGTGGCCCGTTCTAAGTCCCAGTTATACGAGGATAGAGCTACTCGCGCTTGGTGTTCTTCTATACCCATATCGACCAGACGCTTGATCTTATCGTCGCATTCCGAATTGACACTCGGACCTTGAAAGCATATTTTATGAATTAACATGGTTATAAACTTAAACCATAGCATAAGGAAACTAGTAAAGATTAAGATTACAATTAAGGAATGCAATCCCGCAAATGCGGGATCCATCTATGATTCCGCGGGATTTACCGTGAGGGATCGACACCAGGGGATTCCCCTTACGGCTTAGCCATTAAAAATAAGTGAAACAAAGAGGTTAGTTATTAGATTTCTTTCTGGCGTGCGTAAGTGAAGAAAAGCGTTTAACTAGTACTTGTGGACAATTTCGTCAAATAAACTGCCGGACATAATTATCGGGACAAGCAAAATTTTAGGGTAAATTTAAAGTTGAATATCTCTTGAACTAAAAAAGATTTTGGGATGCGGTTTGGACCAGATTTTAGATGCATCTATTGTGATTAAGATACTATGTGATTTTCGAAAATATATTTAGCGAATTCTCGTATACAGGGTGTTTTATAAGAGTGTGAAACTTTGGTTAAGAATCTTTTTTACCGCAAATTTACAGTTTTTAAAAAATCGAAATTTTTACCAAGTACGACTAATCTGTATTGAAATTAGAAAAAACAATTTGATCGGTTTTTTAATTTTTTTTTTGTTTTAAGAAAAATACGACGTTTTTCGTAAAATATGCATTTTTAGTCATACGTATGGCCCTAAATGGCACAAAAAGCTTTGTACATTCTGCATATACCAAAAAATTATTGACATAGAGTGTATCTAAAAGCAGATAACTAACACAAGTTAAAAAAGAACTTCAACATTAGAATAATATTTTTATTCATAAAATAAGTAGATAAATTATAATAAAATTTAAGTTTATTTAATATTAAATATATTTTTTGAACACCCTGTATACATCGTTCCAAATTTCTGTACAGCTAGTTTAAGATACACGCTATATCAATATATTGTGGCCCTATGCAAAATTTACAATGCCTTTTGTACCATTTAGGACCAAATGTATGACTATTGTTTACAGTCCCGCAATTTTGCGGATCCGCGGGATTGATTGCTTTAATCCCGCGGGTTTGCGGGATTAAAGCAAAGCTTCGTTAAGGTTTATGTCGTTGGGTCAAAAATTGTATAAACTGTCAAATGTCAAAATTATTGACATAACTTATTTTTTTTTAAATGGTACATCCTATATATCATTAAATATTTAAAAATACTTTTTTTTCTGATTACGAAAATATGCCACACTGTTATAATCCCGTCCTCATTTTAATCAAATTTATAATATTAGTTTAGGAATGTCCCATCTCTAATAAAAACCTTCATACCTTTGGGGTCATAAACGACCCTACAATATAATTCTAATTGATAAGTTTTACTATTACCTTTGCGAATTTTGATCATAAATTTATATAGCTTTCGCAGACGTCTGTCTACCTAAACAATGTAAATTTAGGGCAGTGTCGTCCACTGCTCTGAATATTAGATTTAAGCAAAGGATTTAAGGATATATAAATTGTACTGTACGCCTCTGGCATTTCTGTAGCTTAAATACTATCCTTACAAGGATACTATTTAAGCAACTGCAAGACAGGCCCTCACACTTCTTTTGCTCAACACTCTTTTGTTTTTGCTCTTCAACTCTCTTTTTACTCTTCAACACATTATTATTTTTCACAGTTTCCCTCAGGGTAACTATTGTAATTAGTTAATCATAATTAAAGTTAAGTTATATTAAAAAACAACAGTGTACATTAATTCCACACCTGAAAAGACCCTCAACAAGTTGGCCCTACTGAAGAGGACCACAACAATATTTCAAAAAAGGTAAGATTAAAGTGCGGTAAACCTTAATTAAATTTACCTTTATTTTAAACGTAGAAACTAAAAATGTAAAATATACAGGGTGTTCCATTTAAAAAAATACAACTTTAATATTTTTTCACTCTGTACCTGTTGAAAATAATTTTAAATTGTAGCTCTAATAGTCCTACAACGAACCCATAACTTATAATTTGTAAAAATCTAATCAATTTCAAGCATGCTCCCAACAGTCTGCCGAATTTTGTCGGCCCGCAGAAAATATTTGGGCGAGTGGAACTACTAATATCCTTATACTATGCTTAAACTAGGTAGAAAGTACTAATTACTGATTATTACCTCCAGCATACGCATTTGTCCAATGTCTAGCTGTTAATTTAAACATATCTAAATTTTCTTTGTACTGTCTAGCAACTACAGCGTCTTGGGGATCATCTGGCTCCGCCGCTGACAACAGGGCTTGTAGCGACAACAGAACCGTTCTCAAGGTCATTGCGGCAGCCCTAATTTGTTTTGTATCACATATACAAGAATTCTTTATCAATTTTCTTATTCAAACTTACCATTGATCTTTTAAAATATCTAAACATATAGCCCCTGTGACTGACGATATATTCGGATGCCATATTTTCGTTATAAACCGTACCTGAGACAGATTAAACTTAAAATCTACATGTTAGAATTAAGTATAGAAGTGTTTACCTTGGGTGGATTAAAAGGGTACGTTTCAGGTACTTTAATTTCTAAAACAAAGTTACCCCCTTCGTAGGGTGTGTCCGGAGGCCCAGCTATTTCACCTTTGAGTTCCGTATAATTGTTATCTACGAGTTCTAGTTTAATAGCGCATTTTGCTACCTAAAAAAATGGTTATCAAGTAGGAAACTAATTATAGATTACATTAAAACTGTAAATTAATCCAACTAGATTGATTAAAGGATTGAACGACTATCTAGTTTACACAATTATTTCTTTTAGTATTCAGTATGCGCGTGCGAATATGTTGTTAAAGTTGTTATTCGTGTTAATATTTGCTTATGAAAACAAGTTGTTCTATTTGTCAATGAAAGACGTCACATATATCGATAAATACCGATAAAAATACAAAATTGATTGTGAAATGGGGCATCGATAACTCCCCGCAAAGATCTGCATTCAAAATTATAAACAATAAACTCGAATATGGAAAATTTGAAATAAAAACAAGAGTAGTATGAAGACATCAGATACAATGGACACCAAACCAGAAAACACCGAAAAACCAGGTACCATTTTTAATTCGAACTTTAAGAATCATTCTCTGATTACTTAGAAACCTAATTAAACTAATTTGAACAAGGAAAACTTACCTCTTCGCTCTTAATAACCTCTTTAAATTCGCGTTTGATCCTTTGAGCCGCTATGTTAGCCATAATCTCTGATTTTATTTAGCTTTTAAAACTAGTCCTAGTGCATTACAGACGAATTCTGGAAATTTAAATATTAAATGGGGAATTGTGCGTGATTTTCCGGAATCTTTTGCTTTCACTGGCGAATTTTCTGCGAAGAATATCCAAAAAAATAGACAAATTGAAATGATTTTGTGAAAAGAACGAGGGAACTGTCAAAATTGTTTTCGGGATTTTTTCGTTCGAACGTTGGCGACACTGAACTTTTTGTATTTTTTTATTTAGCAAAAAGAACAATTTAAAATGGCAATTATAATCTTTGAATTGTTTTAAAAATACCGTAATTGTAGATAATAACGTTCAATTAGTTGTCTGATAGAGATTATTTATTATTTTACAAACAAAAAACATAAGTAATGTAAAACACCTAGACGCGCAATCGTAACGTTGCCCAGTCACCAACATCAATAAAACGTAAATTAAAATTATTTCTGGCATAAACATCAATACACCTTATGCAAGACGTTTAGATTTATCATCATACGTGCCAAATTCCCCCGAAAACTATCCAAATATCAACCGTGACGACCGGAATTCGTAATCTATTTACTTTCATGCACTGAAAACATCTCTTGTGACTTGTGACCCCATATGACGTCTGTCACCTCGTCTTGCGCTGATCCCTGATTGGCCGGAGATTAACCAACGAATTTATAGTGATGCCTGGCGCCTCTCAATCCTGTCGAGCCAAAAGTGTCTTGCTAGGAAAGTCTCAAGAACGCCAAAGCTGTTTATCGAATTTAACAGGCAGGATGCCGAATATAAAAGTGTTTTCGGGCAGCAGCCATCCAGACTTGACCCAGAGAATCGTGGATCGGCTGGGGATTGATATTGGCAAAGTGGTCACCAAGAAATTCTCCAATTTGGAAACATGGTAAGTGCATTACATATACCGAAAAAAAACGTGTTTGGGTACGGAAGGAACTCGAAAAATAAGGAAATTATTGTTTAAACTTGATTTGTAATGTATTTATAACGTTCTGAAATCGATTTTTGTAGTTTATTACCGGCCATGCTCCGAAACAAAGTTTAAATGGCTGCCCTTGCCCTTCAACATAACCAATTTGTTTTGTTATTAAATAGCCTTTTTGCTTCAAACTCGGTACAAAATGTTTATTTTAATTTAAAATTCAACATTTTAGTGTGGAGATTGGAGAGTCTGTAAGGGGAGAGGATGTTTACATCATACAATCCGGATCAGGAGAAGTAAACGACAACCTGATGGAGCTTCTTATTATGATCAATGCTTGCAAAATAGCCTCTGCTAGTCGCGTTACGGCTGTTATACCCTGTTTTCCTTACGCCAGGCAGGACAAAAAAGACAAGGTAAGTCTTAAAAATATTTGATTTTACTGTAGTATTGTTTAAAGCTTCTAAACAGTTCGGTTTGTTCAAATATTTGACAGTGCATTAAATGTTTAGCGACATACGCAAATGAACAATGAATATTTTATTCTAAATTTTTAAATATAAGTTATCATTAGTGGCCACAGAGTTTCTCTGATGTTAAAATGATATGTTTTTATTTAACACTGCCCTATATCTTGTTTTTTTATTCTTTTTATTATTGTTATAGTGAGTTTTAGTGATTTTTGACATAGTGTATGTTAAAATCTTATGACATTAATTGACAGAGACCTAAAAACGATTGTCAATGTTTTTTAGAATATGGAAAGCGACAAGGAGAAGCACATTGAAAAATGGAAGTCGATTGAATGGAAATTTAGGGTAAAATATTTATTCTATGGCTGTTTGTCGCAGTCTTGGGGCTTCTATCGGTTATTACTAATTGGGCAATAACCAATTAAATTGTTTGAAAGAAAAATAGATTCATTTTATCTCATAATTTTTTTTTGAAAGCGTTAACATGAGTCTATTTTGATTTTTTTATGTTATATATTGGGAAATATAAAACCTTGGGCTTGCATGTGATGTCAGACGATACTTAAGCATGTTTTTGCATATTTTTCTCCACAGGATTAGAAAAAGGAAGTCAGATAAACATATTTTGAAGTCTTAAAGTGCTTCAGATAAGTTTGTAGGTACAATAACGTTAATATATTTGTCCGCTACTTGACAAAGCAGATAATAACACAGAGGTTTGCAAAAATATTTATATACAGGGTGGTCCGGAATAGTCGGTAAACTTCGGAAACATAATTTGCAAATAAAAATAAGTAAAAATGTTTGTTGTCCAAAAGTGCCTTATTTTGGATATACAGGGTGTAGAAGTTTCATTTTTATTTAGGTTTTTTCCTAATAATTTCTGAACTAACTGTCTGGGTGTTTTTTTTTGCATGAGGAATTCGATTTTCATGTTAGTAAGACTGCTACTTGTAGGGGGTACCACCTACAGGTATTTTAACTGTTTTGAGGAGTACATACATACTAGCCCTCGTCACTACATCGACTCAGTGGTCTGTATTTTAATGCATAGAACATAGAACAGAGATAAATATATGTAACCAGTTGACAGACACAGAGACAAAATAAAAGGCGGCATACAGTGTTGCCGGTTCGTATGAGAAATAAAATAATCAACGAAGATAATATATCTAAGCTATTCAATAATGCTCATTTCTGTTAGATAGTTGTTTAAGAATCTATTACAGCTGTAGCCAAATGAGTAACTATGAAATGTGAAATTGTGAAAAAGAAAGTTCCAACCCGAGATGCAACATTTTTCGTAAACGCCTACTTGTGCGGTTTGAAATTTTGATGGAAAATCCGGCAATACCGCATAGAAGAACATTTGATTTTTCATTTAAGCTGTGTACAGGGTGGGTCAAATTCGACGCTTTTAAATGGAAACACCCTTTTCTATAGGAGATAGACAAAAACTAATATCGGTGTCTGGAGCTCAATTTTTGCCAAAAACATGATGGTGAAAACTGCACATCGATATCTGTTACCGTTTCGGAGTTACGGGGTGTTTTTTAAAAGTGTGCATTTTTAACAAATCGCTGTAACTTTTTTGCTATGGAAAATTTTGTATTTCTATGAAAACATTTCCAAAGCATCTTTTTACGTGGAATTTAATGGTTTAAGTATAATTTTTTTAAAATTAATTTAAGAATTATCAACAGAAAATTTGATTTTTTATATGGGACACCCTGTATATTTTTAGTTTATTGAAAAGAATTTAAAATTACCTCTTCAAAAATATAACACACGTTGATATTTTGCTCGATTCCTCTTCGTGATATAGAGTATATAAAAATTCGCCCGCTTTAAATAAGTAGGCTTTGAACGGCACCGGCTGTAATGCAAAAAAATTCTAGCTGTGAGCATCAATTAAAACGAAAATAATATTTGCTATGAGAGATGCAGAATTTTATAACATTAAAATATATGTAACCAACATCAACACATTTAAACTATATCTAATAACAATAAAAATAAATAGCAAACCAAGACATGAGATTTTGCTACATACAGATGTTCAACATATCGACCATCTTCTGTAATGTCAGACGGGGCAGTTTTTGAACATTTCTCGCGGAATTCATCTCAGTAGGGGTGAAAGATACCTTCTCATAACTGCTAAGTATTTCTAATTCTTGTCTAGATTATACGGAAGAATAAGGAACCTTTATTCTTCCGCAAATATATCCATAGGATTAGATTCATGGGCACTAAGTCAGGCGGCCTCGACGGCCAACGGCTGGGATCTTGATTAGCTATTCAATTATTCTTGAAATTGGCTGCAAAAATTTGCTGATAACTTCAGCGTTCAGAGGCGGTGCGTCGTCTTGCTGAAAAATATGTTTTCGAGTTCCATTAAGGGCATATCATCAATAAGGGGTCCAAAGCCTACTAGTTAAAAGTGGCGAACTTATAAAAATTCTGTATTTCGAAGGGGATTATAACAAAATATCAAGTGTGCTATATTTTTGGAAAGGTAATTTTAAATTCTTTTCAGTTAATTAAAAATATAGAGGGTGTCCCAAATAAAAAATCAATTTTTCTGTTGATTACTCTTAAATTATTAATTTTAAAAAAATTATACTTAAACCATTAAATTCTACGTAAAAGGGTGCTTTGGAAATGTTTTCATAGAAATACAAAATTTTCCATAGCAAAAAAGTTACAGCGATTTGTTAAAAATGCACATTTTTGAAAAACACCCCGTAACTCCGAAACGGTAACAGATATTGATGTGCGGTTTTCACCATCATGTTTTTAATGAAAATTGAGCTCCAGACACCGATATTACTTTTAGTCTATTTCCTATAGAAAAGGATGTTTCCATTTAAAAGCGTCGAATTTGACCCACCCTGTACATCACTGCCTTACACGTTAAAATCCAAACCACGCAGTTGCGATAATCAGATTAGTATACTAGGTATATAAGGTCTAATAATATACAGGGTAATACTCTGGTAACAAGCAACTGTTCTTAAAATATTTTGAAGAATCAAAATAGTCAATACGGGTCATCAACAGAAGGGTTGCTCGTAGCGATTTTTACCAAGAGTCATCTTTACCTAAAAAACAGCGGAAATGTTTTTTTTTTCTCTGGGTAGTGTAATACAGGTACAGACGAAAATTTATTACTCTTCACAACAGTTAAAAACATGGTAGAAGTCATACTGACATAAAAATCGAATTTCTCATGGCAAAAAACACCCAGATACAAATTTTTATGCAAATATTGATGTTAGTTCAGAAATTATTTGAAGAAAAAAATAAACTTCTACACCCTGTATCTCCAAATAGAATAATTTTAGGACAACACAAACTTTTTTACTTTTTTTTCTCTGCAGAATATGTTGCCAAATCCCGAATACAATTTAGATCACCCTGTATAGTTAATTAAAATTGAGTCATATTTTAAATGGGCAACAACTACAAGAAGAGATTTTCGTAGTAAACAAATGTTTTAAAATATTTAAAATTTGAAGTAAACACGTTGATTAAGTGCATTAATGGAACAATCAGTTTTACCGTAAAACTTTGAAATAACATGGCTATTTTCGAATGGTTATGTGATGAAATGAATAACAATAAACATAAAAATTCCCACTGCAGGGGGTCTTCTCGTGTAACCTTTCAACCTGTAGCGTGTCGAAATATTTAAACAATTATTATTAGAAAATATGTAAACATACATAATTATCTTGTTTATATTGCATTATAGTTTATAGATTTCGGTATTTTTCAAGACCTAAATAACACTATTAAAAGATAAAATCCATTATGGACAGCCACTTGATAATAATTGGATATTTCAAAAAATTAATTTAATAATGTTTGGAATTATAGTTCAATACTTTTTAAGATCTACAATAATTATTAAGATACCACATAATTACTTATTTTAAAAAATCTATTTAATCATATTTCAAATAAATTCCATATAGGGAATGCAATCCCGCAAATGCTGGATCCCGCAAATGCGGGATCCCTCTGAGATTCCGCGGGATCGAAGTTACGGGATTTATCGTGCTGGATCCGCGGGATTGACACATTACTACTGGGTAACCGAATCGATCTCGATCAAGGTCAAACCCCTTCGTTCCGGGCCGATGAGTCGACGCTCGGAAGCCGGGAGACCCGTTACTGGTGGACAATTTCGTCAAATAAACTGGCGGACATAATTATCGGGACAAGCAAAATTTTAGGGTAAATTTAAAGTTGAATATCTCTTGAACTAAAAAAGATTTTGGGATGCGGTTTGGACCAGGTTTTAGATGCATCTATTGTGATTAAGATGCTATGTGGTTTTCGAAAATATATTTAGCGAATTCTCGTATACAGGGTGTTTTATAAGAGAGTGAAAATTTGGTCAAGAATCTTTTTTACCGCAAATTTACGAGTTTTAAAAAATCGAAATTTTTATCAAGTACGACTAATCTGTATTAAAATTAGAAAAAACAATTTGATCGGTTTTTAATTTTTTTTTGTTTTAAGGAAAATACGACGTATTTTCGAAAAATATACATTTTTAGTCATACGATGGTCCTAAATGGTATAAAAAGCTTTGTACATTCTGCATACCTATGCCAAAAAATTATTGATATAGAGTCTATCTTATGATATAGAGTGTATATTTTTGAAAACCCTGTATAAATCGGTCCAAATTTCTGTACAGCTAGTTTATGATACACGCTATATCAATATATTCTGGGTCTATGCAAAATGTACAATGCCTTTTGTACCATTTAGGACCAAATAATGTATGACTATAAATGCATATTTTTTCTTAACAAAAAATTTAAACAAACCCACCAAATTGTTTTTTTCTAATTTTAATACAGATTAGTCGTACATAGTAAATTTTTGGTAAAAAAGATTCTTGACCAAATTTTTTATAATAGTATAACTATAGTATCTTTATAATAGTCACACCCTGTATACGAGAATTCGCTAAATATATTTTCGAAAACCACATAGCATCTTAATCACAATAGATGCGTCTAAAACCTGGTCCAAACCGCATCCCAAAATCGGAGAGAGAAAAAAGGAGAATTTATTGTTTACAGTCCCGCAATCTTGCGGATCCTCGGGATTGATTGCTTTAATCCCGCGGGTTTGCGGGATTGAGATTTTGGTGCGGGATTGTATTCCCTAATTCCATATTTTTATCATTAAACAGAATATTGTAATTTTTAAATATACTTCACGTTCCAGAGAAATAAGTAAATATAGAGATGTTGAATACAGTTCTTTTTGATACAGTCTCAGTGTGTATTGTTTTGTTTCTCGTTATTTATTTATATAATATAGTTTCTCGTTATTATTATATATAAATTATACCGGGCGAGTCTTAAATAACTGCAAATATTTTTCTGTGAGGTTTTTTTTCGTGAAAAAGTATTGAAAATTTTATATTTTCGTATAAGTTTTTAAATTTATCATAAATTTTTCTTCGAAAAAATGATGAAATACAGTTTCTGTTGAACTTTTGGCACAGAAACATTTCAAATTTATGATTTCGGTCTAATAACTATCTAGTTAACATGTTTAATTTGTGCCAATGATGACTGGTATTGATAATTTAGATTCCAAATGTCTCGAGAACCATTACTCAGCGATTTTTACCAAGAGACCTTTTTTACGTAAAAAAACGCCGTAAATGTGGACGAAAAGCCTTATTATACGATTATTAGCCTTCAGACTAGTTAAAATATATGTAGGTGGCGCTCCGTATAATTAAAAAGTCCCAGATACTAATTTTCATCCAAATATTGACGATACTTTAGAAATTATGTGGAAAAAATTGAAATAAAAATGAAACTTCTACACCCTGTATCTGCGAAACTAAGCATTTTAGGACATATATTTATACAAACTTTTTTTACTTATTTTTATCTGTAGAATATGCTGGCGAAGTTTTCGGAATACAGTTCAGACCACCCTGTATAAGTAAACCGCGTAAAATAAGTCTGACTAATGAATTAAGAGGCACACTCCTGTACTGCTTTCTGTCTGTTAAATTTAAATTCAAATATGTGTTATAGAGGTTTTATTAATTAAAAAATAATACCTTGTTGCATTTGTTTTACTGATAATAAATATTGTACTAACACAATTTTGGATTTGCCTCAACAGAGTAGGGCACCAATCTCTGCAAAATTGGTTGCCAACATGCTGTCAGTAGCTGGGGCAGATCACATCATCACGATGGACCTTCACGCCTCCCAAATTCAGGGATTTTTCGACATACCTGTCGATAATTTGTAAGTATTCAATTTATTTTGACTTAATAAAACACAGTGTTTCAAAATTTCTCCATAATCATCAGACAATAGAACTGCTTTTAAAACTGAAATAATTGTAAACAATTTGAAATATTTCTGACAGCAACAGCTATACCTTTCTTGCACGTTTTATAGTAGTTCTGGTCTTTTTACAATGTCCCTTTTATATTAATTCTTATTCTACTTTGTAAAGATATGCAGAACCAGCAGTTTTAAAATGGATAAAAGAAAATATCGCAGAATGGAGAAACAGTATAATCGTGTCTCCCGACGCTGGTGGTGCCAAAAGAGTGACATCTATCGCTGACAGATTGAACGTCGAATTCGCCTTGATTCACAAGGAAAGGTAAGAACATCCGAATTTATGGAGCGAAACGTCACACAAAACTGGCTATAGTCTGTCTAACGGCAAGATTCTTGACAGTGATAGATGTGTCTGTCATTTTAATTTCAACGTAGTTTATTTTATTTTACAAAGAAATAAGTTGGTACAACTGGAACGAATAGCAGGGAATTAATATAATATTTAAAATTTGACTGAGAAGTGATTACTTCAAAATATTGTGAAAAAAAAACTGTATAAAACTGAAAAAATGTAATCGAGTTATTTTATTTAAAAAAAAACGGTATGTGTTAATACAAAACAAACAAGAACAAAACGCCACATACCAAAAAAATATAAAAAAGAACTATTTCTTACTTTCAAGCTTCATATGGAACCATTATATTTATCAATATAACTTATGTACAAATACAAATTCGTAATATTCCACAGGAATATATAAAACAAACTATTTTTTTAATAATAACACTTACCAAATTGTATACCTTAAAGGTTGATTAATTAACTTTAATCTTAATTTTTTTAAACCAGTACCTTTTGAGTTTATTTTTCTGCAGTACTAAAATCTATTATTTACCTATCGTGTGATGTCGATATTTTACAGCTACTCCAGTTTTTAGTATATGTTTAGTACGATCCTTGTACCATATACGAGATGCACTTATCTACGACGAGATGGTATACAAACTTTATTGATGGTAACTTTATTGGTGTATAAGACTTTCTGCCTGGGCAGCGAGTATTAACGATAAACTGTGCTCTGGGTCTACAGTTAATTTTCCCTCGATTTTTCCTCCACTTGACTTCAAAAGACACAAAACACACGTAATAACACGAATCAAAATGCATCATCTCCCAAAACGCAGATATTTGACATAAGTTGACACAAAATTATAACCTATAATTTGACAAGACTTTGACAAGCCTCAAAAATCTAAAGGCGAGTTCATACGCATCGGTTCCGTTTGTCGTTCATCGTTTCGTCAAACCAATAAAATTGAAATATCTGTCATTTTTGAAATAAACCAGTAAAACTGGTTAAAAACAACAGGAGACGGCGCATGACGGATTTATATTTAAACCCATCCAAAGTTAACTTAAAGAATACTACAAACTTTTTTTAGTAAAATAAATAGATTGGTATGTGACGTCATTTGCTGTTCTTCTGTCATCGTCTGTCGAAATCTTAACTGAGAAAAAAAAACAGAGTATATTCGTTAACGTTTATAGGAAAAAGGCTAACGAGGTGGCTTCGATGGTGCTGGTGGGTGACGTGAAGGACCGGGTAGCCATTTTGGTGGACGATATGGCCGACACGTGCGGTACGATATGCCACGCGGCGGAAAAATTGATGGAAGCCGGTGCCACGAAAGTCTACGCCATTTTGACGCACGGCATTTTTTCCGGACCGGCCATCAGCAGGATAAACAACGCCTGTTTCGAAGCTGTGGTCGTAACCAATACCATTCCTCAAGACGAGCACATGAAACAGTGCTCAAAAGTTCAAGTAAGTAGTACATACTAGCAGCCTTTTTTTTGTTTTGTTAAGATATTTAAAAAAACACACAACACAAATTGCACTCAAAGAATAAGATCAGAAAAATAAGTAAATGTAGAGTTTTTTTTTAAATATATTAAGTCTTCTCTAGGTTTACCTATTTCTCTGAGATGTTATATTGGTTTTTTTTCGCCTATCGTTTTGCTAAATTGTTTGAAAAAAACACACATAACACAAATTGCACTCAAAGAATAAGATCAGTAAATTAAGTAAATATAGAGCGGTTTTTTTAAATATGGTCTTCTCTAGGTTTACCTATTTCTCTGAGATGCTATATTGGCCTTTTTTCGTCTATCGTTTTGTTAAACTATTTGAAAAAAACAACAAATTACAATCAAAGAATAAGTTCAGAAAAATAAGTAAATATAGAGCGGTTTTTTTTAAATATATTAGGTTGCCTCTACGTTTACCTATTTCTCTGTGATGCCATATTAGCATTGTTTTGTTAAATTATTTGAAAAAACAACACAACACAAATTACACTCAAACATTAGGATCAGAAAAATAAGTTAATATAGAGGGGGTTTTACATATGTTAATTCGCCTCTGTTTAGTTATTTCGCTGAGGTGTTATACTATGAGGTGTTTTTTTTTGAAAAAAAAATAACGCACTAAACTCGTGGATTAAGATCAGAGAAATGAGTAAGTGTAGAGAAGTTTTTAATAAGTTAGGGTACTTAATTCTCTGATGTGCTATACTTTTTTTTTCGTTTTAATTAATTATTTATAAAAAAACTCATGGATTAAGGCCAGAGAAATATGAAAATCTAGACGACTTTTAAAAATGTTTTTTGAGCACCTCTATATTTACTTATTTTTCTAGAGGTTATATGTTTTTTCTTCTATCGTTTTGATAAATTATTTAAAAAAAAAAACAGTAAACTCATAAATTAAAATAAAAAAAATAAGTAAATCTAGAGAGATTTTTAAATATGTTAGGTTGCCTCTATGTTTACTTATTTTTCTGGGGTGCTAACTAGGCTTTTTTTTCTTCTGTTTTTTCTAAATCGTTTGAAAAAAGAATCTCGACTAAACAATGGATTAAGATCAGAGAAATAAAAAATCTAGAAGGGTTTTAAATGCGTTTAGGTCACCTCTATGTTTACTTATTTCTCCGTTATGCTATACTAGCCTTTATTTTTATCGTCTTGTTAAATCAGTTGAAAAATAAAAACAGACTAAACTCATGGAGTAAGGTCAGAGAAATAAGTTAACCCAGAGTTTTTTTTTAAATATGTTAGGTCACCTCTATGTTTTCTTATTTTTCTGGGGTGCTATATTAACACATATTTTATGAATTTTGAAATTATATATTTATACCGTTTGATCGAAAAAAAAACGGCGTCGAGTTGGCTTGGAAATGACGAATCGATGCAATTTCCCATATAATTTTACATAGAAAATGACAGCGATCTTCATTTCATAGCCATCGCTAACGCCGTTTTTTTTTTCGATCATATTGTTACATTCCTAAAACTAGTATTTTTTGTAGTATTTCAATTTGTTTAAAAGCATATTAAATTTCGGTGCATTTTGTGTTTTTTTAAGATACTTGAGTGAGATGCTACAGGGTGTTCAAAATAAATTTATGAGTTTCAAGTAACACATACAAAGTAATTCTGAAAACAAACGAGATAGCTTTATTATTGAGTCACCCTGTACAGGGTATGATTAATAAATTTATCTAATGTTAATTTTTTTTCTTTTAGTGTATAGATGTGTCAATGATGTTTGCCGAGGCTGTGAGACGTACACACAATGGAGAAAGTGTGTCATACCTGTTTTCGAATGTTCCATATTAGTTTCTTTGTTGTTAAACCTATTTTAGATCCATAAGACATTAAAAATAGTTGTTTTTTTTACTATATACATAGTATACACTTTTTTGCAATTTGTTATACCATAGGCTATTCATCTTTACTAAACCATTTATATTTCGGTAGAAAATCATCTTTGTTTTGACTTATTTTATATCTTGTTCAGATTTAATCAAAAAGATATTAAGATTATATATTTTTATATTGGCGTTTATAATTTTTTTTTTCATAGTTTTTGAATGATATGATTTCTTAATAAGGAATATAATAATTACTTTATGAAAGTCCATTTATATCTTAAGGTCTATATTATGATCGTGAAAGAATATAAAATAAAATCAGTTTTTGTAACTTGTTTTTTTAACTTAGCTTTTAAGAACCCTGCCTCTAACTATTTTTATATCATCTACTGGTCTGTCATTTTTGTCAGTCTCTACGAGTCCTATCCTTTTTATAACTTGCATACCTACAAAAAATATTTTTTTGATGTTTCTAAAACAACGTATCTTTCATTAATATTACCTGAGTGTATCCTGCCAAATATTGCATGTTTTCCATCTAACCATTGCGTCGGGGCTAGCGTTATAAAAAATTGACTACCGTTACTATCAGGACCCGAATTTGCCATCGACAAAATCCCTGCTCCGCTATGTTTTAACTCTGGATGAATTTCATCTCTAAATGTTTGTCCGTATATCGACATTCCTCCCTTTCCTGTACCTGTATATTTTAAAAGAAATGTTTATTTTATATTGCACGCCAATCTGTTATTATTCACCTGTAGGATCTCCCCCTTGTATCATAAAATCTCTGATAATTCGGTGAAAAATTATGTTGTTATAGTATCCACGCCTGGTAAGCTCTGCAAAGTTTCTACATGTTTGGGGGGCGTGTTTCCAGTACAGTTCCACAACAAATTCTCCCATTCTAGAAATAAACAGTAAATTATGTACCGACGAGTACTGTATTTTTAAAAAAAGTGTCTTACGTTGTATCAAACTGTATAAAAGGCGGTTGCCACATTTTGTCGGGAATTCCCGATATTCCTTGAACTGCAATCATTTTTTAATATAATTATAATAAGATTTAAAAAGATTAAAAAACTATTTAAAAACCGAAAAACTTGCAAGTATAAAATTGTGAGGTTAAGAAATTGTTTGCACTGAAGTTAGCAAAATATGCAATTAATTATAATCTATGGCCAAACTTCACCACAGAATGAAATGTTCCACTCTCAAATGTCAATAAAAATCAAACACAAAACATATGATTTCTCTCAAACGTGTATGCAGAATTTTGTCCGATTGTTTTATTTTTTGAACAATGCTAAATAAAAGTAGGAAAACTGTGTCATAAGCCGAATTGTTCATAATGATAAAAGCAAATGAACAATAGTCGTTGTGAATATGTTCGGGCGAGGAGATCATGTCTCTCTCAACCTCTCCCAAGACTATTTATTCGACCGTAAACGGCCTTTTAACTTAAAAAGGGTGAGTACCCCATTTTTTTACCGAAATATTTCCTTTACAGTTACGATTACTTTGTAGCAATGGAACCAGCTTTCGAAATGCCAAAAAAGCACCGCTTACATGGCCGCACTAGTATTCATAATCACCATATTTTACGTTATTTCGATCGACACCAAGGGTGCGATTATATCAAGACAAAAAACTGAGAAAACTAGCGAGAAATCAACTTTAACTCACATCGGTAACAATCCAAGGGAAGTAATCGAAAATGGAGCGGAGAACAACAATGAAAACCAAGTATTAGAGGAGCCAGATGGAGCTCAAGTTAACAGTAAGGTTGATAGTAATCAGGTGGTGGAACCACCGAAAGATATCATAACATTTCCAGGTATTTATTAAAAAAAAACCAGGGATGTTTGATTTATAACTATTCTTTTAGAAGCAAACACTTCACGTCAGAAATCGATTAAAAAAGCCTTCCAACATGCGTGGAAGGGTTACAAACAGTTTGCCTGGGGACACGATCATCTCAAACCGATTTCAGAAGGATACCATGACTGGTTTGGACTAGGCTTAACCATTGTTGATTCGTTGGATACCATGTACATGATGGGATTAAAAGAAGGTTTGAAACTCTAATTTTTGTGTATTCAGATGAGATAAAAAAAATTAATCAATATTTTTATTGTGTTTTAGAGTATACAGAAGCTAGGAATTGGGTGGATAAGCATTTAAATTTTGACATTAATAGGGATGTGAATTTGTTTGAGGTTACAATAAGGGTTTTAGGCGGATTACTCAGTATTTACCACTTTACTAAAGACGATATGTTTCTGAAAAAAGCGGTAAGTATATTGAATATACAGGGTGTGTCAGAAATAAGTGCAAATATTTTGAAGTGAGTATATTTGGACCCTGTTTTTTAATTTATTTTAAAAATGGTAAAAAGAAAATATGTTTCTTTTGACCAGATCTACTTTGACTAGATGTTTTAAGGAGTGAAAACATCTGCATTTATTTCTGGGACACAAAACATGACTTAAAATTGTGTATATAATGTTTATCTTGTTCTAGACTGATTTAGCTGATAGATTGCTTCCATGTTTTGACACTGAGTCTGGTATTCCTCTGTCAGATGTCAATTTATTCACAAGGAAAGCTCACGCACCTAAATGGTCTCCTGATAGTAGTACTTCCGAAGTAACAACTATACAATTGGAGTTTAGATACTTAAGTTGGATAACTAACAATCCTAAATATGAGGTAATCACTTATGTATATACTGTTCTCCATTCACGCAGTTGTGCAGCTCTGAACTGTTCAAGCACGCGATACTCTCACTCCATTCAATTGAGTCATAAGAGAAAAAAGCAAGAATTGACAACTTGGAGTAATTTTAATATTAATTGGTGACTGAACACTGCATTCACCAAATAATAGAATCATATCAATTCTCTCTGATGTAGAATAAGTTTGCAGTTTCGGCAAATTTCTGTTTTTTTTTTGTTTTACCTCAAACAAAATGATTACTAGTTGTTAAAGTTGGAATAATTAGACAGCTATGTTAAAGTAACGTCAGACATATCACAGCCACCTAGATTTTATTAAATAATAAGATCTACTCAGATCAATCATGTAAATGAAAATATCTAGGAAAATCTTTGTTTGAGGGTTAGGCAACCTTAATAGTATTTTGAGGAGACATGAATTCTGCATTGAATATTGGAATAATATACTGGGTGTTTCATGTAAAATAAAAGAGTAACATGCTTTTAAAGGTGACCAATGTTCAATATTAATTTTGTCTCACCCTGTATAAGTTTTTGGAACAAGTTTTAATTTGATTTAAAGTACAATAGTTAATTTAACTAGATATTAGGCTATACCGGGTAAATTCCAATTTAGGTAGCTTTTATTGTAATTTAAAAATTGTTCTTTTTTTCTAGAAAATGCTAAATATGTCAAAAACCTTACATTTTAGTCATATACTTCTCTAATGAAACTCACCTTTATTTTTCTCCCAGACTCCGAAAATCAATTAATATATAGGGTGTTCCATTACAAAAAACACAATTTTGATATGTAACTTATTTTGGAGACACCCTGTAGAACTCTCTATACAGGGTGGTCCATCGAAAACGTTCCGCAAGGCATAACGGCTAGGGTATTCTTTTTTTGAAAAAATCCCAAAACACTTCAATTTTGTTTGTGAGGGGGACAACTTTTGCCCCAAAAATGATTGCGAAATCTTCACAAAATTGCAAGCGACGATCAAAATCGTCTTTGTTGCGTTCTTGTACCAACTGAATTTTGTACGGGTGGAACTTTTTAATAGCGTTTTTTTTTAATATCTTTTGGACACTTGTACGATTCAGGCCGGTCTCATTGGCTAATTTTCTTATACTCAGCGTACTATCCATGGCAACTTGGATTTTCCCTCTGCCTCTTTTTATTCATAACGGAACCAGTTTCGCGAAAGTTTGCTACTAACTCGCGAACAATTTTGCCATAAAGGTGGTTGTCAGGATGGCGTTCATTGAATATCTGGCCAACCCGATTGCCACATTCATTATTTTTAAAATCAAGTTCGATTATACTCTGTTTTTTTTTCTCAGGTAAGATTTCGACAGACGATGACAGAAGAAAAGCAGATGACGTCCCATACCAATCTACTTATTTTACTAAAAAAAGTTTCTAATAATTTTTAAGTTATCTATGGATGGATTTAAATATAAATCCGTCATGCGTCGTGTCTTGTTTTTAACCAGTTTTATTGGTTTATACTGCAGATTTTTAGAGCAATAAACACTACTATTTAATAACAAATTTTATTGAACAATAACACAAGTAAGGATAAAAATACATAATGTCTTATACTAAAATTCATTTTTCATGATAATGAACATGGAAATTAAAAGTGCACTTGTTGTTCTTAGAAATCTGTAATCCTTCCCAGGGATTTACAGATTTTATAGAAGAAGATGATGCTACTGAAGAATGGCAAATATTTGTATCCACTAAAGACACATTATTTTTTGGAGCTATCATGATTTGTTATTTTCATTCTTTTGGAAACTGATTTTTCTATGTAAGTTTCTGCCACTGTTGAAGACTCCCATCCTCCTAGCTCCTTTAGCGATAGTAAATCACCACCATTTTCGGCGAGCATGGTTGCTGATGATCTACGAAATGAATGCCCTGTATAACGTTCTGGATTCTCCAAGTTCAAAATTTTGCAATTTTCTGCGGTACGCTCCCGATGGTATGTATACCGACGATTTGCTTAACACACTTGCCTTTCTTGTAACCAATGAAAAAATTGGGATTGTCAAAGTTACGAGGACGCAGGTTGATGTATTTTTGTATAAACCATAGGCATCAAACGGAAGGCCCGTTTTGGAATAAGAAATTTCTATCTTTCTTATTTTTAGTATTTCTTAATGAGACAAGAATATTTTTCTCCGAATCTTCGAAATCATCAACTGTGAGTGACCAAAGCTCGCTGCGCCTACAAGCTCCAAGAATACCAAGCACCAATACAATTTTTTGAGTAACCAGGTGTAATCATCGGCATCCAGTAGAAAATTATTTATGTCATTCTCCGACAGAACTTTGGCTTTTTTGGTGAATAACCTTCGTTTTGCGCCTCAGAAACATGAACAGTTTACCAAATCTATGAACAAATATAATTTAGATGAGTATGATTAAATATCGAAGAATATAATGGCTTTTACCTTGATATGTCGATGTTTTCATATACTCTCAGTTTTATAAAGCTTCAAACATGGATATCTTTGTCCACATGATGTAGGAGAATACATTTCAGACATTCTTTTAGCATAAGCCAGCAATACCGCTTCATTTACGCTGTTTATACTTCTATCCTGCCGCCACTTCAAAAAATTGTCATATTCCTGCTGATATCTCTCTCTGGTTATAGTCGGAAGTATAATTTTGAGTAGCCGCAGCCGCTTCCTCCTGTATTTCCAACGGAATTTCTCGCGACATCTCGCTATGGTCTATTTTCCCAATTTTTGAAAAGTCCAACTGACAATAAATAGTCATTGTTGCAGGTGACACACGTTACGATTACCTTAGAAACTTAACGGCCGCCGGCCGTTATGATAACGTCCGGCGGACGTTATATGCATCTTTTCCATTCTGATTTTGCTTATGTTATAATAATATAACAATATAGTATGACGAAAAAAAATTTAACGATATTGAGAAGAACTTCAACGCATAATTCACAGAACAGCTATCTAGCAACTACCGCACCTGATCGTTCAACCTTGTGGCAAGTGAAAAAACGCGTAAACATCTAGAAATAATAAGAAAAAACAGCAAATTGGTCGAAGGAATTTATCCTTATCATTTACTCTGATAAATGTTTAAATAAACTTTTCAAATTTCAATCCTTCATATTTTTTTAATGACTCGACCGATCTTCAAAAACGAAGCCGGAAAGTATAGAGAATAGAAAGCCCTTTTCATTGCGGTACCACTGGACCCCCCTTTCCATTTGAAAAAAATTGGGGGATGACACCCCCGCTTAGAGGGTTAAAGATTTTGCAATCATTTTTGGGGCAAAAGTTGTCTCCCTCACAAACAAAATTGACGTGTTTTTGAATTTTCTGAAAAATAAATTACCCTGGCCGTTATGCCTTGCGGAACGTTTTCGATGGGCCACCCTGTATTTTTAAAAAGTGCTCTGAATTAACCTACATATGCTCACAAAATTTCATTTCAATACAAACTGTCGTTCTCCTTGGAGCCTTCGCGGCGTATGAGAGGCGCCACACTCAACACTGTATGTTGTAAATAACTGACTTCTATTTCTTAGAACGTGGTCTCCAGAGTGTCCGAAATAGTTCACAAACTAGAAAAAACCGATGGTTTAGTTCCTATTTTCATCAATGCAAACACTGGCCAGTTTAGGGCATACGCCACCATCACACTGGGCGCTAGAGGCGATAGTTACTACGAATATTTACTCAAACAATGGCTGCAAACGGAAAAATCAGTAGAATAGTAAGCCCAGTGATATATTTAAATTAATAACTATCTTTTTAATGGTAAATTTTTAGTTTAAAAAATGACTATGTAGAGGCTATTGAGGGTGTCTCGAAACATTTGGTGAAACGCACAGTTCCTAACGGGTTCCTATTCGTAGGGGAGCTCCTGGGGGGCTCCAAAGACTTGAAACCAAAGATGGACCATTTGACTTGCTATCTTCCAGGAACTTTAGCTTTAGGTGGGTATATTTTGAGTTATTCTTTTACTACCCTGTATGAGGAAGGATTTGAAATGCGTTATGAGACCCTTTCTACGGGATGTCCCAAAGGATAGTTCGATTCCTATCTTCCTGCACTGTCAGTTTTTTTACGTCATCTGGGGACCGAGTTGAAGTTGGCGCTAGAGATTTTAGACAGTGACAGTTATTTTTGCATTTGATGGACGAGCGCACAGTGCGCTGGAAGATAAATTTAGCGGGACAAAAGCGTTTGGTTAGAAATAAGCCAAAAAATGTGTACTGTAAAAATAAATAGTAGACATTCCAATTGATATAAAAATGCATGAATATTCTTGGTATTTCGATACATTTTTATCAACCAAATTTGGTGGTTTTCTGCTCAGCAAGGCAGAGATCATACGAAAACAAAATATTTACAAATGCTTATACATTTTATTCCAAAGCCAAATTATGTTGAAGATTGCCAAAGGTATGTACTTTTCTACTGTACATATATTATTTGTTAAAATCCTTCATGCCTTTGTTCTGCAGATATCAAACTTTCACTTTTTTTCAAATATCGATATATTGAATGATGTAGATCTTTTGAGTTACCAATAGTTACCAACACAGGTAGTCACAGTCACAAGGAGTTCAAGCTTAACAGGTGAATGCCCAAAAAGATTCATTTCAATCGGATAGTATAAAAACAAAACAACTCCATCAAAAGACACTGAGTTTAAAAAATTGTCTTAGATACTTACTATATTATGAATTTACAATTACGAGTGTTAAAATTAAAATTAAAATATCTATCTTATTTATTATTTTCAAAATAAAATATATTTTTTTAAAATAAATTATAGAGGGTGTCACAAGATTACAAATTAATTAAAAAAAAACTGCTAAAGAGTTTTTTGATATCATAATTTTATGTATTTGGCAATAGTTTACAATACGGTTTTTGTGTGTCATGTACGAATAATATCATAGTTTTATTATCTTGTATTTATTTATTAATAAATTAAGTTGTTAATAAATAAATAAATTTAACCATATAGTTGCTATATATTAGACCATTTGCTACGTTCTTAGATATTAAGTCCCAAACATTGCTCTTGAGATTTTGTCCCGCTAGAATAACCATCCGCCGCACTGTGGAGCGCTGGTCAGCGCGTGACGTAGCATTCCACGGCGACTACGACAGCGGCGATTTGACGCGATCGAACAGTCCTTTAGAATATATACAGTCCTTGGGGATGTCCTACAAAAAAATTCTTTTTTTCTAGGTGTGCACAATGGCTTGTCAAACTCTCACATGAAGCTAGCCGAAGAACTAATGACCACTTGCTACCAAACCTATGCTCAGCAACCTACCTTCCTAGCTCCAGAAATTACCTATTTCAATATACAGGTTAATTACATTTTTTTAGAATTTTATTTTTTTAAATATGGTGGTTTCTAGGGTGAAAATTCCAATGACATGTACGTGAAAGCCAACGATGCTCATAATTTACTGAGGCCAGAGTTTTTGGAGAGTTTGTGGTACATGTACCAGTTTACTGGCAATGTAACATATCAGGAATGGGGTTGGCAGATATTCCAGGTATGGTAAATCCTCTAATTCTAAGGATGTATTCCGTTGCAAAACCAGGCGAACCAGACCGGTAAACTACGGTAAAGAGCGGTTCCTGAAAAACATCGGTTTGCTTTGAATAAGAAGACTAAGGAAGGAACATATCAAAAATCTTAGGTACACCGCGATGGGCCTCAAATATGGCCGACTTAAATTCCGGTTTATCAGTGTCGTTCTAATTTTATTTAAAAAATGTAAAACTATGATGTAGGGTAGACGTGGGGTAGACTCAATAATTTGTTGTTTTATTTTACGTTGTGAATAAATGTTGGTAGTTATTAAAATTGTTATAAAAATATATAATTCTAATAAAAATAGATAAGTTATAATAAGTATTTATTAACACAAACATCCGATACGCTACTGAAGCAGGTAAGTCAAATTAACGTATCTAAATTCTTTGACATCTAATCTTTGACAAGTAATAAATAAAAGCTAAAATGCAAGAAAAATATATAATTTAGTTAATTTAAGTGAATTTCATAAATGATCGGTTTACTACACGTATGTATATTATATAGTCACTTACTAGCGAAAAGGTGTTCCATTATTTCACTCAATTTTTGCCGAGATCTACCGCACGCTACACAACCAACTATTTTAGAGTCTTTTCGATAAATCGCGATAGTGTCACTGTTAATTTAAGTTCTGCCACAATTTCCATCTAGATTTACTACCTTTATACAACTATCAGTAGTAGAATAAATAATAAATAACATAAAATATGCTCCGTAAAGACTGACAAATCCACAAAATTTCAAATCAAATTCAAATGTGTCAAATGAATCGTCAAACAGAACTGTCAAGGATCCCCACCCTAGAGAGCTTTTATGGTGGCTTTTCCGCCCACCATGCATGAATACATGGATAGCATTATGCTCCTTCCTTAGTCTTCTTATTCAAAGTGTGAAACGAATAACTTTGAATTTGACAGTTCCCGCGGGCTTTTCTAGTGTTAATTTTATTAGGTTAGCAACTTACGGGCCATGCTGCTGCAATGCCGTCTCTAATAGAACAGCCTCGGAGCGAGATTTCTGACGTCACGCTAGTTAGATACTCCGAATTAATAAATATTTTGTAGAATACATGGAAAACATAATTATTCCTCGTATTTTTGGTTTGTATTTTAAAAATGATATAGTTTACATGAATCAACCATACTTTGCAAATAAACTATGAACCATACTGAAAGCGAAATTTAAATTCCAGTTAGTCAGCCTGGCGCCGAATATGTCCATGGCTGGCAACAATTAATTTAATAATCGCGCCCTTGATGATGTAACTAACAGTTTATTTGGTATCGAATATAGTTACTTACCTAGTTAAGATTACCTGGTTACCTAGCCTACTACGCCACTGATTTTATTCAATTCCATTTGATTTTCTTTTCAGGGATTCGAGAATTACACGAAAGTAATCAACGGCTACACATCGATAGGCAACGTGAAGAACACGGGCAACGTCAGGCCCAAGGACATGATGGAGTCGTTTTTCCTGAGCGAAACTTTGAAGTATTTGTACTTGCTGTTCAGTGAGGATCCAAAGATGCTGGATTTAGATAGATACGTGGTAAATACAGAGGCACACCCTTTTCCCATAGGCAAAGCCAATATCTAAGTGTTTTTTATTTTTTAATTAAAATATAGAAAAATTTCGTCCATATATATGATCGCGAACTAGAAAAAAATATAAAATAAATTTTTATTTTGCGATAAATATATTAGTCACGTGACATAATATTATTAGATTGAAGTTACTTTAAAAATACGGTATGATCGAGAAAAAAAACGGCGTCAAAGACGGCTGGGGAATGGCAATTGGCAATCGATGATAATTTTGTCGAGGTCAATCTTTAAATTGACATAAAACTTGTCAAAAATTAACGCACCATTAAAAAGTAAACAAGATTACAGGTCTAGGACTTGACCTCGCCAAAATTATCATCGATCGTCATTCTCCAGCCGTCTTTGACGCCGTTTTTTTTTCGATTTTCGAAAATTCTGTATGACCAAAAAAATATTCGAAGGTAAGTGCTGATATATGACTTTTATTTATATACCGGGTGCTTCTAAAAAGTGACTCACCCCTATAACTTTTTTATTTTTTTCAGTTAAAAAAACGAGATTTGGTATGTTAGTATATGACATAAATTAGGATTGATTGACGTATTCAATTGTCTTTCAACTTTCGATTTTTAAATGGCACCCTCGGTATTTTTTTACTTTATTCAATAGAAAATAACACTCTGGATAGAAAGACATGGCATATGTCAACTTTTAAAAAAAAAGATGAAAGAAAATTTGACTCGAAATACCAAGTGTGTGGTATCAAATTATTCGTAAAAAAATGCTTTTTCCCAATATGCTAATGAGCCACCCTCGTTCCATTTGAAAAAATTGAGATATGATTAAAAATACGATTTGAGCAATTTCTAACTGACCAGGACAACACACTAAAAATATTAGACGATCAAATCTATTTTTCCAAGGCTACTTGATTAAGAATTAGTGTTTTTAACATAGCCATGGCACTCTAGATTGAATTTTAAATACAATTTTTTATTAAGCGAGAATGTCAAAAGTTGACATATGATATGTCATTCTATTCAGAATGTCATTTTCTATCGGATAAAGTAAAAAAATACCGACGGTAGTCATTTCCGGTGAAACAGGAAGTGACCATAACAATTGAATACGTCAATCAATCCTAATTTATGTCATCTACTAACATACCAAATCTCGTTTTTTTATCTGAAAAAAATAAAAAAGTTATAGGGGTGAGCCACTTTTAAGATGCACCCCGTATATTATTTATATTTTTATTTATTATAAAAACAAACAACAGAGTTGTTTGGTTCAAACTCTTTTGTCTCTATTGTTGATATCCTGGACTATGACAACTAATATTTTAATTTCTTCTTTTTTTTTCGAAAAAAAAACGGTGTCATAGTAGCCTTCGAAATATCAATCGGTTATATTTTTGTTTTTAATAAATGTAAACAGTTTCGAAGTATTCTTTACTAGACAGATCTGAATATCATTTGAAGGGCTACTGTGGCGCCGTTTTTTTTCTTTTGGAAGTTATTTTTTATATTTAGTAGTTTTAATGTTTGACAAGGCCGTGACATAACTTCGTCTATATCATTGTCAGGTTATTTCTAAGCCTAACACGACGTCTTTTTATTTCTTGTTATACTATAGTAAAACAGTATTATGTATTCTGATTTAACCATTGTTTACGTAAGCTTAAATTTAAAAGTTATTTTAGCACAAACCAATATCTTTTTGGTCATAGTATATTTTTATTGGTATACATAAAAACATTTTTTTTTTCGAAAAATTATACAATTTTTTAATTCATTTTGATATTTTTTATTTACGTTAGATCTTATTATTATTAGCCAAGGGAAAATCTGTGATATGATATAAATATACAGAGTGTACCGAGATTTATATAAGATAATGATTGGGTCCATCAGATTTTTAAAGTAACTTTAATGTAATCTTATTGAATTGTATGGTAATCGTAGGGTTGTTCTAAGGTTTTAGTGGTGTTAGATCTAGTCAAAATATGAGACTTTTTAGAATTACCATTGATGGAGTATTTTTTTTTGCTTACTACATACATTACTATACACGTAGAGCAAATATTATGGCGTAAAATATTCAGTGTATGTACATGGTTTGTTATTATGGGATTTTTAGATCGAATTTATCAAAAAGAGTGATTATAGTGGAATATTTTCATAACAGATTATTTTTGAGTCACTCAGTAAATTATACGTTGATTCTCATTTAGGAAATATAGAGTCTCGATAGTAAAGTAACGTAATCATACTCAAAAATACGTTTTTTAATCATAGAATATGTCAAAAAATACTCATTGGAAATACACATTGAAATTAAAGATAGTTTTAATTACATTTATTATTTTTTTTACTGTTTTTTTTTTCGAATACAAATCTATACCGGGCGAGTCAAAGATAAAGTTCATTATCTCGTTTGTTTTGAGAGTTACGAAAAAATGTTAAATATAGAAAAGTTTTAGGGAATGTTAAGATACACAATTCAAAATTAGCTTTCAGTATACAGGGTGCTTCAAAGAAGTGTGGTAGATATAAAATGTTTGTTTTAAAAATAGTGTTATTATTAGTGTTCTTCTACACTTTCCAGTTTTGTGTTATTAGAATGTCTTTTTTGTCTACTACTTCGTTTGTACATTACTTTAGTCTTTGCTAAATTCATTTTAAGACCTACTTGAAACCCCTACATGAAAAACATATTTGAGTTAGGCGATACAGGGTGTTCAAAATAAATTTATCAATTTAGCCTGTAAATTAATAAATAAATCATGAAAATCAAAAGTGAAAACGAACATGAGCTTTCTTAGAATCTCTTTGACTCACCCTGTATAAATAAATGCGCAATGAGACTCTTAAAAACTCGAATTTAACTAATCTGTCCCATCATGTTTTATTTTTAATGCATTTCAATACTCATTTTTATCTCACATTTGTATTTTTTTTATTTTTAGCATATTAACATGTAGGTAGGTGTTAACAACTAGTAAATTTTTGTAATAATATTAAGGAAATTTTACGTTAATCAGCTATAATGAAAGATGTAAATATGTCTCTTATATTAAGGGGAAATATAAAGAAATTATATTGTTGGTTTTTCGTATTATTATGCTCGTAAATTATACGGTAATTTTGTAATTATCTAAATTTAACAAATATCCGGCATCATCGTTTCATATTAACTTTTTTATTTCATTTTTAAGTATTATTTTTTACATACACTCATTTTTTAATCTTTTTTAAACCATATATTTATAAACCAGGTGATGAAATTATACATGTATAGTTTTAAACTAATATAAAATACAATATGATCGAAAAAAAAACGGCGTCAGCGATAGCTATGAAATAAAGGTCGCTGTCATTTTATATGTAAAATTATATGGGGAATGTCATCGATCGTCATTTCTAAACCAACTGGAAGAGTTTTTTTTTCGATTATACCGTACATAGATAAGATTCTTTTGGAGTTAATGTTATTTGTTTATGTTGTTTTATCTTTGGTAGCGAATAAAAATTTATAAAAATTTGAACTGGTTTTTATTTATTACCTGTTTTACTAAACCAAGACGTCTTTAAAACTAATTTACTGATATACTGAGTGACAAAAAAGGGAGAACACCTCTATATATATTTATAAGATTTTAATATTTTTTTGGTGTACAGGGTGGTCGAAATTGGTCTGTTTTAACAGGGAAAACCTATTTCCTGACCAGATAGAGCAAAACCGACATAGATGTCATGGACTCGATTTCTGAGAAACGTTTAATGGCGTAAACTGCCTGTTGATATTTTCACTGCCAACTGAGATACGGGGTCTTTTTGAATTTTTTACCATTTTGAAAATTGCCCATAACTTTTTTATTTTGCGGAATAAAAAAATTCTATAAAAACGTTATCAAGGCACTTTTTTAGGCACAATCCAGTGGCGTAGTTTTTTGTCAGAAATAATAAAAAATATAATTTTTTAAATGGAAATCGTAGTTGGGTGTGAACTTAAAAAAATGCTGGCGTTTTACCCTTTCCAATGATCTAAAGTTATGGACATCTATTTCTAAGAATGAGAGAAATATTAGGTTTTTGATCTTTATATCGAAGCGGTCCTTGATTTTATGGTGACCTATTTGCCTAATTATTTTTTATCACAATTTAATATTCTATATTATTATTTATCTGCATAATTAAAGACTTTTGAAAAGGTAAATTAACATTCTATATTAGTATTAGTAATTACAATTGAAATCGATACAATAAACAAAGAATAAAACTAAAAATAAAGTATTTTTTGGGTGACTAATATAGCAAAATAAAAACACTAAATCACCACAACACACCAAAACACTTTTACTTTTACACTGGACGCGCGTTTCGCTAACCATGTTGTTAGCATCATCAGCAGATGATTATAAACTGTTGAGTTTATAATCATCTGCTGATGATGCTAACATGGTTAGCGAAACGCGCGTCCAGTGTAAAAGTAAAAGTGTTTTGGTGTATTGTGGTGATTTAGTGTTTTTATTTTGCTGTTTAACACCAAAGGTTCCAACCCTCAACTGTAATTGACTAATATAGTTTTCTATATTAGAATTTTCTATATTATAAAAAATCATCAAAGATGTTCAAACTGAGCACCCCCTTGTTGAATACACAATAAACATCTTTTGCGCACAGAGTTAGAACAATTTATTAGGCGAATTGGTGTAATAAGTCCAAAAGCTTGCCTAGTAGCCTTCTGTAATTCTACGCTCGTCCCAATGGTTCTTCCCCTATACAGGGTGTTTCAAAACAAATGCGAAAAACTTCAGGGGGCGATTCCTTGTTCAAAATAAATGGTAGTTTGCTTCATAAACGTTGGGTCAAAAGTCAACCATTAGGGAGATATCGCGGTACAAAGATGGCGGAAAAATAATGTTTTTATTTTTTATCTTGAAAACGAAAAGAGATAGTCTAATGAAATTTTATGGGAGCATTACTATTACGAAAACACACTTTCTGGTAATTTTTTCGCTTTTTTAAAATGAGTGGAAGGGGTTGAAATAAACTACCCTTATCATTCTTGTTAACGAAATTTAAAGAAAAATCTTATCAAACACATGCAAAAAAATTAATTTGGGTAGCTTGGTTTATTTAGAAACTTTTTTATCTCTTGTGTTTCTTTGATAAAACTCGCCGATTTGAAATTAAAAAATAACATGTAAAGCACTACATGTCAGGATCAAAAACATTTTTAGATAAAGAATCTAGTGATAATAACGATAATAATAAGAATCTAGATAATAACGTATTGCAGTAGAGTAATGTCAATAAAATAATATTAGAAACATCCTAAAAAGTGACAGCGGCCGACTAGATTTTTTCCTAAAAAAATTAGAGCAGCCCACTAGATTCTTTATCTAAAAATGTAATGCTTTACATTTTATTTTTTAATTTCAAATCGGTGAGTTCTATCAAAAAAACACAAGAGATAAAAAAGTTTCTAAACAAACTAAACTATCCAAATTAATTTTTTTGCATGTGTTTGATAAGCTTTTTTTTTAATTTCGTTAACGAGAATGATAGGGGTAGTTTATTTCAACACCTTCCACTCATTTTAAAAAAGTGAGAAAATTACCAGAAAGTATGTTTTCATAACAGTAATGCTTCCATAAAATTTCATTAGTCTATCGTTTTTCGTTTTCAAGATAAAGAATAAAAACATTATTTTTCCGCCATCTTTGTACCGCTATATCTCCCTAATGGTTGACTTTTGACCCAACGTTTATAAAGCAAACTACCCTTTATTTTGAACAAGGAATCACCCCCTGAAGTTTTTCGCATTTGTTTTGAAACACCCTGTATATAAGGCCCTTTAATTTCCCCCATAAAAAAAGTCGAAAGGAGTTATACATCACAGGACCTAGCAGGCCTAGATATGGGATCCCTTGTTCCAATCCAATTCTCTCGAAATTGTCCATTTAATAATGCAGTTGTTACCCTGGCTTTTTAATTGTAAATGGTAATACTAATATAGAATGTCGATTTACCTTTTTAAAAGTCTTTAATTATGCAGATAAATAATGATATAGAATATTAAATTGTGATAAAAAATAATTAGGCAACTATAAGAAGGTATAACTATATAAAGAAGATCCTATTTTTTTTAATTTAGTCTTATAAATTCTAGTATTGAATATAAATCGAACATGTCTCCATAGCGCAGTGCGTAGAGTTTCCGACTACGAACCGATGATTCAGAGTTCGAATCCGGGTCAGGGCAAAAACTTTTTTATTGTATTCTCGATAGTAAAGTATTAAATATTTTTTTTTTTTTGAATCGCCAGAATTATTTAATACTTTACTCTCAGAATATAAACGAAAATAAAATAAAAAAAGTCTTTGCCCTGACCCGGATTCGAACTCTGAATCATCGGTTCGTAGTCGGAAACTCTACGCACTGCGCTATGGAGACATGTTCGATTTATATTCAATACTAGAATTTATAGGACTAAATTAAAAAAAATAGGATCTTCTTCCGATGCGCAGTAGTGAACGCAACGGGTATCGGCAGCCAAACGGGCCGCATGCTGTTCCAGAGAGCATAGTAAAAGATATATCAAAGAGCCAGACGTCTTAAAATACTTTCTCGAAAACGTTTCTAGTTCTTAGACTATAAGATTTGTAAAGGGACATTTTGATTGTTTTTTTTTTCAATTAAAACACAATATATATATTTAAATCAGTTTACTTTAAATAATACTGTAAGTAATATTAAGTAAAATACAGTATATTTTTTTCTAACCACAACAGCAAAGGCACTTTGTAAACCTTCCCCGTATTCAATTACACACTAAAAATTAATTTGATTCTATACATCAAAAAAAAAGAAATAATTTACTAAAACCTACAAAAAAATCAGATTTTTCTCCATAGTATTCAAAATACAACGTATACAAACACGATACATTTTTGTATATTAAAATTACTCTATAAGTTTTAGGAAAAAAATAGGTAAAAAAGCGAGATTCAAGTTGATATGAATAATGTCTTATATCATGTACAGGATTTCGCTAAAGAAGACTTCTAATACGCCCTGTATACAGAGGGTAAACATTTGAGATGCATTTTATTGCAACATGATAGATATTTTTCTTCTATACTCAACACTGCTTAACGGTATTACATTAAAATAGCCAATAATGTATCTACAGGGTGTCTCACTCATAAGACATATTTTAATAATAAATCAGGGTATAGTATCCTGAAGTGCACGAGTAACAGTTGAAATATATTAAGCGTCGACACCCTGTATATAAAACAAAAAAAGATAAAATTTATAAAAAAATCATATACAGGGCTACCCAGTGTTCTGAAAAAAAAAACAAAGTTTCAATCTATTTTACTAAAAAAAGCGGGCTATAAAATAAAAGCACATTTAAAAATATTTTCAAAAATATATAGGGTGACGCAAATATATTTTTAAACTTAACTTATAGTTTTTTATTTGTTTAATTTAAAATGTGCTCTAGTACTGCCTGCATATGGAGCTTTTTTGTAACACTGTATCGCCCTGTATAATAAATACGTCGAATAGAACGTTTAAAGGCTGTTTTTCTAATCTATAATAAACCACAAGATAAAATAAATAAAAAAATCAATATATTTCTATTTTACCTTGAAAATCTAAATCATTTTAGGAATATTATACAGGACAAGCTTTCAAATATAATATCCTTTTTTATGAGTAATTTTAGAGCAAGCACACCCCAAATAAAAATAAAACAAAAAAAAATTGTAAAAAATATACATCATATAAAAGACTTACGTTTATAAAAGATGTCTTATATTTATACATAGAAATATAAAAATACCTATTTCTATATTTTATCTGGAAAATTTTGGCGAAATTCTGAAACTCACTGTACTACAAGGAATGAAACGTTTAGGGAGGATCTAGATCACATTATGGAGCATTCACAACACGTCATGGTGACGTAGAGGCACTTCACGATACAGTTGTCGTCTTCGGATTCGTTCTGAGGCTTCTTGTCCTTGGGTATCCACACGCCATCCAGCTTGTCGATGTTGCCGTTTTTCCGAAACTTGTCGTCTTTTCTTCTGTCTTTTCCTGTGTATAAAAATAAGAACAGTAACAATAAACTCATTTGTTACATCCTTAATGATTATTGTAGCGAAATTAGGAGATTAATTTATTTAAAATTTCTTTACATTTTATCATTTCACTATAACAAGGTGGCGCCTCTCAATCGCCGCGGAGGCTTCAACGAGAACGACTGTTTGTATTGAAATGAAATTTTGTGAGCATATGTAGGTTAGTTCAGAGCACTTTTTAAAAATATAGAGAGTTTTACAGGGTGTCCCCAAAAAAAATTACATATCAAAGTTGTGTTTTTTGTAACGGAACACCCTATATATTAATTGATTTTCGGATTCTGGAAGAAAAATAAAGGTGAGTTTTATAAGAGAAGTATATGACTAAAATGTAAGGGTTTTGACATATTTAATATTTTCTAGAAATAAAGAACAATTTTTAAATTAGAATAAAAACTGCCTAAATTGGGATTTACCCGGTATAGCCTAATATGTAGTTAAATTACCTATTGTACTTTAAATCAAATTAAAACTTGTTCCAAAAAATTATACAGGGTGAGACAAAATTAATATTGAACATTGGTTACCTTTAAAAGCATGTTACTCTTTTATCTTAAATGGAACACCCAGTATATTATTCCGATATTCAATGGGGAATTCATGTCTCTTCAAAATACTATTAAGGTTGCCTACCCCTCAAACAAAAATTTTCCTAGATCCTTTCATTTACATGATTTGATCTGAGTAGATCTTTATTATTTGATAAAATCTAGGTGGCTGTGATATGTCTGACGTTACTTCAACTTAGCTGTCTAATTAGTCCAACCTTAACAACTAGTTATCATTTTGTGTCAGTTAAAATAAAAAAAATTCTCAAAAATTTGCCGAAAATGCAAACTTATCCTTTAGTTTAATGCACACTGCATTCACCAATTAATAGAATACTTATTTAAATGCTCCTGATTTTATGTAGTTTGTTTTTTTAAACGGTTTTATTTAGCTCGACCTTTGAATAAGAAGACTAAGGAAGGAGCATAATGCTATCCATGTATTCATGCATGGTGGGCGGAAAAGCCACCATAAAAGCTCTCTAGGGTGGGGATCTTGACAGTTCTGTTTGACGATTCATTTGACACATTTGAATTTGATTTGAAATTTTGTGGATTTGTCAGTCTTTACGGAGCTTATTTTATGTTATTTATTATTTATTCTACTACTGATAGTTGTATAAAGGTAGTAAATCTAGATGGAAATTGTGGCAGAACTTAAATTAACAGTGACACTATCGCGATTTATCGAAAAATACTTTAAAATAGTTGGTTGTGTAGCGTGCGGTAGATATCGGCAAAAATTGAGTGAAATAATGGAACAACTTTTCGCTAGTAAGTGACTATATAATATACATACGTGTAGTAAACCGATCATTTATGAAATTCACTTAAATTAACTAAATTTTATATTTTTCTTGCATTTTAGCTTTTATTTATTACTTGTCAAAGATTAGATGTCAAAGAATTTAGATACGTTAATTTGACTTACCTGCTTCAGTAGCGTATCGGATGTTTGTATTAATAAATACTTATTATAACTTATCTATTTTTATTAGAATTATATATTTTTATAACAATTTTAATAACTACCAACATTTATTCACAACGTAAAATAAAACAACAAATTATTGAGTCTACCCCACGTCTACCCTACATCATAGTTTTAGATTTTTTAAATAAAATTAGAACGACACTGATAAACCGGAATTTAAGTCGGCCATATTTGAGGCCTATCGCGGTGTACCTAAGATTTTTGATATGCTCCTTCCTTAGTCTTCTTATTCAAAGAGCTCGACCCATACGGTATTTATTTATTTGTTTGTTTATTTGGGTCAAAATTAAAAATTGAAATTTAAGTACCTTCCTGTTGTCAGATTGATCTGAAATTTGGTACACACCTTTAGTTCCGATGACAATACAATATAGTAATATCAATAACATTGTAAATCTAAGATGGCCGCCGGTACAAATGGCGGATTTCATATTTTTCCACAACCCCTCAATATGGGTATCAAATGAAAGGGCTACACTAGTAGAATACTGTGATTATGACAAAATTTAAAATCCAAGATGGACGTCGTTACAAAATGGCGTATTAGGTGAGGGCATGAGTAGTCGTGTCCAGAACAGTTGTGTCCAAGATTGTGTGACGTTAGAAGGACAGATAAAAAAAATAGGTGATTAGATGTACCTACGTAGTTAGCGGTAGCTTTACCACCCAAGTTAAGACTGTATGGCATTAGGGTGGCTAAAAATGTAATGTCGCAAGCGTTTTCCCCTCAAGATTGGGCGCCTCTTGTTGTATATTATAGCCTTGCCCCTCTACTGGACCTCTGGGGGGGTCGACCGTTAAAATGTCCATTACTCGTGGGAACTTCAAAACCCAAGTGATGAGTTTGCAACAGACAAAGCGTTAAGGGTATACCCCACTAATCAGCAAGTAAACAATCACAACGCTGCTGTTTTAAATCTGTTCCGGAATAAGGGATCTCTCGAATTATACCATTAAAGCACAGGACCAACTAATTGACGCCACACGAAATACAGATAATTTAAATTTAGCAAATATAATACCAACAGATATAAATAAGACTGGAGGCTTACCATCAATACTTGAAATATTTGTAGGAGCAAAAGTAATGTTGCGGTCCAACATTGACGTTACAAAAGGATTGGTAAATGGTGCTATAGGCCACATTACAGAAATTGTTTGGCCTCAGTTCCGTCGAACCCAAATGTACGAAACAGATGTACCATCAGTTTGGATTGACTTTGGCAGAGACGGCATACACGTTATACACCCGAAAGCCATACAGTTTCCAGCAAAATTCAATTATGGTACGGCTGAAAGAAGGATGTTACCCTTAATTTTGTCATGGGCATCCACCGTCCATAAAATGCAGGGCAGCACAGTCGACCATGCAGTAGTGTATTTGGGCTCAAAATTGTTTGAGGAAGGGCAAGCATACGTGGCTCTAAGTCGAGTCAAGTCTCTGGAAGGGCCATGTATTGAGGAATTAGATTGTAATAAATTATCAGGTAAAAACCATGTAATAATGATGCACTAAATGAATTAAATAGAATGAGGGAATATTCGGTAGGCATTTCCGTTAAATACTAAAACTAGAAAATAAAAAATCGGTAAGAAAACTTTTATAAGTTAAACGGTTTTATCTTATGTGCACTGAAAACTAGAAAATAATAATAACAATTAGGTATTTTTGAACTTCTAGTTCAGAAATATTTTAGTACTAGGCAGAATAGCTTTTAGGCATATTAGACTAAAATAAAAACGTGGGGCCCATTAACTATTGCTGTAATACTTTCTTCTATACTAAGTGTGGATTGCATCGACTTACTATAATCGTAACTGGAGATTTTGACAATCAATAACCAGCCGTGGCGGCTTCACCAGCGAACGCCGAGCTCATGATCTACCAAAGTATAAAGATATGCTTTGCCATAGGTAGGATTTCAGAGGGGCCCCACGTTTTTATTTTAGTCTAATATGCCTAAAAGCTATTCTGCCTAGTACTAATATATTTCTGAACTAGAAGTTCAAAATACCTAATTGTTATTATTATTTTCTAGTTTTCAGTGCACATAAGATAAAACCGTTTAACTTAAAAGTTTTTTTACCGATTTTTTACTTATGGTGATATGTTAAAGACAGTGTTTAAAAAACTCGACCAACTATTGTCGACAACATGAGAGAAATTGTAGCTGCTTTTCGAGATAGAACCACATATGCCTTTTAAAATAAAAATATCTTCTTGAAAAGACAATCATTTTATGCAGTTAACAGGTTCCTTTCCTGTATTTTGAGCATTTGATTTCATTTAGCTAATTTTTGCCACAATTATAGATTTATATCTAGTTTTAATTCTGTAAAAATATGTTTTAAACGTGTATCTTTTTATTACCGTTGAGTATTTTACCTTACAATCTTTAATTTCTGTTAAACTAACAAAAGGTATATATCACACAGACACCCCTAGATTTTTTCAAAAAATAAAGATCTACTGACGCAAAATCATAAAAATTAAAATATCTAGGAAAATCTTTATCTGAGGGGTAGGCAACCTAAAAAATATACTGGGTGTTCCATTGAAAGTAAAGGAGGAACTTGCTTTCAAAAATGACTAATGTTCCATATTAATTTTGTCTCACCCTGTATAACTTTTCGAGTCAAATTTCAATTTGGATTAACATACAATGGTTACCGTAATTAAATATCAGGCTATACAGGTTCAACTAAAATTTAGGTAGCTGTTATCGAAATTTAAAATTTACTCTTCATTTTCACAAAATGTGAAATATGTCAAAATCCTAAGATTTTAGGTATATGCTTCTTTAATAAAACTCTCCTTTATTTTTTTCCTCGAATCCGAAAATCAATTAATATATAGGGCGTCCATTAGAAAAAAACACAGCTTTGATGTGTAACTTTTTTTGGGAACACCCTGTATAATTCTATATATTTTTATAAAATGCCTTCAGTTAACCTACATATGCTGCCAAAATTTCATTTCGATATAAACTACCGTTCTCCTTGGAGCTTCCGCGGCTTATGAGAGGCGCCACCCTGTATATTATATGCAGAATATCACTGTGTGGGAATATTTGGGGGAATGTTAAAACAGGTTTGTCAAGCTAATAAAAGAATATATGCGATATAAAACCATAAATTCTGTTAAAAATGACACATGAAATCAGCAGGAAATGTTCGACCTTCGCTAAATTTTATATATTATCTGAAATTTCATTAAAATTCTTGAACCGAGACCTATGGAAGGCCAGTATATTTTTTATATTAAATTAGAATTAATAAACAACAATAATAATATTAATATAAATAAAATATCTGAAATTTCGAGGTAACCAAAACCAAAATTGCGATATGATATCAAAAAAAGCTAATACTAATCTTTTCATTTAGTTTGAAAAAAAGATATGTCATAGTAACCATTTTAAAACATCAGTTTTGTAAGGTTTTTAGTGAGTTCGTTATTCATTTTCTACTATTTCTTGTTTATTTCTTATTTTAGAGTTAGTTATGCAAAGTATATAAACCCGGCAAAACATGGTGTCAATGCTTGAATTACGTTGAGGTTATTGTGAATCTAGACTACTAATAGTAGTCTACTAATACACAGACTAAATACGTAAAAAATACCGAAATAACTTTAAACTACTAAACAATTATATAATGTATGTTACGAATAGTTAATTAACCAGTAAATTAAGAAATTCCTTTAGAGTTCACTAATTATGTTTTTTATTCACGCATTTACTAACTTATCAAGAATAATTACCATAGTATGTAAATTTTGTGAATAATTTTACTTAGTTGTTCCAGTGGCGTACCTACAGTTCATACCAAATAAAATTTTAGTCACGTGATTAAGCTTGACCGGCACAGCATTGCCCACTTTTATACCGTATGATCGAAAAAAAACGGCGTCCAGTTGGCTGGGAAATGACGATCAATGACATTTCCCATATAAATTTACATATAAAATGACAGCGATCTTCATTTCATAGCCATCGTTGACGCCGTTTTTTCTCGATCATACGGTATATATTCTTTTAATCAAAATATTTTAAAATTAATAAATTAAAACATAAAGTAAAATAATAAATTAAGAGTCTATTACCACAGATTATACAGATTATAAACTTTGTTTTTTCTTTATTGTTTTTCGCGGTTCCAATTTTCGGAATCGGGTACTAGTTAGGTTACTAGTTTGCGCATATAGCACGCCCACTTATGGCCTCTAAAATTGCGCACAGCGCCTGACCGGCCCAGTTATTAGAGAGATATCGGAAAACCGAATAGCGTCATGCAGTATTTACGCGTACCTTATTTTGACAGTTACGATATGCGCGAGTCAATTTTTAACGCAACTTGGATCAATTAACCAAGCGCTATTTCTAAATAACGTTTAAAAATTGATTAAATGGACGTGTGCGGGTATTTGACAACCGGGGCCGGTCGGCGAGATCTTTTATTTTAGGTTATGTTTGAATTGTTTTGAATTATTACTTTAGTTTTATTAGATAATTTGATATTTAAGTAGCTGGGATTAGTTTTAATTAAATAAATATGGCCCAAAATATGGATTCCACCTCTTCCAATATTAAAGAACCTATAAAGAGGCTTAGGTTTACAGCAGATGACGAATTAGCCCTTCTAAGAGAATTTGTTGCTTGTTGCCCTAAACCCACTGACAGACGTTGAACAATAAAGCACTGGAAATAAGCACTTTAGCCCTTTAGTTTTAAAATACCTAGTAAACAAAACAATTTCAAAGTTTTAAATTCAAAGTTAGGTTAAGTTTAAATAGCGGACGCGACGCGAACAGAATTCTTTCCGATCCGATAACTATAAATGAAGAGAGATAATACCACCTCAAGTAAAGGAAATAACACCTGGCCTTATTAACGTCCATGCACGTTATTCGGTTTAGCGATATCTCTCTATTACGCTGTTTATTGTCATTTTACGCCAGTTTATTTTTGCGCACAGCAAATTTTACTCGTTTGCACATCGTCATAAAAAACAATTTTCGAACCACGAATTAGGTATAAGATTTTTATCTGTATACATATAGTATACCTAATCTGTGATATAGACAAGTCTGTGATTATGTCATCTACATGTCAAATTCCGACTTTCTAATTTTTTTGCCTTGGTCTACACTATAACTCACCTCCATAACCACCGTCTCCATTATCCCTCAACCTCCTCTCGTCGTCCTTATCCCTATTCCTATCCTCCTCCTCGTTGTTCAGCGTCGGCGACCCGAAAAACTTCTCCTCTCCCTCCTCTTCTTTATCTTTGTCACGCCCTCCGCCAGGCTCGACCAATACGGACGCTTGCACCTCCCCCTTGGCCTTATCCTCGCCCTTCCCACTCTGCACGGCCACGTCCCGGCTGGTCGTGGCCACCGGCGAACCCCGCCCCCCTCCCGCCTCCTGTGGGAGTGACTTAGCTTCCAGCAGATACGGTTTGGGCGGATCTATACGGTCTGGATTGAAATCGAACGCTTCCACTGTTCGATTGTGGTGAGCGGGACTGTCGCCCGAGGACATTATCGACCTGGAACAGAAAAAAGTGAGGTTAGGTATCGGAAAAAGTCGTTTTTTTGGAGTTTTATGAGAGTTAAGTGTTTAAATTACCTATCGATATATTCGAAATCGTTGTATCCATCCATGATTGTGAATGGAAGGAGTGTGATCACAGTAAGAGAGATGAGCGGGTTCTTGGCGACAAAGAGGTGTCAAACACCTCTCGGAAAACAAAAGAAGAACGTCGTGTGGTCGGAGAAAGACGGCTCAGCGCTTGCCCGAGGCGACCATTTTGGTGCTACTGTGCGACGTGCTGCATTTCCGAGCGAGAGCAGGTTATTCAACGGTACTCGTGGTGGTACTGATGGCGACGGTAGACGAAGAACGCGGTGAGCCAGAAGTAAAGCGCGGACGAGTACTGGCGATTGGCACACGGGAACGTCTATTTTTAGTACCTCGTGAACGTCTGGTACGCGTAGGTAGGACGACGGTAGTACCAGCGAGTACAGTCGCGGACAAAATCATGGTTCCAACATGAATTTCTATAAATCATGGACACTGATGAAATGACTACAATTTTTTAGGGTTCCGTACCCAAAGGGTAAAAACTGGAACACTGTTACTAAGAGTAACTGTTTGAAATTGTAAACTATTCGCAAAAAAAACACTTTTTCCAAATATGCTAATGAGCCACTCTTGTTCCATTTGAAAAAATCGAGATATGATTAAAAATACGATTTGGGCATCTTTTAACCGGCCAGGAAAACGTCAAAAGTTGACATATGATATGTCACTCTATTCAGAATAAAATTTTCTATCAAATAAAGTAAAAATATACCGAGGGTGCCGTTTAAAAATCAAAAGTTGTAGTCATTTCCGGTGAACCAGGAAGTGACCAAAAACAATTGAATACGTCAGTAAATCCTAATTTGTGTCATACACTGACATACCAAATCTCGTTTTTTTATCTGAAAAAATAAAAAAGTAATAGGGGGTGAGCCACTTTTGAGGCGCACCCGGTATGCATATTATTTTTTCTAAATTAACTTATATTTCTTTCAGTGTAGGCAAAACGACAGTATTGTTGAAAAACTGAATGATACGTTTTGACTGACGGGTAAAACGTTATGTGTAGAACTGGCTTATAGCATATAGTTTAAATAATAAATTTCGTGAGCAATTGGCTAGCCACGCACGCTCATCGGTTAACGCTCAATAACCGAAGTGAAGCGACAATAAACGAGGTGAGGGTTTGGACGGGTGGTCGTCTCAAAACTCGTTTGAATTTTACTGTTTGTTCACGCCGTCGTATATCTCGTAAGAGTCGATTTAGACACTCGCAAGTAGTAGGCTATTATGTCTGAGGGCCGCGGTTCAAAATCCATGTATGCAAATTAGCCTAATCAACATGATTCGGTTAATAAATCCACTAATTTTTAGGTTAGAAATGAGAAACAAAATATATTCATCCAAATACAGGTAGAAAATAAGAGATATTTTACTTACTCTATCAAAACGGACATCACACTTAAGAGGAACTATATTATTATACTATCAATTGTTTTGTTATTAAATATATTTACATACTTATGACCCTAGCTGTATATTTACTTATTTTGGACCACCATGGTAAATTCTGCATAAAAATCTGTTTTGAGGGTAGATAACCAGGAATATACGTTTATCCCTTATGTTATGCAACTCTTAATACACAAGTGGCGGAAAATTTATTAAATTATAATAAAATACAGATTTATAATTATTTAGAATATTCTTAACTTGAAAATAAAACAATAACAATAAATATTATGATGATATATTTATTTTAACCAAAAAAACAACAACAGATAAAGATATATTTTTTGATTTTCATTGTTTTCAAGTCAATCGTCAAACTCGGTTTGCCTTGTTAATTTTTAATAAAATAAATAATATATCTATGTTATTTCTTATTATTATGAGTAATAGGAGTTAAATTTCAAGATATTATTAGTATTTTAAAGTGTTCTGGGTGTAGGACAAATGAGCTTAAAGACATTTTTTATTTATAATTACAAAATACCCTTCGCCATTTTGTCAAGATATAATTTAAAAGTTTTTTATATAATTTAAATAAATATAAAAAAAACTGTAATATAGCTTTTATTTATCGTTAAACTCTATAAAATAACCGAAAGATACTACTTTTAAAATTGACGCTTAATTTTTCATAAATTAAGTTTAAAGGAATTAAAAATATATAAATAACGTCTAGAGGGTAATAATTAGTATTTTTAAACGCTTTTGGACATGCAGCATGAAAAATTCTTCAATATCTACTTACAGAACTCTGAAGAACACTGAAAACACTAATAATTCAAGCCACTGCACAGCAAAACACATTAGATAATATTTTTATACTTTTATAGAGATTTTTTTTAATAATCTATAGTTTTACTTGCAAATTACACGGGATTTTGTTAAATAATTGCAAACCGCATGATAAGTTGCTGGACCAGATGCTGGTAAACCCAAATAAACACTGTCTATGCACACTTAACATTGAATTAAACATTAACAAATTAATCTTTAAAGGTCAATCTAATAACTGAGCGTACCTATTTTTCGCAGTAGTTCTGACATAGTGTAATAAGTTAATTCATAAAGAAAAATAGGCACAATCAACAACAAAGCGTATACAGGGTGCAAAATTTGGTATACGTTTGGTTTGGTAACAATCGTTTTAATCTAAATTGGGGGTATATTTTAAAAATTGTAATGTATTAAAAAAATTATTAAAAGACATACCAAATGGAATCTGCCAGATTAATGTATGGTAATCGCTTCAAGCTGAGAAAATTGTAGAATCGACAGTGATCAGGAGGTTCTATCGGTGTGTATGGCATTTTTTCGGTAAATTTTGAATCATCGATCAAAAAGGGGAACGTTTTTTTTTAATATCTGTCAACTTGACAGCAACCGTTGAGCACAGAATATAGAAGGTGTTCCTTAATGACATGCTAACATTTTAGGGGTGATTCTTGGATCTATCATAAGATTCTAAGAGAAAAACTTCAGAGATACAGGGTGGTAAAGTTACCTAAAAAAACTCTTTTTCCCAATAACTCTGATTTTATTATAGATATCTTTATGAAACTTGATACACGTCTTTTATGCATCAAAATACCTTTTTTGGTGTACAAAGAATTTTATTTATTTCAGCCAGTGCCGTTCATACGGGTTTTACATTGAATATTTTTGGAGAAAAACTGGTATACGACTTCTTTTAAAATAAAAATTATTTTGAAAATTTTCATTCATTTCTAAACATTTTTTATCTCCTGATTTTTTTCGTCCGATACATAGTTTTAGCTTAAAAAAATTAGAGTCAGTTTCCTTCAGGGTCAAATCGCTGAAAATATGATGCGGTGACAATTTTTTTTGGTATATCAAAATAAGCATTTTGATGAATGGAAGACGTGTATCATATATAGAATTTAGAATAAGTGGGAGGGGGGTTAATCTCTGCGACCTTAGAGATCTATTATGTCCCCCTTTCTTGAGTTATAACTCATCATACAGTCCCAGGACTTCCTACGGAGAACCGTGTCCTTCACAGTCGAGGAGCTACGACCCAGGCCGGGTAGACGAAACGGTCGCCTGTTGGGTTTAGAGGTAGGAGGTAGGCTCCCGACCCTTGGAGGAGGTGGTAGCTTGTATGCCACTTGCGGAGAATGGTCTCACGCAAGTGTCAGCCACCTCTCCTGTAGTTCTCTTTGGGTTTGGCCCCTTGGAACTTTCATTGTACTGTTCCCAGTGTTGCTAGAGGGTTTCCCCACAGCTTCACCGGTGATGTTTTTATTACTATTATTACCAGATCTCATAGTGTTCCCATGAGTCGCTAGGGCCGGTCGGTCCACTTCTACAGAGCCCCGCATGTAGAAGTAAGGGGTAAAATACAATGGGGTGCCCCCCGATGCCCCAAGGTTGAGGCTGTCCGTAGCCCCGCCCGGTATCGTTATATGTCTTGGTGCAATTCCCTGGCCACGACACTACAGTCAGGGACAAGACGATGAGTGAGATGCTTCTTAGACCAAGCCAAGTGCTAGGGGGGATTCCCCCCAGCACCTGACCAGGAGCTTCCCCACCATCGACAAGGTCTTGCATCTCCTAGGGGAAGGTATCAAATATAACATCAGAGATACTTTGAAAAAAAATAGAAAATTTTACCACCCTCTATCTGAAAAGTTAAGATGTTTAAGACATATATTCATATGAAGTTTTTTCCTTAGAATAGCTCCAAAAATCACCTCCTTAAATATTACCATGTCATTAAGGAACACCCTGTATAGCTACGCGTATCTATAGTATAGTGAAAGTAACATTTCGTCCCATTGCTGCCAAAAGTGTATATTATGTATCATTGCGATAAAAAAAAAGTAGTACAAGAATTAGTAGTCCCAGATAGGAACTCCTGGTCTATAAGGATACCGCGAAGTGGATATATCGTCGTCACTATGAAAACAATACAATTAAAGGCTGATTCATGGTACACCGTGACGGGCCGGGGCCGTGCGACGGTGAAGGCACGGCCAAACATTGTCAAATGGTATTTATACCTATGCATTCATGCTAAGCCGAGCACGGGCCGAGCTTCTACTAACGTGTCTACTTTACGGAACGTGCCCGGCTCGGGTACGGCCCGGTGTACCATGAATCAGCCTTAAGGCTGATTCATGGTACACCGTGACGGGCCGGGGCCGTGCGACTGTGAAGGCACGGCCAAACATTGTCAAATGTTATTTATACCTATTTATACCTATGCATTCATGCTAAGCCGAGCACGGGCCGAGCTTCGCCGGAACCCGTCCGTGCCCCGTCCGAGAAATGTCGGTGTACATTTTTCCTCGGATCCGCTACGGTCCGGCCCCGTTGCGGCAAACATAAATGAGTCGCCCGGGCTAAATACTTCGTTCATCTACGGGCCTATAGCGGCTGTTTTCTAGCAGTGTTGCCGCACCCAACTTTTAGCGCGTACCACATTATAAACTA